TTGACTGGGACCGGGACCGGGACCGGGATGAAAAATGTGACTTGACCGGGACCGGGACAGGTACCGGGATGGCTCAAAATTGCCAATCCCAGTACCAGGATTCCCGGTACCGGGAATTCCGGTCGATTACTGGTTAATTCATGATTATAATTTATTACTCAAACTTGTTAAGCAATTTTAAAAATTGTTTTATTTGTCTCAGAGGATGTTTAAAGATGAAATTCACAATGAACGAAAGGAAAAACTTAAAATCACAGTGAATGAAATTATGTAAAAGATCCTGGTCAAAATCCCGGCAAATTTGAGTGATTGACCGGGACCGGACCGGGACCAAGAATCCTGAATTAACCGGGACCGGGACCGGGACCAGGATCATCAATCAGCATTTGACCGGGACCGGGACCGGGACCGGGACCGGGACCGGGATAGCTCAAAATTGCCAATCCCGGTACGGGGATTCCCGGAACCGGCAATCCCGGTCACCTCCTGCTGCTAGAAAATTAGAAGTTTTGTTTTGCAGGCTGTATGCTGACCTGTTTAATTAAACTTTAGATCTTGGTTAATCATGAATCAGGAATTTGTATTGCCTTCATAGAAGAAGTTTTGCAATAAAGAAGTTTTGCAATAAACACATCGATAAAGCTAAAAACAAGCACTTCGAAAAAAAATTTTGAGCAAAACAAAGAAAATTCTAAGAAGCAGTGGCAAATGATAAACAGTCTTCTTAATAGGAAAAAATCTTAACCTACTTCAATAAAACTGACTGACGAAGACGGCTCGATCAGCACTCCGGCAGCTGTGTAATCAGTGTACTCCGGCAGCTGCACTCCGGCAGCTGTGTAATCAGTGTAGCTTGTGTTGCAAATATCGAGCTCTCTTATCTTTTGTAAATTTGCAATAAGTTCAGTTTGCTGCTACCGTGTAGTTTACCTTTGCGTGTGTACTTGTACATTACTATACAAGTACACTATGGGGGATGACCCAACTTTGACCCGATCCCAGGAGTTGATTAAGGAGTTCAACTATGATCAACAGGAAGATGTGGAAGGCTGTGTTGCACGCTGGTCCGATAAGTTAGAAAAAGACCTGCATATGGACTACCGTGAAATTGACTACGAAAGTCGTGAAAAGATCAAGACTAAGGATAAACAGACTCTGTCTGGCTGGATTGTGGATGCAGTGGACCTTGTTCGTCGGCAGAATAGTCAGATGTATCTCTTGAAGGAGATCATCGAGTGCTTCAAGACGGAAGCACTAGCAGACAAAGAAAAGGTGATCAGACTGCAGGGCCAGCTGCTGATGCAGAAGGACGAACAACTACAGTTGCTTAAGACGTCTGTTGAGGAGACAGTCCAAACAACGGTGGAGTCAGGGATTCAGAACTATAGTGCAGCTGTTCAACAGAACAGTGCAAGTGGTACGGTCTGCAACAGTAAAATCCTGAAGAAGGTGATGAAGAGTGTGGCTGCAGAGGAGGACAGGAGCAAGAACCTGATCGTGTTTGGGCTGAAAGAAGAGGAGGAAGAACAGCTTCCAGCGCTAGTTACCGCAGTTTTGGAGGAGATCGGGGAGAAACCTCACTTCGAAGCGACTAGAGTCGGTTGGAAGAGGCCAGGTAGTACGGCTATCCGACCAGTCAAGATCACCGTCCCAAGCTCAACAGCGGTTCATCAGATTCTGATGAAAACAGGGAGACTGAGGGAGAAGCACAAAGATGTATGGATATGTCCAGACAGATCCAGCGAAGAACGAGCAACAAGGAAGCATCTGGTCACTGACCTGAAGAAGAAGAGGGCGGAACAGACTCATCTCGACCACTACATCCGGTACGGGAAGGTATGTAGCCGTGATAAGAAGTCATCATGAGTTACACTCTCGGACACTGATCAGTATATATGAAGGAGTGATGATTATTTTAAGAATTTTCAGACGTTATCTGTATTTAAGAGACAACTATATATTTTGAATATTTTATTATTTGATTGTTTCACACTTTTCATATTTCATAATTTTATTACTAGGTGGAGGTGATGTTATTGAGACTTTGGGCGGCCATAAAACTCCTGTTTTGAAAGTTGTCCTCTGTACTTGTTTCACTGACCCACGCTTTATAGCATTTATACATTTCGGCCCATTTTATATGTTTGTTCGACTTGCTGTACATTTGTATATTTGCTATTTTGTAAAAGTTTCAAATCAATCAAAATCAGCTGTAGCAGAAAAATTTAACGATTATTTCTCAAAATTAAGTCTGAAATTAGTAGTAGGACCACTTTTGATCCTGGTGGAACCCATAGCACACTTCGCAACGCCACTCCAAGTAGTATTTACCTAAAGCCAGTCACTGCCACAGAAATTCAGGACGTCATAAACCTGCTTAAGAATAACAACAATAAGAATAAAGCCACACTAGACACTAAAATTGAACCTCTAAAAATCGCTAACAGTTGTCCCAGTTTTACTAGTGTACAAGCCCACGCTGTCAACAGTTCTTTTGAACAGGGGATCTTTCCACAGGCTTTGAAAGAAGCGAAGGTGGTCCCAATTCACAAAGGTGGATCTAAATCTGACATAAAAAATTACAGACCAATATCTCTTCTTGCTTCTTTCTCTAAGGTATTTGAAAAGCTAATGCATAACCGAGTTATAATTTTTTTAGATAAATACAGCATACTATGTGAAAACCAATACGGTTTTCGCCTGGGTAGGTCTTGTGAACATGCTCTTCTCAACGCAAAAGACACCATTCTTAATTCAATGTCTAAAAAGCAGGTAACTTTACTTCTTTTAATCGACTTCAGCAAAGCTTTCGACCTTGTGGATCATTCCATACTCTTGCGCAAGCTGGACCATTACGGCATAAGGGGTCAAGCCTTAAACTGGTTTAAGTCATATCTCACTAACAGGAAACAGTTTGTATCAATTGGCTCGTCAAAATCCTCAACCAACCAAATTTTATACGGCGTGCCTCAAGGATCAATATTAGGACCTTTACTCTTTATAATCTACATAAATGACCTGCCTCAAATATCAGATATAGCCAATTTCATTATGTACGCAGATGATGCCAACATCTTCCTGATAGGAGAAAATCTTAATGAAGTTTACGATAAACTAATAACTCTTAGCGATGCTTTAGTTAAGTGGGTAGATAATAATGGTTTAGCTCTCAACCTTAAGGGGGGGGTTCACCCTGATTTTTTTGTGAAACTTGGTTTCGAGATAGCAGTTGGCCAACAAACTAGGACCGGTGACCAAACTTTTGAGGGGGTCCCGGACCCCAACCGCCGAACGGTGCCCGCGGGGCAGCCACACCCATTTTTGTCCAAATTAGGCCCAATTTAGCCAAATACACTCAACATGCCCGGCCCGAAACCCAGGTTTTAGGTGCTCTACTTGTAGCTAGTGGTCTCCTGAACTCGTATATGACATTTCATCAAGATTAGACAAAAAATGACTGAGTTATGATCCAAAAACCATATGACCATATTTGGTCATACGCACCAAATTTGATCGATTTTTGCCCATAAATTGGTCAAATATCAATATTTTTGAATGAAACCAACTTTATATGGAAGGTAAGCTTATACTACACATTCTCTATGATTATCAGCTCAGTATCTACCTAACTGTGGATTCTATCTTCAAATAATCACAAAAAATGAACAAAATTGACCATATCTCAGTTCGCGATATTTGCGAAACTGATTTCGTTCAAAACAATAGAACTCAATAGGGTTTCAATATTTTTACATGAAATTTTCAGAATCAACGTAGAATCGCATTTCTACCTTAAGTTTTAATATGGAATTTTGAATTAGGCCTTTAAAAAAATTTGGCGGCCAAATTCTGAAATTTGCCCTGGCGCAACACTATTTCTCTTGGATCCAAGCTCTGCAGTAAGGCTGATATCTCTCGCCGATGCATCCTTGCTTACGTTGCCTTTGAGAAATACAGCAAGGTATGGGCAGAGAAATCCCGCATTTCTCTTCCTGTAAAATCAAGCTGTATGAAGCATTTGTTGCCCCTGTTTTATTGTACAACTGTAACAGCTGGGCAGCTCCACAGAACATTATCAATAAAGTTGATGTGTGTCAACGCAAACATCTAAGACGTATCATCAACATGACCTATCCCCGCATCATCAGCAACAAGGACTTGTATGCTCGTTGCAATGTAACTCCACTTTCAGAGAGAGTTCATAAATCCCGCTGGAAAATGTTTGGGCACATTCTTCGTAGCGACTGCAACTCACCACCACAACTAGCTCTAAATTTTGCTGTTGATAGTATGTCAAATATGAGGGGAAGGATTGGTAGACATCAATGTAATATTTTTAAAACTATTTTAGACGATTTGAATAAAAGAAATATTAATTTGAATAATAGTGACGACTTGACAGACTTAAGGTATTTAGCCTCGAACCGCCAATTGTGGAGAAATTTATTTTAAATTTGATTAGTTCGATTATTTCAGTTTTAAGTTCAATTTTTTTGCATAATTTTTGATTTTGATAAGTTCAGTTTTAAGTTCCATTTTTTGTATTTATAGTAAGTTTTCAGTTCTACAAGTCTTTTAAGTAGACTTATCAGGTCTTTAGGATGTTCTTAGTAACTACTTTGGATTTGTGTAAAGTTTGATAATAAAGAGTTAGATGTGCTGAAGGATACCCGAACAATATACTAGATCTTCTGGCAAGGACCCTCATTAAACCCTCAATCAGGGGTTTCTAATAATTCGGCTGAATCAACCAAAGAGTTTAAATTACACACTGCAACTGTGATTATAACTATTTATCCCCTACTTGAGAGTCTGAAGTGCTATTACTTGGCCATGTAGCCATTAATCGATGTTCCATTTTATTGTTTGGTAGTTATGAGCTCTGCTGATTGTATCATATTATATTGCATATCATTTTTATATTTCTATCTACTTTTCGGTGATAAACATTTTACTTAATATCATAATGAATGTATTGAATAATGAAACTATTAAATTTTAGTTATGGATCTTTCTCGTGAGTTTGGAGATGATACAACTCCCAGCAATGGTCTTAAGTAAGTGAACTGCTAGTTTAAATGAACTCGTTTAATTATCATTTAAATTAGGTGAAATAGATCACTCAATCAATCGAGAAGTGCCTAAGTCACTGTAAAATTGTTTAAATTGCTTTATATCTAAATTTAACTTTATTTCAGACACCCAACTGCCTCACTCTTCCACATACTGTTCAGAACATTGGCAGTTGTTGTCTATTTATTCTGTACACTGTTTGGTGGAGGTTTTACTCTCACTTTTGTTCTAGGTAAAATGTTGGGATATCCTATTATGATATAATTCGATTTTGTGCTGCCATGTGATACCATACGTTTTATGTGATATCATTAAAAGATGCAAGTCCAAATTCATAAATTCCTTAAATAATTTAGGTTTTGATCCAATATCTCAACAACCCGAGAAACATACAGTAATACTCTTACTTTCAGTTGTTCTTTTACTAGCTGCAGACTTTTGGACTGTAAAAAATATAACAGGGAGGTTACTAGTGGGCCTCAGGTGGTGGAATAAAGTTAACGAGGATGGCAGTACAGAATGGATATTTGAAAGCAGAAAGGTACATTCTAATCTGTAGAAAATGTTGCTAACTTTTCTAGTACTTAATACTATTCTCATCAATCATCATCATATATATTATATATGCTTGTCATTGCAAAACTAAAATAGCTTATTTCCAGGAGGGAGCATCAATTCACCATTCTGCAACTGAGCAAAGAATATTCTGGATTGCAATGTTCACAAGCTCTCTTGTCTGGTTCATCCTCCTAATTAAGAATCTACTGTCCTTTTCTTTGGGATGGATTGTTGTAGATATAACTGCGGTTAGTCAAGTTTCTACACTGGGTTCAGTATGCTGTGATCATTATTCCTTCTATTCCATGTCTTTTATATTTTATATATTGTTAACCTTTATTTATGAAGATGGAACAACAATATTTTGCAGGTGGTTCTAAATGCAGCAAATCTTTATGGATACATTAAATGTAGAAGAGACGCTAAAGCTAAAGTGCAAGGAGCAGTCGGAAGTTTTCTTGGCAGACAATTGTTTAATTCGGTAATTATTTTAGATTAGGCTTCAGCAGAATTGTATTATATGACGGGTAAGGTTTTTTTTTTACATATTTGATAGATTTACAGATCTGGCTTGACAAAAATTTTCAGAAAAAATCATGTTCGCGGGAAGCAAAAATCCGATGAGTTTTTTAGGGGGGAGGGGTAGGGGGTTGAGGGGGGTTGGGAAGGGTTGTCACATGACGATACATTTTTATTCACCCCTGTTGCCTATAGTGGTGGGTCTGCACTTGAGAAGAGTGGGTCTGGCCGCTAGAATGGTGGGTCTGCAATCTAGAAGTGGGTCTGGCAACCAGAATTGTGGGTCTGCAATCTAGAAGTGGGTCTGGCAACCAGAATGATGGGTCTGTACCCTTAAAGAGTGGTCTGACAACCAGAGTGGTGGGTGTGTACTTGAGAATAGTGGGTCTGGCAGCTAGAATGGTGGGTATGCAATCTAGAAGTGGGTCTGTTAACCAGAATTGTGGGTCTACACCCTTGAAGATCAAGAGTGGGTCTGACAACCAGAATGGTGGGTCTGCACTTGAGAAGAGTGGTTCTTGCGGCTGGAATGGTGGGTCTGCAATCTAGAAGTTGGTCTAGCAACAGAATTGTGGATCTGCATTCGAGAATAATGAGTCTTCACTCTAGAAGAGTGGGTCCAGCAACCAGAGTGGTGGGTCTGCACTTGAGAAGCGTGGGTCTGGCCGCTAAATGGTGAGTCTGCACCCTTTAAGAGTGGGTCTGACAACCAGAGTGGTGGGTCTGGACTTGAGAAGAGTGGGTCTGGCAGCTGGAATGGTGGGTCTGCATTCTAGAAGTTGGTCTGGCAACCAGAATGGTGGGTGTACGTACACCCTTGAAGAGTGGGTCTGACAACCCGATGGTGGGTCTGGACTTGAGAAGAGTGGGTCTGGCAGCTGGAATGGTGGGTCTGCAATCTAGAAGTTGGTCTGGCAACCAGAATGGTGGGTGTACGTACACCCTTGAAGAGTGGGTCTGACAACCCGAGTGGTGGGTCTGGACTTGAGAAGAGTGGGTCTGGCAGCTGGAATGGTGGGTCTGCAATCTAGAAGTGGGTCCGGCAACCAGAATGGTGGGTGTACGTACACCCTTGAAGAGTGGGTCTGACAACCAGAGTGGTGGGTCTGCACCCTTGAAGAGTGGGTCTGACAACCAGGCTGGTGGGTCTACACTTGAGAAGAGTTGGTCTGGCAGCTAGAATGTTGGGTCTGCGATCTCAAAGTGGGTCTTGCAACCAGAATGGTGGGTTTGCATTCTTGAAGAGTGGGTCTGACAACCAGAGTGGTGGGTCTGGACTTGAGAAGAGTGGGTCTGGCAGCTGGAATGGTGGGTCTGAAATCTAGAAGTTGGTCTGGAAACCAGAATGGTGGGTGTACGTACACCCTTGAAGAGTGAGTCTGACAACCCGAGTGGCATGGTGGGTCTACACTTGAGAAGAGTTGGTCTGGCGGCTAGAATGGTAGGTCTGCGATCTAAAAGTGGGTCTTGCAGCCAGAATGGTGGATCTGCACTTGAGAAGAGTGGGTCTGTCAGCTGGAATGGTGGGTCTGCAATCTATAAGTGAGTCTGACAGCTAGAATAGTGGGTCTGAAATCTAGAAGTGGGTCTTGCAACATGAATGTGGGTCTGCACCCTTGAAGAGTGGGTCTGGCAATCAGAATGGTACGTCTACACTCTAGAAGAGTGGGTCTGGCAACCAGAATGGTGGATTTTCGCCCTAGAAGGGTGAGTCTGGAAACCAGAAAGGTGGGTCTACAATCTGGAATAGTGGGTCTGGCAACCAGAATTGCGGGTCTGCATTCTAGAATAGTGGATCTTCACTCTAGAAGAGTGGGCCTGGCAACACTCTGTCAACCAGATTTGGGGGTCTATAAACTAGAATATAATAGGAGATATGGCTACCAGAATTGTGGGTTTGGACAACCCGAATTGTGGGTCTTCACTCTAGAATAATAGGTCTGGTGGGTCTACACTTTAGAAGAGTGGGTCTGGCAACTAGATTGGTGTGTCTGCAATCTATAAGAGTTGGTCTGGAAACCAGAATAGTGGGTCTGCAATCAAGGGAATCAAGATGAGTGAGTCTGGCAATCAGAATGGTGGGTCTGCACCTTAGGGTAGTGGGTCTGGAAACAAGAATGGTGGGTCAGAATTCTTGAATAGTGGGTCTTCACTCTAGCTAAGAGTGGGTCTGGCAACAAGAATGGTGGGTAAGAATTCTAGAATAGTGGGTCTTCACTCTAGAAGAGTGGGTCTGGCAACCAGAATGGTAAGTCTACACTCTGTCAAGTGTCAACCAGAATTGGGGGTCTAAACTAGAATATAGGATATATGGCAACCAGAATTGTGCGTCTGGAGTCTAGAGTCTAGAATAGTGGGTCCGGCAACCCGAAAGGTGGGTCTTCACTCAAGAATAGTGGGTCTGGCAATCGGAATGGTGCGTCTACACTCTAGAAGAGTGGGGCTGGCAGCCAGAATGGTAGGTCTTCGCCTTAGAAGAGTGGATCTGGCAACCAGAATGGTGGGTCTGCATTTTAGAATAGTGGGTCTTGACTCTATACCTACTAGAAGAGTGGGTCTCCTCTCTAGAAGAGTGAATCTGGCAACCAGAATGGTAATTCTTCACTCTGTCAACCAGAATTGGGGGTCTATGAACTAGAATATAGGAGATATGACAACCAGAATTGTGGGTCTGGACTCTAGAATAGTGGGTCTGGCAACCAAAATGTTGAGTCTGCACTCTAATAGAGTGGGTCTGGCAACTAGAATGCAGACACGTAGCCAAAGGGAAGACCCCCGGAAAAAAATTTCCTGGTAAGTGTGCTGTGTTTATGACTGTTTGATTAAACGACACGACAGGCAATCGACTTTAACATTTCGTAAATTATTCCCAAATCCCACTATACAATATGTACTTATTCCATTCAATGTGACAAGTACTGAGTTCCCCCCTAGCCCACAACTTTGTATTATTGTGATGTCTGAAATTACAAATTTCTAATGCCAAATGTCGTCTGAAACACCCTATTTCTCAAAAATTTTCCGGGGGCTGCACCCCCAACTTTGTATTATCGCCGTCCTACAAATTTCTTTAATGCCTAATGTCGTCTAAAACAAATAATTTCTAAAAATTTTCTTGGGGGCTGCGCCCCCCCCCCCAGTCCCCCAACTTTATATTATTGTGATGTCTGATTATAACTGCGCCCCCCCAGCCCACCAACCTTGTATTATTGTAATGTCTGATTATTGCTGTCCCACAAATGTCGTCTGGAACACTCTATTTCTCAAAAAGTTTCCGAAGGCCAGGGCTGCGCCTGCCTAGCCCTCCAACTTTGTATTATTGTGATGTCTGATTATAATTACTGTCCTACAAATTTCTTTAATGCCAAATGTCGTCTAAAACACATAATTTCTCAAAAATTTTCTGATTGGCTGCCCCCCCCCCCTCCCTAGCCAACCAACTTTATATTATTGTGATGTCTCAGGATTATTACTGCCCTACTAATTTCTTTAATGCCTAATGTCGTCTGAATCACCCTATTTCTCAAAAATTTTCCGGGGGGTGCGCCCCCCTAGCCCACCAACTTTATATTATTCTGATGTATGATTATTGCTGTCCTACAAATTTCTTTAATGCCAAATGTCGTCTGAATCACCCTATTTCTCGAAAATTTTCCGAAGGCCAGGGCTGCGCCCCCCTAGCCCCCCAACTTTGTATTATTGTGATGTCTGATTATTACTGTCGGACTACAAATTTCTTTAATGCCAAATGTCTTCTAAAACACATAATTTCTCAAAAATTTCTGGGGGGCTGCGCCTTCCCCCCTCCCTAGCCAACCAAAGGAGCTTCGCCCCGGCTACGTGTCGTGTCGGGCTACGTGCCCAGAATCGAAAAAACTTAATCTTTAAATGAATAACGGAACCTTCATTATGAAGTTACGAGATGATAATATAATTGGGAGGCAAAGTGGGTATCGGGCTTGGGGCTCATAATGCGCTAAATTTGGCCGCTGTCGAGTGGGTCTGCCTAAAATTCACAGATCTAGCTATGGGTCTGAGACATTTGTAAAAAAAAACCTTAATGACGGGTAGCTGGTAGATTGGATTATCTTGACTTACCTGGACAATGATATGTGCTGAGCTGAGGTAGGTATATTATAATGTATTTTGCCAGCAGTAAACGTGAATGGAAATTGGGTAATCAGCTTTCACTAGACCATTGCATACATGGTTTCATTCTCCTATTTCAGATGGTGAGTGGAGAAGGCCAAGGAACCTCCCAACAACAAACCAGATGAATGATTAAAAGTTGAAACGGAAACTTGGTTGGGTTCAGTTACTACAGAATCGCATGAGTTAGAATTCCTTGACAGCATCTAGATGTTGGACAACTACATTGATTGCATGAGCTTATTTATTTCGATCTAAAACTGGGATTAAACCTGTATATAATAATATTACGTTCAATGCAAGAAAGATTGATTAACAATAAAAGTATGCATTACATTTTAACTGTTTTTCCGTCTTTGCTCTTACTTGGAACATGTTTGAATTCTATGTGGCAATTTGTAATTATAAAGCAATTAGTAATTATAAAGCAATTTGTAATTAATAAGGAGTATTGTGCTCGTTTTATTGACTTAATTATAGTTCAATGCAATCACTAAAATGCATATTCATACAAATCTAAGTTCAATGTAGGATTCAATCTGATATTGATAGGTTATAGTTTTAATAAATGTTTTGAATTCTCTTGGATAACATGCATTCTAATGATAACTCAACAGACATGGAAAGCAGCTAAGAGCTGCCAGATGATGAACAGATTGGGATTGCAACTACTCTGGAGAGTTGGGGCAGTTCCAGTGACCCGACAGTTGAGCACCTCACCATTGGTATGGAACAGTCGTGATCAGTCACAAAACTCTCAAAACAATACCTACTTGAGGCTAGGGTTACTAGGTGGCTTGGGGCTTGTTGTTACAGCCAAGTGCAAGGAAGAAGCTATTGAGGAATCAAGTGAAAGTATTGAGTCCGAAGAAAATGAAGTAGAAGAGGTAGAACAAAAACAGCGAAAAAAGAAAAAGAAGAAAGGTTTTGGTGAGAGAAAAGTTATGGAATACGAGAATAGAATAAGAGAGTTCTCAACACCAGACAAAATTTTCCGCTACTTCGCAACTGTCCGGGTCGAGTCTGAGACTGGTAAAAAGGAGATTTTCATGACACCGAAAGATTTCATGAGATCTATAACGCCTGGTGAGTTGCAGCCATCTAACCTGGGGCTGGACTTGTATAGAGACATATCTGCTTCCAAGGCTAACTCATTAGAGAATATTGACGATGATGTTGACGGGGAACAGCCTGAGTTTCTCTCCAGGCTTGCCGCGCATGGTCTCATCAGCTTCCAGGACTATATATTCCTCCTCACTCTCCTGTCTACCCCAAAACATGACTGTGAGATTGCATTCAAAATGTTTGATTTGTACGGAGACGGGTGTGTCAGTTATCAAGAGTTCCTAGATACCCGCTCTGTGCTCGAATCCAGGAGTTCTATGGGGAAGCGACATCGTGATAATATCTACAGTGGGAACACTATCAACAAAGACGGGCACAGTGCACTTACCAAATACTTCTTTGGTAAAGATTCCAGCAAAAAACTTACCCTCGACGACTTTGTTGTTTTTATGGATGGACTGAAAGAAGATGTATTCAGAATGGAGTTTAACAAGTATGACCCAGAGGAGGGAAAAATAACTGAGCAAGATTTTGCTCATCTGCTCCTACTACATGCAACACTCAGCAATCAGGCAAAAGCCAAATTTGTCAGGCGTGTTAAAAAGGCATATAGGGACGATGATGACAGTAAAGGCATTACATTTGAACAATTTATGACCTTCAACCACTTTCTAGACCATCTGGATGACGTTGAAATTCTTGTGGCGGTATACTTCGCAGCTGGAATGAAGTTTAACAAAGCGTCCCTGAAACAGGTTGCCCACGTGGTAGCCGATGTGGAACTGGATCCTCACATTGTTGACGTGGTATTCACAATATTTGACGACAATGGTGATGAGTTGCTGAGTAATAGGGAATTTTTGAGTGTGCTCAAAGAAAGAGCTCACCGAGGTCTTGAGAAGCCCTCAGATACTGGCTTTGTTCGTCTGATTACTGCACTGGGAGCTTGTGTGACTAGTTATGTCAAAGGAGAAGAACTCTGAAGAAAGCACAGTGATTTGAGCATGAAAACTGTTATCATATCTGTAATAATACAGACGTTTTATCTACCACTTCATTAAAATGTTAAGGGGGTTGTGTTTAGGGGGAATGTTGTTAAAATTAGATGTAAAATAACTAACTGTTAAGATATAGAATATTTTCTGACGTCCTTCATGAATTGTGTAGATGAAATTACTATACAATTACTTGCTATTTGCAATATTATGCATATTGACATCGTTTACTGCCGTAACCTGAATATTTATATAATTAATGAAGGTAAATTTGTTGCACGATAATACATTATTAAATGAGTAATGTGCCTAACAGCCCAGTTCCACGGCTCAGTTTTGCGACCAGATTTGACACAAAACTCAGCGAAAAGAGTTTTGAACTTGGCAAAACTCCGCGAAGGCAGTTTTGTTTACAATGTACGTTCCCATGCGGTTGGTATTTGCACGCAGATTTGCGTGCGCACGTGGGCGCATTATAATGAAATTTCCCACGCGAGCGCCCAGGTTAAAACTGCTTTCACGGAGTTTTGGGTCATATCAAAAATATTTCTCCGTGCGGAGAAATATTTTTGAATTTCATTTCCGGTCGCAAAAATGTGAGAAAAAATGTGAGCAAATCTGGTTGCAAAACTGAGTCGTGGAACTGCAGGGTAATGCCTGTTACCATCTCACTTCTGTGAGCCTGATATTTTCAGTTTATTGAGTTGATGCACCTGTTTTGTATATAATAATTATATAATAATAATATTATGTAAGTTTAGATTGAAAATGTTAATAGATTTTGTTTTAAATATGTTTCATGTGCACGAAGGGAAACACACGATATGAGGCTTGAAAAATTATAACAAAAGCAAAAGTTATTCAATCAAAATTCGTAAAATATGAGAGATTATGAAATGTAAAGTTTTTTAAACTTCAGCAACAGCAAACAATTATAGTACTGTTATAACTAGGGGGCATGTTGTTTAATCTTTAACTTTCAGGATAGAACGGTCGTCGGGTCGTTTAAATATATTTTGAAATCATTTCTTTCTTTGAAAAAAAAAACACAACTTCTTGGGGATCTTTCTTTTAAATTATTCAGTTTAAACACATAATCATCTTACACTTAACCTTCTTTCGTTTCAAATATTTGGAAGTTGTGAACGTAATCGAAAAGCAATTTGTGTTTTAAAGAAAACTTCGTGTTAATATTTCTTTGTAAAGCTAGATCTATAATGAAATTGAAATATTATTTGGCAAATCGTTATCATAAAAAAGTATTCTGTTCGCCTAAATTTGACTGAATATGAGTTATTCAATGTCGGCACAAAAAGCCAATAACTTTCGCCTTAAATGCTTACTTACAAAAATCGTTTTGTTTCAAATTTAATTTTATGTTTATAAATAGTTCACATGTTGTGTATAATATATAACTAAGGATAAAAGTTTCTCCCTTTAACAACAACACAACAGACATGGTCAGCATGATGAATCCCATGGTGTATGTCCGGAACCAGCCTGAAGCACCGGTAGCGCCGGCAGGGGAGTTACCCAAACAACCGAGCATGATGGGATTCCCTTTCCAGCAAGGTGAACCAGACATTCATTATACTCACATCACCTCCATTTAGCATATAACTGTTAGATGCTGCCAGCTGTGACACGGGGACCGAATCACATTGTTCATTGTATGATCTATGCTAGGTTTATTGTTTAATATAATCATGAACGTGTATACTGTATGTAAGCTTGTTCGAAAGTTTGATTTTTAGGAGTTTAGGATTTGTGATAATTCATAATTGGTACAGTACCATATTATTGTGATAGTAACTACAATGTTCAATATTCGCAGGTATATCATCAATGCCTGGAATGCCACCGATGCCCCCAAATATGCAGGGTATGCAGTTAACACCCATGTTCTTTCCCTCACAAATGTCCACATTTGACGGGAAGCGTATGAGGAGGTCGGTGCAGCGGAAGACAGTAGACTACAACGCTCCAGTATTTGAGTATATTGAGGATAGGCTTTATAAAAAGAGTCTACATGGTTCCAAAGTTCTGCAGCCTCACAAAGCGTACTACATTGATGTGAGTGCACAAAACAAATAACTAGGGATGAGGAGAGGTTACCCTTTCTAATAATAACTATCTGCACTGTGAACAGAGTGTGTTTTGAAATGGTATTATTTTACAAAATAGGTTTATTGAAACTGTTACCATTAATGAGATAAGACAAACGCCACCTTAGGAGGATTATGACTCCTCGGACTTCATTTTAAATCAATTCCTTCTGTAACATCCTCAATTAATTTAATAGATTTGTTGTGTTGTAATTAATTAAAAACTATCCCCACTCCTCAGATGATGCCCCCAATGGGAATGCTCGACAATCCCATGAACGCGGTCACTACCCGCTTTGTCAGAATGTCCACCAACAAGTTCAAATGCCCCATCCATTTAGTCAGGGTATGTACTTATTTAATTTCAATGACAATCGTATTAATTTCTGGGTGACTTACTTTGCGCTAACGGTTCATAACAGTGCGAATTGTAACTCTCTCCTGTGCATTAAGTATAAAAAATGGGCGAATATGTATTATATATTATAGCCTTTATAGCCTTTATACGACCTGGCCACCAAGCTAATAGCTCATTATGCTGGGGTATACACCGAGATTTATCTTTATTCAGCTTTGTGAGTTACATCATGCGGCACACGCCCATAACACCTAGTGATTATTCAAACTTGTGACTATTCATTTATTCACACTCTTCTCTTTAAATATCTTCTTTTGTATAGCTTTCTGTAATATTGTGAATTGTCTGTGTAAAATACTATGTGTGCCCTTATGCAACTCTTCTTTCTGAGTACCTGTTTAAGTAAATCTCTGAAGCTTCGGAGAACGTAATAATGAAAGGGAATCTAGGTAGCGTATAAGTGGAAAGAAAGAGAATATAGGTTGTGTGATTGTGTGAAAGTGAATCTAGGTAGCGTATAAGTGGAAAGAAAGGGAATATAGGTTGTGTGATTGTGTGAAAGAAACCTGGAATCTAGGTAGCGTATAAGTGGAAAGAAAGGGAATATAGGTTGTGTGATTGTGTGAAAGAAAGGGAATCTAGGTAGCGTATAAGTGGAAAGAAAGGGAATATAGGTTGTGTGATTGTGTGAAAGTGAAAATGGAGCTGATTGTGAAATTGACTATAATTTCCAGTGGACTACAGAAGGGCGGCGATTAGTAACAGGAACTTCAAACGGGGAGTTCACTCTGTGGAACGGCTTAACTTTCAACTTTGAGACAATCTTACAGGTCTTTAGCTCGAGTGACCTGCTGTTAATGTAGAGTGAAAACATATATTATGTAGAAGAGTTTTTGTAAAAATTATCCAGTTTATTAAAAGTTCCAGGAGATGTGGGCAACAGATGGGTCCGTGGGTTCCAGAGGAGCCTTGTCTGGTTAATGTATTTTGGCGCTGAATATGTCATTATGGGGGTGATCACCCCCGTCATTATCCGTTGTTTTAATTCTTCCTGTTTCCATGTTATCATTGTACAAGTTGTCAAATTATTAGCTGATATAATACATGTTTGCTGCTACATCTGGTGTTTACTGTTTACTGTTTACTGAACTGTATGTCTTTTCAATATCTTCCATTTACACTCGTACACTCTATCATACATCATAATATATAAAAGCAATTGGCTAGTAGTACATTACTACAGGTAATTATTCAAAACGTGGTCCACATTATTTATTAATGTAATACTATAGATCTGGAGGTATGTTGATGGTGATGGGGCCCCCCCCCCCCCCTGGTGATGTATTGTACGAGTTCAAACTATGAGAACTCTGCACAACAAGTGATTATAATTCAACCTCGCAGTATTAAATTGTTTGTTTCACTTTCGGTTTCACTTTATATCCCTTCTTCCCAGTTTCTCCCTGACGGTAAGAGAATGATATCAGGAGCATCGAGCGGAGAATTCACTCTGTGGAGCGGTAACAACTTTACTTTCGAAACTAATATCCAGGTTTGATTGGTAGGCAATAATTAATCTCAATTTCCTTTTATAGGCCGTAGATCTGCCACGCATTCTTAATACATTCAAATGTCTCAGATTTCCATTAAAAGTAACAGATCAGTGATCACCAGTATCAAAAATGTCCTTCGAGCCAGAATTAAAATCTTAGCATGTTATTCTCGTGATTTGAAATGTTATTTATTGAGTTTAATATGTTTGCTGTTTGTTACACTATTCGTGTATATTTGTACATATTTCTTTTAAGTGCGATTATGCCATCATAGAATTGTAACCGTTTTGTATTGAGTGACCAGCTGAGCTGAGTTTTAATGTAATTTAGAAATTTAGCAATTTAAAATGTTTACTTTATTTTCTGAAAAGATCGCCAACATTGACTATTGAGTGTCTGTTCATTTTATTGTGGTATAATTTTATCAAAATATCACAAATAATGTCGCCTATATAAATAATATTGGACTGTCTTTACTAATCTATATTTATTAATTTATCACTAAACCTATCCCAGGCGCACGACACGGCACTGCGTGTCATGGAGTGGAACAAGAACGAAACTTGGTTATTAACAGCCGATCACACGGGAAATGTCAAGTACTGGCAGTCCAACATGAACAATGTCAAATCTTTTGATGCTCACACAGAGGTCATCAGGGACGCCAGGTACAGTTAAACACCCGGCCCCCTCCCCCGCCCCCCCCTCCACCTCGGCCCCCTCCCTCCGGCCCCCTCCCTCCGGCCCCCTCCCCCCGGCCCCCTCCCCCGGCCCCCTCCCCCGGCCCCCGGCCCTCCCCCCGGCCCTCTCCCCGGTCCCTTCCCCCGGCCCTCTCCCCCGGCCCCCTCCCCCGGCCCTCTCCCCCGGTCCCCTCCCCTCTCCCCCGGCCCCCTCCCCTCTCCCCCGGCCCTCTCCCCCGGTCCCTTCCCCCGGCCCCTTCCCCCGGCCCCCTCCCCCGGTCCCTTCCCCTGGCCTCCTCCCCCGGCCCCTTCCCTCCGGCCCCCTCCCCGGCCCCCTCCCCCGGTCCCTTCCCTCCGGCCCCCTCCCCGGCCCCCTCCCCCGGCCCCCTCCCCCTCGGCCCCCTCCCTCCGGCCCTCTCCCCCTCCCCTCCCCCCGGTCCCCTCCCCCGGTCCCTTCCCCCGGCCCCCTTTCCCCGGCCCTCTCCCCTCCCCCCGGCCCCCTCCAGCTCCCCTCCCCCCGGCCCTCTCCCCCGGCCCCCTCCCCCGGTCCCTTCCCCCGGCCCCCTCCCCCTCGGCCCCCTCCCCGGCCCCCACAACCACAGCCAGGGTGCTCTTAGGATACATTATAGGATCAAAGAGTTCTCACTTCTCATACTCACATTAAATCAGTTTAAAACTTTAATTCTGAAAAATGATTAAGTGGTTACAACTTAACTTTAAACCCTTGTTTCAGTTTCTGTCCTACTGACAAGAAGTTCGTCACGTGCTCCGACGACAGTTTAGTGAAGATCTGGGATTTCCACTCCTGTACAGAAGAGAGAGCTATGAGGGGTCACGGTGCGGAAGTGAAGTGCTGTGATTGGCACCCTCAGAAGGGGCTGATCGTGTCAGGGAGCAAGGATACTCAGCAACCTATTAAACTGTGGGATCCTAGAGTCGGACAATCTCTCACTACATTGTGCGTTACTTTCGGTTTTCAGTTCATTTTAACAGTAGATTTTTATGTGAGCCCAGATTTCGACACATTGTATAATATCTTTTGCAGTTTGACAGTTGAACTTCTTATCGGTTATACCTTCTCAGATCACACTTTTGAAAGTGAAAGTCACACCTTGAAATTCTACCTTATTTTATCGTGTCATTTCTTCCTTTTTGTCAGCGCTTTACCACTTTTGTCATATTGTATCACTCGCACCATGTGTTTCATACACTCCACGAATTTGTAACGTTTTTAAGTGAACTTTTAAAAACTCGTAGCAAAGGTTTGTCAGTGAACCATAATAGTGCATAATTTGTAGGCTTCATACCATGCAAAGCAGTGTTCATACGCAATCAACAACTTTAACATATTTTCAGGCATTTGCACAAGGCCACAGTAACAACAACTTTAACATATTTTCAGGCATTTGCACAAGGCCACAGTAACTCTTTAACATATTTTCAGGCATTTGCACAAGGCCACAGTAACTCTTTAACATATTTTCAGGCATTTGCACAAGGCCACAGTAACTCTTTAACATATTTTCAGGCATTTGCACAAGGCCACAGTAACTCTTTAACATATTTTCAGGCATTTGCACAAGGCCACAGTAACTCGAGCTAAGTGGAACAGGAATGGTAACTGGCTCCTCACTTCCTCTCGGGACCATCTGTTAAAGGTACTGTTACAAATCCTGCAAAGTTTATCATGTTTAGGTCATTGTGAGGTTATTGTTATTTTTAACTTGCTGTTCAAGCTATTCAGTTCTATCTTTATAATTTTGATAAAGTTGAACTTGAATAACTAGCTAAAGAATCAAATATTATCCTTCCTCGGATTGAATCTTTCGTATTCAACAAGATGCTAGCTCTCCTCTTGTTTCTCTATTATATTATGTAGTACAGCTTTTCCATTGAAGGAACTCAACTTATCGTTAAACTTATAGATTTATATTGTAGACTTGATTTTCACCAACCTGCTGATTGTTTGATTTTGGTTCTAACCTTATTAATCTATTTCAAGATATTTGACATTCGAGCGATGAAGGAAATGCAAGTATTCAGAGGACACAAGAAGGAAGTTATGTCCATATCCTGGCATCCAATACACGAGGGCTTGTTTGCTAGTGGTGGTGCTGATGGGAGTATTCTCTTCTGGATTGTCGGGTATGTTTCACTTTCCTCCTTACTTTCACTTTCCTCATTACTTTCACTGGATAAACTCAGTTACCATCTTACTTAGGATGATACCATTCTTCATTAAACAAGTAATGAATATAAAATATTGTCTTCTTCAAATCGACCGAAATATCTCATTAATCGGTTTATAGAGAATCAAAAGCACATCATCTGCACTAATACCTAAGACCTAACACTTAAGGGGACATACACCAAAACCTTTTTTGCCGGGACCCGGGATTTGACTTCATATTATGAAAGTATAGATTACTGTACAACTGTAAGATTTGAGGCATTGAAAAAAATTTTTGAGAGTACGCACATTCGAAAAACAAATTATTTTCTTTTTCGAAAGTTTTGGAAATTTTGAGAAGTCTGTCACTGTAATACCGATATTTCAGTCATTTTAAACGTTTTTTGGCTGATTTTTTAACTGAACATTATTTACAATCCGTACAAGAAGCACTTCAGAGGATTTTATAATTAAAATATAGATGACGAAGTTACAGACCAAACAAGGTCGAGAGAAGCAAAATTGAAATTTTTGAAAAAATCAAAGTTGTATATTTTACCATTCACCCAGGTCATAAGATATCGCTTCAAAAATTCTTGTGAGTGTAGCTGATGATCATATCCGACTTTTTGGAACAGGATTTCTCTCAATTTTGAGTTTTAAGGTATGAAATGTGGCCTCAAACGACTTAGTAAAATTCATCGTAAAAAAGGTCCAAACATGGCAGATTTAAGGCTTAAAATGCCTATAACTCAAAAAGCATCAGTTTTTAAAATTTTTTTTTACAGAATCGTAATCAGCTTGAGAAGACGAATCTTTTGGTACCAAATAGGTGATTTTAGAAGACAAATTGTCTTCAATAATTTTCCAGCTCGAACACAAGGGTCCCTTGTACAAATTGTACACATTTTTTAAACCTAACACGTGACCTAACACGTGACCTAACACGTGACCTAACACGTGACCTAACACGTGACCTAACAAGTGACCTAACACGTAACCTTATAACCGAACACGTGACCTAACACGTGACCTAACACGTAACCTTATAACCGAACACGTGACCTAACACGTGACCTAACACAAAACCTAACACGTAACCTAACACGTAACCTAACACGTAACCTAACACGTAACCTAACACGTAACCTAACACGTGACCTAACACGTGACCTTACACGTAACCTTGTAACCTTATAACCTAACACGTAACCTTACACGTAACCTAACACGTGACCTAACACGTAACCTAACACGTAACCTAACACGTGACCTAACCGGTGACCTAACACGTGACCTTACACGTAACCTCATAACCTAACACGTAACCTTACACGTAACCTAACACGTGACCTAACACGTGACCTAACACGTGACCTAACACGTGACCTAACACGTGACCTAACCGGTGACCTAACACGTAACCTTATAACCTAACACGTGACCTAACAAGTGACCTAACACGTAACCTAACATGTAACCTAACACGTAACCTTTTGACCTAACACGTGACCTAACAAGTGACCTAACACGTAACCTAACACGTAACCTTACACGTAACCTTACACGTAACCTAACACGTAACCTTAAAAGCTAACACGTAACCTAACACGTAAACTTATAACCGAACACGTGACCTTACACGTAACCTGATAACCGAACACGTGACCTAACACGTGACCTAACACGTAACCTAACACGTAACCTAACACGTTACCTAACACGTAACCTAACACGTTACCTAACACGTAACCTTACACGTAACCTAACACGTAACCTAACACATAACCTTATAACCTAACACGTAACCTTACACGTAACCTTACACGTAACCTAACACGTAACCTTACACGTAACCTAACACGTAACCTTAAAAGCTAACACGTAACCTAACACGTAAACTTATAACCGAACACGTGACCTTACACGTAACCTTATAACCGAACACGTGACCTAACACGTGACCTAACACGTAACCTAACACGTAACCTAACACGTTACCTAACACGTAACCTAACACGTGACCTAACACGTGACCTTACACGTAACCTTGTAACCTTATAACCTAACACGTAACCTTACACGTAACCTAACACGTGACCTAACACGTAACCTAACACGTAACCTAACACGTGACCTAACCGGTGACCTAACACGTGACCTTACACGTAACCTTATAACCTAACACGTAACCTTACACGTAACCTAACACGTGACCTAACACGTGACCTAACCGGTGACCTAACACGTGACCTTACACGTAACCTTGTAACCTTATAACCTAACACGTAACCTTACACGTAACCTAACACGTGACCTAACACGTAACCTAACACGTAACCTAACACGTGACCTAACCGGTGACCTAACACGTGACCTTACACGTAACCTTATAACCTAACACGTAACCTTACACGTTACCTAACACGTGACCTAACACGTGACCTAACCGGTGACCTAACACGTGACCTTACACGTAACCTAACACGTGACCTAACACGTAACCTAACACGTAACCTAACACGTGACCTAACCGGTGACCTAACACGTGACCTTACACGTAACCTTATAACCTAACACGTAACCTTACACGTAACCTAACACGTGACCTAACACGTGACCTAACACGTGACCTAACACGTAACCTAACACGTGACCTAACACGTAACCTAACACGTAACCTAACACGTGACCTAACCGGTGACCTAACACGTGACCTTACACGTAACCTTATAACCTAACACGTAACCTTACACGTGACCTAACACGTGACCTAACCGGTGACCTAACACGTAACCTTATAACCTAACACGTGACCTAACAAGTGACCTAACCGGTGACCTAACACGTGACCTTACACGTAACCTTATAACCTAACACGTGACCTAACACGTGACCTAACACGTGACCTAACCGGTGACCTAACACGTAACCTTATAACCTAACACGTGACCTAACAAGTGACCTAACACGTAACCTAACATGTAACCTAACACGTAACCTTTTAACCTAACAGGTGACCTAACAAGTGACCTAACACGTAACCTTATACCCGAACACGTAACCTAACACGTAACCTAACACGTAACCTAACACGTAAACTTATAACCTAACACGTAACCTAACACGTAACCTTATTTAACCTAACACGTAACCTTATTTAACCTAACACGTAACCTAACACGTAACCTTATAACCGAACACGTGACCTAACACGTGACCTAACACGTAACCTAACACGTAACCTAACACGTAACCTTATTTAACCTAACACGTAACCTAACACGTAACCTTATAACCTAACACGTAACCTTACGCGTAACCTAACACGTAACCTAACACGTAACCTTATTTAACCTAACACGTAACCTAACACGTAACCTAACACGTAACCTAACACGTAACCTAACACGTAACCTTACACGTAACCTAACACGTAACCTTATTTAACCTAACACGTAACCTTATTTAACCTAACACGTAACCTTATTTAACCTAACAAGTAACCTAACACGTAACCTAACACGTAACCTAACACGTAACCTTACACGTAACCTAACACGTAACCTTATTTAACCTAACACGTAACCTTATTTAACCTAACACGTAACCTTATTTAACCTAACACGTAACTTTACACGTAACCTTATAACCTAACACGTGACCTTACACGTAACCTAACACGTAACCTAACACGTAACCTAACACGTAACCTTATTTAACCTAACACGTAACCTAACACGTAACCTTATTTAACCTAACACGTAACCTTATTTAACCTAACACGTAACCTTATTTAACCTAACACGTAACCTAACACGTAACCTTATAACCTAACACGTGACCTTACACGTAACCTAACACGTAACCTAACACGTAACCTAACACGTAACCTTATTTAACCTAACACGTAACCTAACACGTAACCTTATAACTTAACACGTAACCTTACACGTAACCTTACACGTAACCTAACACGTAACCTAACACGTAACCTTACACGTAACCTAACACGTAACCTTATTTAACCTAACACGTAACCTAACACGTAACCTTATTTAACCTAACACGTAACCTAACACGTAACCTAACACGTAACCTAACACGTAACCTAACACGTAACCTAACACGTAACCTAACACGTAACCTTATTTAACCTAACACGTAACTTAACACGTAACCTAACACGTAACCTTATTTAACCTAACACGTAACCTAACACGTAACCTTATAACGTAACACGTGACCTAACACGTAACCTAACACGTAACCTTATTTAACCTAACACGTAACCTAACACGTAACCTTATAACCGAACACGTGACCTAACACGTAACCTAACACGTAACCTTATTTAACCTAACACGTAACCTTATTACCTAACACGTGACCTAACACGTGACCTAACACGTGACCTAACACGTGACCTAACACGTGACCTAACACGTGACCTAACACGTGACCTAACACGTGACCTAACACGTGACCTAACACGTGACCTAACACGTTACCTAACACGTGACCTAACACGTGACCTAACACGTGACCTAACACGTGACCTAACACGTGACCTAACATGCTAACACGTGACCTAACATGTGACCTAACACGTGACCTAACACGTGACCTAACACGTGACTTAACACGTGACTTAACACGTGACCTAACACGTGACCTGACAGGACGGATAGAGAAGTTGGAGGGATGGACACAGCACACGAGGGGATGGTATTGTCACTGGACTGGCACCCTCTGGGACACATTCTAGCTAGTGGCAGTAACGATCACACTGCTAAATTCTGGACCAGAAACAGACCAGGTAAACAGTCATAGTCCAACAATATGTAATATGTATTTATAATGTATAATTACCACACGGTAAATACATCATAATGGCTCGATTACAATTCATGGGTATAATGTTACTCTCTCTCTGGTCACACGATGTGATTGTTAAAGCTTGACGAATCTCAACATTATAGGTGACAATATGGTAGTTGTCCCTATACTTTGTATTTTCTAGGAGATCTGATGCAGGATAAATACAATTTGAACACGAACCCTAACGAGGGACTGTATGTTATAGTAGTTAACCCTATACTTTGTATTTTCTAGGAGATCTGATGCAGGATAAATACAATTTGAACACGAACCCTAACGAGGGACTGTATGTTATAGTAGTTAACCCTATACTTTGTATTTTCTAGGAGATCTGATGCAGGATAAATACAATTTGAACACGAACCCTAACGAGGGACTGTAGTTAACCCTATACTTTGTATTTTCTAGGAGATCTGATGCAGGATAAATACAATTTGAACACGAACCCTAACGAGGGACTGTATTAGTTAACCCTATACTTTGTATTTTCTAGGAGATCTGATGCAGGATAAATACAATTTGAACACGAACCCTAACGAGGGACTGTATGTTATAGTAGTTAACCCTATACTTTGTATTTTCTAGGAGATCTGATGCAGGATAAATACAATTTGAACACGAACCCTAACGAGGGACTGTATTAGTTAACCCTATACTTTGTATTTTCTAGGAGATCTGATGCAGGATAAATACAATTTGAACACGAACCCTAACGAGGGACTGTATTAGTTAACCCTATACTTTGTATTTTCTAGGAGATCTGATGCAGGATAAATACAATTTGAACACGAACCCTAACGAGGGACTGTAGTTAACCCTATACTTTGTATTTTCTAGGAGATCTGATGCAGGATAAATACAATTTGAACACGAACCCTAACGAGGGACTGTATTAGTTAACCCTATACTTTGTATTTTCTAGGAGATCTGATGCAGGATAAATACAATTTGAACACGAACCCTAACGAGGGACTGTATGTTATAGTAGTTAACCCTATACTTTGTATTTTCTAGGAGATCTGATGCAGGATAAATACAATTTGAACACGAACCCTAACGAGGGACTGTAGTTAACCCTATACTTTGTATTTTCTAGGAGATCTGATGCAGGATAAATACAATTTGAACACGAACCCTAACGAGGGACTGTATTAGTTAACCCTATACTTTGTATTTTCTAGGAGATCTGATGCAGGATAAATACAATTTGAACACGAACCCTAACGAGGGACTGTATGTTATAGTAGTTAACCCTATACTTTGTATTTTCTAGGAGATCTGATGCAGGATAAATACAATTTGAACACGAACCCTAACGAGGGACTGTAGTTAACCCTATACTTTGTATTTTCTAGGAGATCTGATGCAGGATAAATACAATTTGAACACGAACCCTAACGAGGGACTGTATTAGTTAACCCTATACTTTGTATTTTCTAGGAGATCTGATGCAGGATAAATACAATTTGAACACGAACCCTAACGAGGGACTGTAGTTAACCCTATACTTTGTATTTTCTAGGAGATCTGATGCAGGATAAATACAATTTGAACACGAACCCTAACGAGGGACTGTACGATCAAACTGAGCTTCAGGACCTTGCTATTGAGGATCCTCATGGATTACAAATGGGTAGGTGTGCGTTAGTGGTATGTATTAAACATAATAAGCTCAGTAATTAGTTAGTGGTATGTATTAAACATAATAAGCTCAGTAATATTGTTAGTGGTATGTATTAAACATAATAAGCTCAGTAATATTGTTAGTGGTATGTATTAAACATAATAAGCTCAGTAATATTTGGCCAAAAGGTTGAATACCGATAAAGAACTGGCTAGAACCGCTCTAGAATTGGCTTAGAGCCGGCTATGAACCGCTCAACGGCTTTTCTACACCGGCTTTTCTAACTAAAATATTATATTAATGTATGCTTAGTGCCTTGTTCTCCTACGTTCCAAGCTAAATCGTTTTGTCTGAAATTTAAAAAAAGAGTAATGAAGCTTCCTCAGTTGATCAGTGTACTCGAACAGTCAACAGTGTGATTATCATTTAATTAGCAGTCAATTAGTACAATTACCTGTATTTCAGACCAGGAACCAGTTATATTGGACTCTAAAGTAATACCGGGTATGGGTGAGACGCAGAACCTACAGGTGGATGATAATGTCATCAATACTCTCGCTCCTTCTAAGGTTAGTTTTTAATCAAGTTTCACGCATTATTGAGGGAATTTCCTGAGAGTTACAGTTACACTAGTTTATTTTATATATTTTAAGGGTCGTTTCCTTTGTTTGTTTGTTTCGAATATTTTCTTTGTTCGTGTTGAATATTGTTACACTGTTGCATATGTTGTGATTTTAAACTCTCATGTTTTCACTGTTGCTTAGTTATTTGAACACCTGTATAACGACACTTGCCAATAAATCCCGCTGATTTTGCTGAATAATTTCAATATCACGCCACAAGTGACAAGAATGACACGAGTAATATGACGTCACAAGTATGACGTCACAAGCCCCCTCTGACATCAGGTGATCAGTAAGAGTAACGAGAAGACGAGCAGCAAGTCCCTGCACCAGATCCTGCCCATGATAAGAACAGAGGTGGTTCCTGGACTACAGATCAGTACTGAGAAGATGAAGGGAGAACTCGAGATAGCTGCCACGTTAGTTCACCCTTTGAAGTATATTTATAATAATTTAGATCGTTCTCTTCTTTTTCACAGCCCTGTCTTCTTTTAATTGGGATTTCTTTTGCGAGCTGGAATTCCTGCGCAGGTTTTATAATTGAACAAAGCATATCCTATTCAAAATATTCTGTGAAATATTTTGGAATTAGTATTATTTAACGGCCGTGTAATTATTTTCTGGAATCACATAACGAGTATAAGTGGTTAACAAAAGTTCTTTCCAGAGTGCAAAATCAGCGAAACCAGAACCAACAAAACCAACAGAACCAACAACAAAACCAGAATCAACAACAAGGTCAAACCCAGACCCAACAGCAGCAGCAACAACAGAACACAGCCAATCTAACCAGCTTCAATGCTAACGACGAATATGGGTAAGCTCACTTTTTATCACATTACCCTATCTTTTACATATCATTTCCAAGGAACTTCTAACCTAAAGTTAAAGGGTATTGCAGTGACATGAACTTATTGCTGACCAACACGTGATCATGTCTAACCACGTGACATGCCCCAGGTTCGACCAGCAAGGTACGTACGTAGAACAAGGGAACTGGAACAATACAGGAGGCTGGGATACCCAGAACCAGAGTAACCAAAATACCAACAAGCAGACAACCGGCTTCAACCAGCCACCTCCTCCTGGACAAGGTAACAGCTGCATTGTAGTTATACTGTGCGTTATCCGACCTGAGATTAACTCACAGATGATGACATGGTTTAGACAGTAAATTTCGTTAATATTTTGAAGAATAACGATCCTAGAAATGCCATCCTCAGAGCCGTCCACCTTCAACTACAACACAGCCCCCCAAAGAGGGGGAGGGCCCCCCAGAAGGACCTTCAGTAACGAGGGACAACAACAACATGAAGGGTCTGTGTCACGTGGGAGGGGTGACGGGTCACGTGGAAGGAGAGGGTTCAGGGGCGGAGACAGGGGCAGCTTCAGAGGTAACAATATGTTTTACAATGACTATAGGCTAATATTATTTATTATTGTAAATACAATCATTGTAATATTAGGTATTCACTGTATATAATCTAGATTTTAGCTGTATTGTGGTCACTGGTCAAGACTTTTGTTCTAGATAAGAATTACACTGGTCCGGGTCACTAGTTTATTTATCTAATAGAGAAAACAGACTGTGGCTCAAATAACCACTAATTTGCTAGATCTTGATAGGTTCTTCATTAGCTAACTTGAGTTATATTAGGTAGAGGAGACGGGAGCAGACCGTATCTTCATTAGCTAACTTGAGTTATATTAGGTAGAGGAGACGGGAGCAGACCGTATCTTCATTAGCTAACTTGAGTTATATTAGGTAGAGGAGACGGGAGCAGACCGTATCTTCATTAGCTAACTTGAGTTATATTAGGTAGAGGAGACGGGAGCAGACCGTATCTTCATTAGCTAACTTGAGTTATATTAGGTAGAGGAGACGGGAGCAGACCGTATCTTCATTAGCTAACTTGAGTTATATTAGGTAGAGGAGACGGGAGCAGACCGTATCTTCATTAGCTAACTTGAGTTATATTAGGTAGAGGAGACGGGAGCAGACCGTATCTTCATTAGCTAACTTGAGTTATATTAGGTAGAGGAGACGGGAGCAGACCGCATCTTCATTAGCTAACTTGAGTTATATTAGGTAGAGGAGACGGGAGCAGACCGTATCTTCATTAGCTAACTTGAGTTATATTAGGTAGAGGAGACGGGAGCAGACCGTATCTTCATTAGCTAACTTGAGTTATATTAGGTAGAGGAGACGGGAGCAGACCGTATCTTCATTAGCTAACTTGAGTTATATTAGGTAGAGGAGACGGGAGCAGACCGTATCTTCATTAGCTAACTTGAGTTATATTAGGTAGAGGAGACGGGAGCAGACCGTATCTTCATTAGCTAACTTGAGTTATATTAGGTAGAGGAGACGGGAGCAGACCGTATCTTCATTAGCTAACTTGAGTTATATTAGGTAGAGGAGACGGGAGCAGACCGTATCTTCATTAGCTAACTTGAGTTATATTAGGTAGAGGAGACGGGAGCAGACCGTATCTTCATTAGCTAACTTGAGTTATATTAGGTAGAGGAGACGGGAGCAGACCGTATCTTCATTAGCTAACTTGAGTTATATTAGGTAGAGGAGACGGGAGCAGACCGTATCTTCATTAGCTAACTTGAGTTATATTAGGTAGAGGAGACGGGAGCAGACCGTATCTTCATTAGCTAACTTGAGTTATATTAGGTAGAGGAGACGGGAGCAGACCGTATCTTCATTAGCTAACTTGAGTTATATTAGGTAGAGGAGACGGGAGCAGACCGTATCTTCATTAGCTAACTTGAGTTATATTAGGTAGAGGAGACGGGAGCAGACCGTATCTTCATTAGCTAACTTGAGTTATATTAGGTAGAGGAGACGGGAGCAGACCGTATCTTCATTAGCTAACTTGAGTTATATTAGGTAGAGGAGACGGGAGCAGACCGTATCTTCATTAGCTAACTTGAGTTATATTAGGTAGAGGAGACGGGAGCAGACCGTATCTTCATTAGCTAACTTGAGTTATATTAGGTAGAGGAGACGGGAGCAGACCGTATCTTCATTAGCTAACTTGAGTTATATTAGGTAGAGGAGACGGGAGCAGACCGTATCTTCATTAGCTAACTTGAGTTATATTAGGTAGAGGAGACGGGAGCAGACCGCATCTTCATTAGCTAACTTGAGTTATATTAGGTAGAGGAGACGGGAGCAGACCGTATCTTCATTAGCTAACTTGAGTTATATTAGGTAGAGGAGACGGGAGCAGACCGTATCTTCATTAGCTAACTTGAGTTATATTAGGTAGAGGAGACGGGAGCAGACCGTATCTTCATTAGCTAACTTGAGTTATATTAGGTAGAGGAGACGGGAGCAGACCGTATCTTCATTAGCTAACTTGAGTTATATTAGGTAGAGGAGACGGGAGCAGACCGTATCTTCATTAGCTAACTTGAGTTATATTAGGTAGAGGAGACGGGAGCAGACCGTATCTTCATTAGCTAACTTGAGTTATATTAGGTAGAGGAGACGGGAGCAGACCGTATCTTCATTAGCTAACTTGAGTTATATTAGGTAGAGGAGACGGGAGCAGACCGTATCTTCATTAGCTAACTTGAGTTATATTAGGTAGAGGAGACGGGAGCAGACCGTATCTTCATTAGCTAACTTGAGTTATATTAGGTAGAGGAGACGGGAGCAGACCGTATCTTCATTAGCTAACTTGAGTTATATTAGGTAGAGGAGACGGGAGTTGACCGTATCTTCATTAGCTAACTTGAGTTATATTAGGTAGAGGAGACGGGAGAAGACCGTATCTTCATTAGCTAACTTGAGTTATATTAGGTAGAGGAGACGGGAGCAGACCGTATCTTCATTAGCTAACTTGAGTTATATTAGGTAGAGGAGACGGGAGCAGACCGTATCTTCATTAGCTAACTTGAGTTATATTAGGTAGAGGAGACGGGAGAAGACCGTATCTTCATTAGCTAACTTGAGTTATATTAGGTAGAGGAGACGGGAGTTGACCGTATCTTCATTAGCTAACTTGAGTTATATTAGGTAGAGGAGACGGGAGCAGACCGTATCTTCATTAGCTAACTTGAGTTATATTAGGTAGAGGAGACGGGAGCAGACCGTATCTTCATTAGCTAACTTGAGTTATATTAGGTAGAGGAGACGGGAGCAGACCGTATCCAGATCCCAGTAGTAGGGCAGAGGTTTCACTTCAAGGGGTGGAGATAGGGGATCTAACAGAGGTTTGAAGAATTGAAAATTTTTTCCGGGGATTGTCGATTAAAAAAAACTCAATCAGCGACCTTACTCTTAAGTGTACTAATTAACCAGATTCTATTTAATATTAATATATTTTGTTCTCCGCAGGGTCTGGTTTCCGTGGTAACTCCCGAGGAAGAGGAGACCGAGGAGGAGCTCGTGGTCGTGGTGGTGACCGGGGTAGGGGCCGTGGTGATTTCAGGGGTCGTGGTCGAGGAGGCCCCCCTAGCTCTCAGTCCAGCGATCAGTGGGCTAACTCTAATAGGACTTGAGAGACATGTTGAGCAGTGTGCTGTGCGCACTGATTCCATTGATCTAGGAAGTGTTTTCAAGATGACCGTTTATTGGAGAGTCTGAATTTTTAGTATTTGATAAGTTTTAAAGAGTGTGAGAGAGAGTCCAGGTGGACTACCAGTTTTTTAACTTCAGATAAGATGACTAGGTGAATACCAGTGTGATCGCCTAACAAATTTGCAAAACCCTGATAAAATGTCCTCGTTGAGCTATGACTTCCCATTTGCTGATGATCGGACTCAGCTCCTTTAAAAATTTATTGACGAATTCTTCTTAAAATCAAAAGTACCCGTTAAAATGGGTACGAAAATCTATTATAATTGATTTGTTTGTGAAGAGTTGCTGAGTTGCATTAGCAATTGATACATCTTCAGTGTTTATTTATTGAACATATTTTTGTTTTATCTTTTTATTTTGTTATTTTATGGATGTAACCTCATCTGATAAGATGAATGAGATATTGTATTATTTCTACTCTCACTTCTCAGTTACCAAGTCAATTGATGAAAATTAACGTGAAACTACGTAAGTTAACCAATCATTCTAGTCAAAAGTAACTGTTTGCTTTTGACACTAACTTTTAATTAAACTAATCTCTCTGAATACTACTAGTTAGCCATGTGGTTGTTATACCTCGCCGCCACCACCCTTCTCACCCTCCTCCTCAGCCTCCTCTCCAAACATGTCAACTACATCCTCAGGATGGTCCTTTACTCTTGGGTTTTCCTGGTGTTAGCTGTGGTTCACATGGTTTATTGTCCGTTCTTCCCTAAAAACAGAGATAACACCTACACACTTGCTCCCCTATTTTACCATCTCTCCAGGTAAAATATTGTATAACTAATTACTGTAATTAGTAGTGTTGTAATTAGTAATTACAACACTACAAATCTATTACATTTATTCAGGACGTTACAGAAGGAATTTAAATATTGTATAACTAATTACAACACTACAAATCTATTACATTTATTCAGGACGTTACAGAAGGAATTTAAATATTGTATAACTAATTACAACACTATAAATCTATTACATTTATTGAGGACGTTACAGAAGGAATATTGTATAACTAATTACAACACTACAAATCTATTAAATTTATTGAGGACGTTACAGAAGGAATTTATTTAATGTCGTTTGAGGAGTCCTCACTCTCCTCACGTCCAACAATGGCGTTTCTCTTGTCGCTAATATGCATATACTTTATCGTCCATTTTATGAACAGCCCTTATTAAAGTAGTGTGCCATTAATTACTCGGTTTAGCACGGGCTACTATCATTACTCAATGTTAGGATACTGTGTGTACTGTGTGTACTGTGTGTACTGTGTGTACTGTGGCATTAGTGTAAGAGCCGATTTCTAGTCTGAGTCTAGTGTGTGTTCTATTGCGGAGTAATCATCTCAAACAGTGTGATGTGGTTTGTTGTTTGTTCTTGCAGCGTTTATGCTGTGTCTTTTAATCTTTACAGTCTTATTTGTTGTTCGTTAAATCGTTGTTTCGAGTAACACTTTTCTCAGCAATGTGCGGAACAGTTCACTAACAAGCAGATGCGTAATTTCTTTTTTATAAGTTTTCCTCTTCAGATTATTATTGGGTATAACAGTAGAAGCTGAGGGTGAAGAACACCTGGAGTCTCACGAGGGTGGTTACATTCTCTCCCCCAATCACCAGTCTTCTCTTGATACTTTGTGTATTGCTAGGTTTGTGATACCTTGTGTATTGCTAGGTTTGTGATACCTTGTGTATTGCTAGGTTTGTTATTTTCAACAACCACATAATATCTACAGCTGAGCTGGGGATCTACAGCTGTGTTCTTGTAGTCACAGCTATGTAACTCACCTAAAAAGAGCTGTTGATTTAAACTTAAACTACAACCTAAACTGTCCTACTCCACACTTGACATGCTGGCTAATCACATCTCCGCAGGATCTGGCCCCACAGAGCCATCATTCTGATGAAGCGCTCCCTATTATACGTTCCCTTCTTTGGATGGGCGGCTTATCTCAGTGGCCACGAGTTTATAACACGTAAAAGTGGAGGTGAGTGCAGTGTGCAACATGGCAACTATAAATACATGAGACATGTTCACTATACTATACACTATACACTATACTAGACACATGTTCACTAACTGTAGTGCAGTGTAGTGGAGGTGAGACATGTTCACTAACTGTCACTATTTTTGGAATAATTGTTATATATTCGGATATGTTAGTCCAATATGCTTAATGCTTATAATGAAGAAAATTGTCGAATTCTTTATTAATTTTATATCGAATGTCTAATGAAAAGTATTTTAATTTTCAATTGCTAATCTGTTATTACCGAACCCATTCAGCCAGCGGGGAAGTGCGTGACCACATGAACTTAATAAATGAGCGTATAAAGAATGAACGGCTCCGTGTTTGTGTATTCCCTGAAGGAACCCGAAACAAGGCCTTCGATGGGAAAATGCTTCCCTTCAAGAAAGGTAACGTTTTTATACAAAGTATATTAAGGCATTTTTTGTTCCCGTTTGTTACTTTATTTATAATCTAATAATTATATTATTATTATATTAAATTTATAATCTAATAATTATATTGTATTATTATTATTATGTAATGGAACATAGCGGACTACTTGCTTGTTTTAACGATTCTGAATGGTTAAGTATTTACACTTTGCAATCTAATTATTGGATGACGGTATCGACTAATTACTAATCATGCATGAGCTGTCGTAGCTAAACAATCAATAATGAAACCTGTAATTCAGTAATTGTGATCATTACGATCATTCTAACTAGTTTAGAAGCAAACCAACCTCTGCTGACCATCGTCTAATAATTAGCTAAATTTCTTGATTTCCTGTCAGGTGGATTCCATATGGCGCAACAATGTCAAGCTCCGATAGTACCAGTTGTGATATACATTCCACCGTCACTATACGATGGTAAGTTTAAAAATAAGGAATAATTATTTCGGATATTTCTGCATTTAACATTTTTGAAATTAAAAGGTCAACTGATAGACGGAATTTGATTTACAATTTCGAAAAATAAAGGTATACATTACAACGATTTTAATCTTTTCCATAACATCAATATCTCTAGCCATACTAAGTCAACGTTCAGTAAAAACATTGAAATCTCAATTCTATTAGCAAACTATGCCACCAGGTAAGAACTGGGTGTTCAACAGCGGGGTGATAAGAATGAAGGTTCTAGAACCCATCTCCACCGTGGGTCTCTCCTCTGATGACGTCACTGAACTGACGAACAGTGTCCAGACTAAAATGCAGGAAGCACTGGATGAGCTCAGCAAGAGGGCTTAAAAAGCTGTGATACTATAGATTAAATGCTCATAAATTAGTATGAGTGATATATTGCAGTACTAATTATTACGATTTTATCCTAACTGAATTCGAAATGCCTTTCCACAACAGGTAGTTTCGTTGGAAAGGAAATAACAAGATGATTTTCTTGTTTGTGTAACAAATTTGATAGTCTGTTGTTTTAACCTTCCTTTAGCAGTATTTATGATAGTATAAATAAATAGATAAATAATAAATAAGTATTAAAGTATTGTAATCGAGTAAAGTATTTATGTAAAGATCGAGAATTTATAGCCATGATGTAGCAAAACTTAATTTAATTTGGGTCCTCATATAATAGAGTTTTCTCTTCCTGTAAATTAGAGTTTATTGAAGCCTAGCCCTTAGCTGCATCACATTCCCTTTGATCACATCACTTTGCGTCCGGTTATCATTTAAAGTACCCGTTTCGTTGTTTAGGAGTAAAGTTGAACTTCTGTAATGTTGTTGTCGCTTAAAAGTTTGAAATGACAGTGTTTTGCTAGTGTTTATTTTTGATTTGGTAATTTTGTACTGCTGTACAGAGTTTGGCAATTAAGACCATGTTTGATTTTTCAGTGTCGTTATCAACATTTAAAAAAATGAATTTGTATTTCAAATTGATTCCGTTATTGCGACTGATTAGTATTTGGTTTTATATTTATGAGAATACGGATCAGCCTGATGAATTATAATACTTTCTGTGAGTTTTATCATTGTACAATAATTTGTCTGTTAATATTATAACGTATCTATCTTAATCGGTTATGGATGTTTATTGCTTATAGTGCATTTTCCAATTTCTATCATCATTATAAATTTGATTGTGATTTTTCGTTTTACTGCGAGATGAGTAAGATGAGCCCTCCCCTCTCTGATATTGGATTGATAAGAAATGAATTGCTTCGTTTTTTAACCTTATTACTTTATTAATTATCCAGATGTTATGGAAACTGGAAAGAAGAACAGTGACCAAGACCCAGTATCAGTTGTGAACAAATCTTGACGAGAAATAATAAAATGCTTGCGTACGATGCAAGAATTCTTCTTATATTACATATTTGCAGCAGGATGATTTGTGAATTAGTGAATAAATCAGATTCTTTACTCAGCAGTACTTCTAGAAATAGCAGTAACATTACCTTTGCCGCTAGAGTAAATATGAGAGCAAGTGTGACCTTAGACCTACTAAATGTGGTAAAGAGAAATGCTGTCTAACAATTTACGTTCATGCAGTTAAGAAACTTGGACCAGGAAACTTAAAGCAATTTCCTGACCGTGTGGTTATCATGGGAAGCTAACACTTTACTAAGCAGCAAACTCTGCTGTTTGATAACCACGACTTCTCAGTGTGTCATTGTGATCAGAGTTGTTGGGAAAGAATAAATAATTAGCTTGTTGGCAGCAAACCATGAGTGATTCCAATCCTGGTTGATTTTAATATTGATGTTAACAAGGTTAATGTTACTAGCTGTGGTTGATTTTAATATTGATGTTAACAAGGTTAATGTTACTAGCTGTGGTTGATATTAATATTGATGTTAATAAGGTTAATGGTACTAGCTGTGGTTGATATTAATATTGATGTTAACAAGGTTAATGTTACTAGCTGTGGTTGATTTTAATATTGATGTTAATAAGGTTAATGTTACTAGCTGTGGTTGATTTTAATATTGATGTTAATAAGGTTAATGTTACTAGCTGTGGTTCATATTAGACATATGGCTGTGGAGATCTGTACTTCATATCTCCAATTCTTTACTTAGCAGCTTATTCAACAATATCCCACATTTATACCTAGCTTTTTGTTAGACGAAACAAATTGCAGGGGGAATTATCCAGAATGCGTTACTAGGAACCTATGTGGACTTACATCCGATCTGTGGAAAATCTTCACTGAGAAAGAATAAATTAGAAACCATTCAAATGCTGGTCGGAATTCTTGGACACTTTACTGTGGTGATAAGTGTGACTAAAGCATGATCGTGTAAATCAGACTCTTTACTATTAGCAGCAAGATAACGTAACTCTGGTACATGGGTATTGAGTCTGACCCCTGGTTTGATTTGTGGTAGGTGTTAACATGGCTAATGTTACTAATAAATTATTTTTATCGTCTAGATAGATAGAATTAGAATTACTCATCACCACAGCTGTATAATTGTATATTAATATGAATTAACTCGTGGACAGTTATGGTACTGAGAAAGAATAAATTATCTGTCACAAAAATAGATTCCATATTTATCAAGGCCCTGTCCTTGTTGGGGTTAAAATGACATCTTATACTAGGTGCTCTGTATGGCATTGATTTTATCTTGCATTTATTTGCAATATTTCTTAATTGTGTCTTGTATTTGTTATCCTAATTCTTCGCTAAGCAGTTATTAATGAGAAAACATTTTCATTGGTGAAACTGGAATTATTACGTTGTGTACGAGTTGTATTAATATTGTTGGAATCGTTTTGAATTCTTTCATTTTTTTCGTCACATTGAGTTTTAATGTTCGAGAAACAAACTGAGAAAGCCGCTAAAATTGGTTTATAATGTAAATCGGAGATATTGAAAAAAAGATAATTTTCGTCGTGAAATTGAATATGATATAACATATAAATTAAATCGTATCGAAACTTTAAAAATATACATAGTTACGTGAAACTGCGTTCTTTTTTCTTTTACATATAACAAGACCTATAAATAAGTAATAACGATACAGCAATATATATAGATATAGCAGCGGTCATTCGAGCGTAGACCATGGCCTATCGGGCGCCTATCGGACGCCTATCGGGCGCTTATCGGGCCCCTATCGGACGCCTATAGGCGCCCGATAGGCGTCTGATAGGCGCCCGATAGGCGTCCAATAGGCGCCCGATAGGCCATGGTCTCCGCTCGAATGACCATAGCAGCTATTGCTGTATACCAACTAAATAATCAATATTAATGATAACCATCCAGCTAAACTATAGAAAGCTCAGTATGGGACCATTGACATTTATTGCCAACTTTGTTTCAATCTCAACGTCCTTAGATCATTAAATTAATTAAATATTGGATGAATGAATTGATCGACATATTTTATGAATTCATACAAACTCAAAAAGTAAAACTTTATTCAGGTATCTTTTTATAAGGGGGGGGGGGGTGTCACGTCCGTCTATGTCCGCTTGTCTCATAGAATCCAAAAAGGACAGGACATAGGCTGACATAGGCGGACATAGACGGACATAGACGGACATAGGCGGACATAGGCGGACATTAATGGACACCTTAATTGCTAAATAAAATGTTCAATTTTTGCTGTTATAGGGGTCTTATTTTTTTTGTCCGTTCGGTACCCTATATTTTCAAAACGGACAAAAATAGAGCGGACAAAAACGGACAAAAATGGACTAAAACGGACAAAAATGGAAATAACATTTAGATGCTTCATCCTCCTACTCTTCCTCCTCCTCCTCCTGGGTCTTCCTGATCTTCCTCAGTCCTCTTTCTCCTCCCCTCCTCAGTCCTCCTCCTACTCCTCCTCCTCGTCCTCAGTCCTCCTCATCAGTCCTCAACAGTCCTCCTCCTCCCCAGTCCTCCTCCTCCTCCTGAGTCCTCCTCCTGGGTCCTCCTCTTCATCCTCCTCCTCTTCCTCCTCAGTCCTCAGTCCTCCTCAGTCCTCCTCCTCATCCTTCTCCTCAGTCCTCCATCCTCCTCTTCAGGGCTCCCCCAGTCCCCCTCCTCCTCCTCCTATTCAGTCCTCCTCCTCCTCCTCCTCCTCCTCAGTCCTCCTCCTTCTCAGTCCTCCTGAGTCCTCCTCCTCCTCCTCCTGAGTCCTCATCCTCCTCCTCCTCTTCCCTCTCAGGCATCCTCCTCAGCCATCCTCCTCAGTCCTCCTCAGTCCTCCTAGCTCCTCAGTCCTCCTCCTCCTGGGTCCTCCTCCTCCTCTTCATCCTCCTCCTCTTCCTCCTCGGTCCTCAGTCCTCCTCCTCCTGGGTCCTCCTCCTCATCCTTCTCATCAGTCCTTCCTCCTCCCCAGTCCTCTCCCAGTCCCCCTCCTTCTCCTCCTCCTATTCAGTCCTCCTCCTCATCCTCCTCCTCAGTTCTCCTCAGTCCTCCTTCTCATTTCACCTAAGTCCTCCTGAGTCCTCCTCCTCCTCTTCCTCCTGAGTCCTCCTCCTGAGTCATCCTCCTCCTCCCTCTCAGTCATCCTCCTCAGTCATCCTTCTCAGTCATCCTCCTCAGCCATCCTCCTAAGTACTCCTCAGTCCTCCTCCTTCTCAGTCATCGTCAGTCCTCCTCCTCAGTCCTCCTCCTCCTCCTGGGTCCTCCTGGGTCTTCCTGATCCTCCCCAGTCCTCTTCCTCCTCCCCTCCTCAGTCCTCCTCCTACTCCTCCTCCTCGTCCTCAGTCCTCCTCATCAGTCCTCAACAGTTCTCCTCCTCCCCAGTCCTCCTCCTCCTGGGGCCTTTTCCTGGGTCCTCCTCCTGGGTCCTCCTCCTCCTTGGTCCTCCTCCTCCTGGGTCCTCCTTCTCCTCCTCAGTCCTTCTCCTCCTCCTCCTCAGTCCTCTTCCTTCTCTTCCTCCTCCTCCTCCCTCTCAGTCATCCTCCTCAGCCATCCTCCTCAGCCATCCTCCTCAGTCCTCCTCCTCAGTCCTCCTCCTTCTCAGTCCTCCTCCTGAGTCCTCCTCCTCCTCAGTCATCCTCCTCAGTTCTCCTCCTCCTCCTCCTAGGTCCTCCTTCTGGGTCCTCCTCCTCCTCCTCCTCCTCCTGGGTCTTCCTGATCCTTCTCCTCCCTCCCAGTCATCCTCCTCAGTCATCCTCCTCAGTCATCCTCCTCAGTCATCCTCCTCAGCCATCCTCCTCAGCCATCCTCCTCAGCCATCCTCCTCAGTACTCTTCAGTACTCTTCAGTCCTCAAAATTTTTGTCCGCTAATGTCCACCAATGTCCGCTAATGTCCACCAATGTCCGTCCAAGTCCGCCAATGTCCGTCCGGGTCCGCCAATGTCCGTCCGAGTCCGCCAATGTCCGTCCGAGTCCGCCAATGTCCGTCCGAGTCCGCCAATGTCCGTCCGTGTCCGCCAATGTCCCAAAAAACACGTCCGTTGTCTCATAGAATCCAAAAAGGACAGGACATAGGCGGACATAGACGGACATGACACCCCCCCCCCCCTATAAGGTATGTATAATTGTATAATTGCATAATTATTTATTATTTATTTCATTTCAGAAGAATGATAAGTGTTGGATATGACTAGAAGCAAAACGTAGGAGCAGCAGAGTATAATTTAGTAGTATACTGTATTACTGTGTCTAAACACGTGTCTCAACACGTGTCTCAACTGTGTCTTAACATGTGGCTCAACACGTGTCTCAACTGTGTCTTAACATGTGGCTCAACTGTGTTTCAGTTAATGAAACCATGGCTCTCTATCTCTCATTTCGCGAAAGAATGTCCAACGAAATATTTGTCAACAAATCCTCCTGAGAAAGAATAAAGTGATGCATTTCATTTCATTTCATTTCATTTCATGTAAAAGAGCACCATGGCATCTGTGAACTGTGCTCTGAGATTTGTTACAGAACAAATAAAACTGGGAAAGAATAAATTTGCCTACTTTGTTGCATTGAAAGATAAGAGAATAATATGTTAGAACCTGGTAAATGTGGGGTATCTCTCTATCTCTATCTCTAGCGTTGTCAAAGACTGTACAGCGAAATATTCGTGAGCATATCCTCCTGAGAAAGAATAAAGTGATGCTTTGAAAATCATGTAACCGAAGATCATTTAGATCTTTGAACATGGCCGGATTTATTGCTCAACAGATATACATGAGAAAGAATAAATCATTAATATGTATAATGGCAAAATTCTTTGTGTGCATGAAGTTACACAAATATTGCTTGGAAAGAATAAAAAGTGGGGGATGATAACAACATGTGAACATTGACAGTGTGACGTGTCCTCCAGGTATTTTCTGGGAGGGAATAAGTGAGGTTCCGCACTAGCAGAAAAATTAATGTTTTCAATGATTGTTAACTGAAATCATTGTCGACAAATCTACCTGAGAAAGAATAAAATCACTTCAACGTGCCGGGACTTGCCTGTCAGCTCTGTAACGTTTGTGTCGATGAATTTGGAACATGTCAAAGAGCATCATGTATGTCATGTGAAACATGGCGTGTTTATTGCAAGACAAATAAAACTGGGAAAGAATAAATTATCAATGATACCTATTATTGATATTTTCCTTACTGTTACAACATAAGAACAGGAGGTACTTTTGACACGATCCTCTTATTTCCCCTTTTTTATGGCGCATGGTAAAATTCCATTGAACATATCAGAGAACATCATATAGATGCTAAACGTTGGAGGGAATGAATGTCGGATACATACTACCGGGAAAGAGAACATCATATAGATGCTAAACGTTGGAGGGAATGAATGTCGGATACATACTACCGGGAAAGAGAACATCATATAGATGCTAAACGTTGGAGGGAATGAATGTCGGATACATACTACCGGGAAAGAGAACATCATATAGATGCTAAACGTTGGAGGGAATGAATGTCGGATACATACTACCGGGAAAGAGAACATCATATAGATGCTAAACGTTGGAGGGAATGAATGTCGGATACATACTACCGGGAAAGAATAAATACTGTGCACTAAATGTTGTTCCAATTTGGTACTTGTATTGCGGGATTATACCTCATTAGTTTGGTAGTTTTGTTTAATGATAAGGACAGGAAAGGTGAAATGTTTATCAATAGATATAAGTTTTTGCAAGTTTTACATATCATTGTCACAATTTTAAGTTATTTCAATGATTCCAGTATTTTCATCGTCTCTCTCATATATTAAAAATGACTTTTAAATGGTTCAAATCAAAGTTCTCATATTAAAAATGACTTTTAAATGGTGAAAATCAAAGTTGTGCAAATTAAAATAAACAATGAAATTACTTGACGAAACATTACTTTATGTTTTACAGCCAAAATAAAATAGGAAACTAATCCAGTGAAAATGTAGACGGTACTAAGACTCGCTGATATCCAGTGCTCCAATTTGAAATGTGACAGTGAGTGTTTGAAGTTCCGTCTATTATATGGAGGAGGGACAGAATGTAGTGCCCCTTACTCTACTAATCGACTACCTCGTCCAGAAAACTTATCATGACCTCATCGTCCTGTCTGAGTTGTAAGTTATGAACTTCTTTTTTTTTGGGTGCACAAATTTTAGTAATCATGCCATGAGATCTTATCATTTACCTTTATTTTACGCTTGCCTGGTTTATGACTGATAAATTGTCATTTTACGGCGGTGTTTAATGGCTAAATGCTAAAATTTAACCTATGTACTCACTACAGGTTGCCCAGAAAGAGCGACACAGAACGTAAAACCTCAATCTACCAGTTCTCAAACCGTACCCAGCTTCAGTTCATCAGACTGCTAGCACTAGTGAAATGGGCGTGCAAAGCGTCCCGTGTAGACAAATGTACAGAGATTATCATGTTTCTTGATAAGCAGGCTGCTCTTTTTGTTGAAACTGCTGACAGTTTGTTTACCATATCAAAGGAACGGTTGATGGGAGCAAGGTACATCTCTATACTATACATCTCTATACTATACATCTCTATACTATACATCTCTATACTATACATCTCTATACTATACATCTCTATACTATACATCTCTATACTATACATCTCTATACTATACATCTCTATACTATACATCTCTATACTATACATCTCTATACTATACATCTCTATACTATACATCTCTATACTATACATCTCTATACTATACATCTCTATACTATACATCTCTATACTATACATCTCTATACTATACATCTCTATACTATATATACTAACTATTTGCTCAACCTTCATTAACCACTTAACCTTTAATTGCCCCGCCTTGACGTCTAATTTAGTTTAGTTCCGCTTAACAGTCTGGCTTATTTTTGGTAACTCTATGATTTAAATCTGTTTCACGAACTCAATTTAAATTCTACTTTAATTAACAAATCGACCGATTCCATAATCATGACATATGCCTAATGAGTAATGAGTGATAAACAACTAAGTCCCTATTTTGTTACTGAACATTCTCCCTCGATAGTTTCCCCGTATTTGGACTACAATCAGCAGTGGACGTCCTGGTAACTGGTACATACTCACGACTACCGCTCTGTATAAAAGACAAGATCATACCTTCTCTAACCCTGTCTGACAAGGAGAAAACTGAAACTTTGAACAAGCTGACCAGTTTGATAGAACAGCGGCTGGTTTTGTCTAAGATACCAATAAAGTACAAGAATATTGAGATAGGTGAGAATTAAGGAGTGTACTGTGTTTTAAATATTGCTGTAGAATTTGTACATGAAATACCAGTAATGCTACTCATTGAACTATTTCAACAGTTCAAACTTAAATCTTTCAAATTAATGTACAGGATTTAGTACACAAAAGTAAAACCCCGCTGTAGAATATATTATATACAATTTATTATATCCATTAAAATAACTACTCATTGAAATATACCAACGTGGCACATAGACCCATGTTAACAGTTAGCAATCTCTTTATCAGAGCAAGGTTACGTTAAGCTGACAGTACCTCACGAGTTTACAGTCCGACTTACAGTCCCAAATGATGACTTTAAGAATCCCTGGAGATTACTCTCGTTTGATGTGCTGGTACAGAACCCTAAAGATGATGATCCTCGACCTGTAGTGCACTTACAACAGGTGGTGTGACGTTGTGTGTGACGTTGTGTGTGACGTTGTGAGTGACGTTGTGTGTGACGTTGTGTGTAACGTTGTGTGTGACGTTGTGTGTGACGTTGTGTGTGACGTTGTGTGTGACGTTGCGTGTGACGTTGTGTGTGACGTTGTGTGTGACGTTGTATGTTCAGTAGCCTCATTAGCCACCATTTGATAGTAATATGAGCAGTTTTAACTGAATATTAATGCAAAGTTCATTACTTGATAAGACCACTTTTGGTCGTGTCGTTATACCAAACGTTTTGCAGAAAGAATACTTGACGGAGTTGCTGCAGTCAAGACTATTTGACCCAGACCAGGAACCCCTTGAGAATCTGTGTGTTGTTGCCCATCAGTTCTGCTTATCTTTACAGGTCAGTTTATTATCAAGTACATCCTGTTAATTTGTATGTCCAGTTTGTTGTTTTTTCGGGAGTACGACCTTCAAATAAAAGTTTGTAAATATACGATCTTTACAGTTGGAAATACTCTATCAACAAGCAATGAAGATGAAGAATGTGTCGTGGAATACGAGCCGCATAAAGATGCTGCAAGTTGTGGACTACATTGAGGGTGATCGATTAACAGTTCGTTATTGGAGGTTGGTCTGAGATGCTAATGAAGATGTTGTGGCTATTTGGTCCCCAAAATATAATGTGTTCTTGTAACACGCGATACTTCGCTAACATTAAAATATCAATTATTTTCGCGCGTTATCTGTATATACCGCGCGCGGCACGTAACGTCATGAAATACGTACACACTGGCCACTCCTCGATCAGACGTTTTATTTAATTTTACCGAACCGAAAGAATTACTCTGGCCTCTGTGTTGACTTGACAGGTATGATAATCTCTTTGACATAAAATCGCCAATCGTGTCCTAAAGGCACATTTTAGCGATTCTGTGAAGTGTGATGAGTCCGGAGACCGGCACGATAATAAACTCCACATCGGGTCCGAGACCAAATCATGAAGGCAGCCGGATTTCTATGTTATGGGCTATAATGGATTTGTTTTAATTCATCATTCGACAAAATGACCATGTAGATCATTGAAAAATGTGGTTTTTCCAAATTACACGCCGGAATGCTTAACCTTTCAACATGCTAATGACTAGCGGCATCTCTATAAATACATACTTCTAAATTTTGAATTGAGCTCGCAATATCCAGACTCTTGCAAAACCTTTTACGTGATTGTACATCTATATTTGTTAGTCTAGACTCTGCAAAACAAATGAAACGATCACATTCGAACGAAACCAACAATATTTATCGTAAAATCAAGAGCTATTATCACTCTCTGGTGTTTCACCTGGAACATGTACATTAATATTATCCTCACAAATTGACACTCTCTTTTTCGTATTATTCTCCGCAATAATGGAGTGCACACTCAATACTCCGGACACCTCATCCACTAGTTCGTCCTCCTCGTGTATCACCTCATCCACTAGTTCGTCCTTCTCGTGTATCACCTCATCGCTTACATCCTCATCTCTACTCTCATTTCGGTTCATGGATTTATGAATTTTCAACATATCAACAATAATACTAGCTCGTTTTCTGAAGGGCTGTGCAGGGTTCATATTCTTAACCACTTCAAAATTGTCCACAGTACTCATACGTCGTATGGGTTCCGTTACCATGGTGGTTGCAATATTTGTGGACGATCTCCGGTACACCTTTCTGTCCCTGATCACTCTAATCACCATTCTCCGAATAGTTGTATTGTGCATGGCATATATTATGGGGTTCAGAGCAGGACTAATATAGACCATCCAGAGGACAATGTGCGAGGTCAGCGAGTAGGAGTTAAGCAGCTTGTCGGGGTCTACTGTTCTGAAGTAGGACATTTCCGCTACAAATGAGGGTAGCCACGTTGCTACGAATGTGAAGATGACTATTGACACGGTTGACGCGACTTTTATGTCGCTTTTGTGGTCTTTTACAACTTCTTTCAAAGTCCTGTGCTTTGTTTTGGCCATGCGGTTATATTGCATCTTCCTCCTGCTGTTTAGCAACATTCTCTCTATTCTAACAGGCTTCTTACTGTTGATATGGGCTGCACAAAATATAGCGACATAGCATACCACCATTATTAGAGTAAGAAGGAACCGCAACCCCCACTGGAACCAGTAAAATATCTTCAAGCTTGATAGACTGGTGTCCATTGTAAGGATACAAGTGTAGCCGCTCCGAAAGAAGATGATACTCCCTGTAAAGTTGATTATAAAGGTCTAGTTACTAGTTAAAGGCTCTCGTTTTTGTGATACTCACTAGAAATACTTCAAAGTTCTTATTTAATGTTATATACCTTTGTAAGAGGGGTATATTGGTATTAATCCGTGTGTCGCCCATGTCATTAGCAGCACGTATCTCATACGCTTTCTAGTGACTAGGGATCTGTACTGTAACGGACGAAATGCTGCAAAAAACCTGGAACATTATTACAGATGATATATTATCATGAATACAACAATGATGAGTTCTTGAATCTTAAATGCAACTAACGATCAACCCTGTCAAACATTCTCGGCCGATTATTTACGTAATTATGTATGTACCTAATAATTTTATACATAATAATTTGCTGCAACCTGTCGATACTGATAATAGCAAGCTGAGTATAAGCAATGTTCATGAAAACACTCCCAATATAAGTCTGTATCTCGCACCAATGTCTGTGTCCTCCTACTGACAGCCAGGTGTCGCTTGCACCGTATTTCTCTTCCACGCCCCTGTCTGAAGAACAAATAACAACTACGTGAAAATGGAACAAATATCTGAAAGTGAAAAGAAATGAGTCGATATCATGTACTGTTTCAATCTGCACATAAATTCGCAGAAGTTCACGATATTTATAATATTAACATAAAAATTAGAACGTTGATCGGACCTCCGGTAACTATTGAGTAGAGGATAGTTGTCATGCACGTGCAGCCCACAACAAAGTCTGCTAATGACTGACCTGTGGAAGTCTTGAAATTGAAAAAATCTCCGATAAACTAAAACTTAACTTTCATCTCATTTGATACTAAATATTGAGGACGTACGCGTATGTATAAACTTACAAGCTATAAGAAAGTATCCAGGGTTCTTTTTCCGCACCGCAACCAATGTGATAATGATAATAATGTTCCCGAAAATAGCGAGGATTGTCATTAGGCACATGATGACCCCGGAAATAACCCGGTATGTGATCATATTCTCTATTTCAACCATACCTTCTCTTGTTTTTGTGGGGTTAATCATCACTAAGACCGTTCATCTAAAAGAAAATAAAACACTACTGCAAACTTCTCAAAATTTTGAAAACTAAAATGGTTGATCTTTGCTCAAGATATTAGATGAATGTATTGAATGAGCCAACCGTGACCATAACACCGGAACCGAAGTGAATGAAGGAGACTGCGAGTGCTTGATCTTCTAGAACAAACTGAAAGCGAAAATTAAATGGATTTAAAAACTAAAAAACTCGAATTTAAAATTTGTAAGACAGTTACTAGTCTCCAGGATATTCTGGTGTTATTGAAACTTTAGTAAAATAATCATAACTTCAATACATATACAGTATATATTATATAGTATAATACTAAACCTATGCACTTTAAATATAAATGTATACAACGAGTACGAGTCTTCAGTTTATCAAACACCACAATCTGATGTCATTATTAGATATATTTCCTGGTCCTCAAAAATCGGCCCTGTCAGCCAACAATTGCATGGCAAATCAAAAGCAATTCAAGAGACCCCCGTTCTGTTTATAATGGCATGTAGACTGGAAATAAACCGGCGTGGAAATTCTCGAACTTTACCTAACACTTGTTGTTATAATCACGGTCGTTATTATTCTGTTCCCCTAGAAACTCAATTCAAACAGGTTCTTTATTTCAGTGGAGTGATGGCAGTTGGAGCTGCTCAACCAGGGATAATGTCTTACGCAATCCTTGTGATATACCTACCAGGGGGTGATCCTCTGGACTCCTTCAAGATAGACCACCGGCCTGATATTAGCAAGATTCCAGACAGAGACACTGTGAGTCAGATGGGAGTAGTCAATTACTGTTTATTATATTATTATCACTCGGATTTGTTTTTTTAATATTCTTGGTATTTTTATACGATTGATTTACTGTTGTTTTACGATTGATTTACTGTTGCGAGATGGGACGGTGAGCCCGGTTAAAGGGCTTGTGGAGTGATATTAAACGAAAATATTCCCCATCAGGTTAAACTAGATATTTCAAATCTATCTTTGGAACGGCTGCTGGAGGAAACAATCGAGCATAGGACATACGAGTTTCTATCTAAACTAAAGGACAGACTCTCACTGGTGCCTGATATCGAGGTAAATTTGTTGTCATTGTATAATTAATGTCAATATTTTAGACATTTAATTTCAACCTATGTACTAGGGATGATTTCAGATATCCATACATTTTTCTTATTGATATTTGATTTGTTGAGTTCAATTTCTAGGAAATATCCTTATTCTCGCTCAGATTGTTTCCCTGAACTGTGAAGAGCTGGTCACGAGATATCACAAGAAGATCGAGCTGAAGTTCCTTTTGGTTCACTATACTGGCTACGCGATAACTTTCTGTAACTACAACGTCTTGGTATCCGAGCTAACTAAGGCTATCAACGATACCATGCTCTCCATATCTGATGCTCTTAACAAAATCAGGTATTTGCAGTGGTGTCACGTGATAGCAGCCTATGTTTTGTCCTCCGGACGATTATTATTATTTTTTTCGTACAAAATAAAATAAGCGAATAATATTTTGTTAAACATTACGAAGATTAGCACTACCGTAAGTAATACTTTTAGATACATAATACAATGCAACTCGATAACTGTTTGTTGTTAACTAAAAATAAAATAAAGTTCAAAAACAGGCCTAAACTCTACTGCTGTCTGTTACATCATCGAATCTGTTCTCCCCAACGAATTATCTTTCTCGTGTTAATAAGCTAATTCGTTGTCTCACTTGGTAGCATTTCTAATACTGATATAACTGAATCAATGATATAGTTAATGTAAAATTTCTATATTTAAAAAATGTTCTTCTTCTTCTTCTTCAGTAGTACAGTAAGGAACATCACATACTTCCCACCGATGAGTCGGTTCTGTCGTATAACACCAGGGCTTATGTTCTCCGTCGGGGTTTCTACAGCGGTTATGTTCGCCAATCCCCTTTTCTAGGTTAAGATATATGCTGTGGGCGTGGGGGGACTGTTCATCCCAACGTTGACACTCATATCCGGACTGAGTGGTGTCTACAGAGCCCCGATATCCCGCTCCTAGGTCCTCCTCATTCATGCAATTAAATGTATAGTTGGACTCACCATCATCAATCATATCAGTACAATGGCGGACAACACAAAGTGTTTTTTCAGATTTAGAGTTACGACACCAAGCCCCTGTCATGTGATCGTCATGTGGAGAATTGCCACATCTGTTCGCGTGGTAGGTGATGGTTCGGCCCTCCTTCAGGTCTTCATTACACACTGGGACATCACAGAAGTCCCACTGGCTAGACTGGTCGGGGTTGGTGATGTAGCACCACGGCTTAGCTTTTATCCCATTAGGGTTGCGGCAGTGATTGTGTTCTCCTAGACCGTAATAAGGATGAGGGTTAGGGACTTGTTTGCTCCACTCCTGGCATTGGAACCCACCTTCAGTTACCGAGACATTTCCAATGTAGCTAACACCATTTCCTTCTAAACAGTTGAGAGTAGTCTTGGCTTTGTCCAAGCTCAAGTCACAGACTAGCCCATCTACTGTATCCATCACATCCCCCTTGTACAAGTAGCCTGCCCCTTGCTGACATTCGTAATCGTATTCACCAGGACACTTCTCAATGTTACTACAATAATCAAATCTAAGATCAGGATCCGTTGTGTAACACCAAGGTAATGCCTCAAAATCGGGATTTCTGCAGAAATTATGGTCGCCCAAACCACTGTTAGGGTAGTTTTGAGATGTCCGACTGTGGTAGTGTGGCAGTTGATGGGACCAGCTTTGACACGTGTCTCCTCGAGCTGTGACGTTAACGTTACCACGGTATCCAGTACCATCACCCAGGTAACATGTTTTGTGGGGGATGATCTCTTCCAATCCTGACTGTGATCTCTTCCAATCCTGACCATGATTTACAGGTAAATCACCGCCCGGAAGAGTTGAAGATAAATCGACTCCCGGACAACCGCAGTGCAGTTTAAACTTCTTTTCTGTCTTTGTGCATTTCCTGATCTTCCTTTTTCTTTGTCGGTGCTCAGCTTGGTACATGTTACCAGATAGGTCTGGTAAAAGACAGATCGACAATACGTATCCGTGTTTATCCACACATTTAGAAAGATTTGTATAGACTTTTTTGCAGTAGACTTTTTTTCTGCGATCTGGACTTTTGCCCAGAAGTGTTTGTAAGCACAAAAGGAGGAACAAGGTTGATCTCATATCAACAACTATAACGGACAGTGTGCTGTGTAACGGACCTCGTGTTCAAAGTGATGAAATAAGATTCGTGTACGTGTTTCCCGAGCAAAATTAAAATTCCTTTTAATCGATTTCATACGCGTCCCCGATCACTCTACGTCACTCTACGACAAGACAATTTTAAAATAAATTGTCGGTAACTGGCATGGAAATTAATGCTTCTGATGTCTATTTTTCAAGAAAATGTTATTTTGTCTCTATGGTAACACCGTTATAATGGACCTCCCCCTGGCTTTGAGGCTGTAAGGACCATATTATGTCTGTGTCAAGTAACATCAACCAGAATATTGTCGAATCAAGTCTGGCGATTTGCAGTTTAGAATGCAAATATTTATTTAAAAACCGCTACCAAGGCTTTGGTAAGGTGTTATCCAGAATGTAGAGTATAAAGTGTATACTGACTATAGCATATTATAGACTGAACTAGTGTAACCCGGCCTACGGCCGGGATTTCACTGCCGCAGTTAAAAAGGGTAGGAGTAATTACCCGCTAAGTCAAAACCCGGATTAGGCGAGCAATTCTATTCGGAGTGCCCTCACGTATCCAATAGTATGCTTAAAAGATAGTAATTCTTAATCAATAATCAATAGAAATTAACCCTTAACACCATGCACCACACCAGCCTATCATATTTGTGAACATGCATTACATTGTCGTATGAAAGTATGAACTCTCTCTACAGTCCAAACAGACCGTTTGAGCACTCCCTCCCCTAATAAGTTTATAGTATTATATGACCATGTAATATATTACTTACTTGGGGTTACTTGGGGTTGCTTCATAGATCCTCTATCGGGTCATCAGAACGGCTGACCACCCGTGCAGCGAAGTTGCTGTCTTTTCTGCGCTCCAGTTCAATAACGAATTCCCGTTCTGGCAACAATATCCAGTAACAGGAGGTTCGTCCGGAATAGATGTAACAAACTCCGTCAACAATGACTTGAAACGTAGGGGGTCCTCGATAAGGTGCAGGTTTGCGGGAATGATGTTCCACAATCGAGGCCCCATCACTACAAATGAGCTGTCAAAGATCGATTGATTCCTTTGGCTACTGGACGTTGACAAGCTAGGGACTACTGCTTTCTGGCCATAACGGAGTGTATCTGTAAACTGAACGTTGACATCATTAGGACACTTCTTGTGTAGGATCTTCCACATATGAATGATAGTGTAACGTTCTCTCCTCCGTTGAAGTGACATCAATTTTAAGGCCTTCAGTCTCTGCCAATAGTTCAGATGTTGCACACCATGTATTTTGGACGTAAATGTACGTTGTACTCCCTCTAGCTCAGCGATATCAGCTTGCTTAGTTGAATTCCAGAGGGGACAACAGTACTCGAGATGGCTTCTGACTAATGACTTGTAGAGGGTCAGCATAGTGATCTTGTTTCTCGATCTAAAAGCGCTCAGAACCCAAGAGGCAACTTTACGGGCACGATCTGCTATCATAGTAACATGTGAGCTCCAAGACAAGTCCGCCGAGATCAAAACCCCCAGGTCTTTGACTGCATCCGTAGGGTACATTATGTTACCATGCGAAACTTGATAAGTTTGCGTCAGGATGGCAAACGGGAGGTCTTGCAAGCTGTTTCGGGGACAGTGTTTGTGCACGAGTATCTCAAATTTATCCTCATGCAATGACATGTTATTGCATCTTGCCCAGTCAATGACAGAGTTGAGATCATTTTGCAGTATACTTGCATCATCAAGTGTATAGATGTGCCTCAAAATCCGTGTATCGTCAGCAAAGAATCTAATGACACATCCTGTGATGCACAGCTTCATGTCATTAATGAACAAAATGAAAAGCAGCGGGCCCAAAACTGTACCCTGTGGCACTCCGCTTATGATTGCTGCAGCAAGTGATGACATCCCGTCCAACACAACACACTGTGTGCGGTCACTTAAGAAGGATTCAATCCACGACACCACCTTTTCGTGAATTCCCATTCTTCTAAGTTTCTTAATAAGCAGTCGGTGATCAACTTTATCAAATGCTTTCGCAAAGTCAAGGTATATGGCGTCAGTATCAGCGTTTTTCACCAATCCTTGAACAATGTCATCAACGTGACTGAGCAGTTGGGTGAGACAGCTCCGCCCAGATCGAAAGCCATGTTGATTATCACAGAGTAATCCGTTCTTCTCTATGAAGCTAACCATCTTGCCACGCAGTATGCGTTCGTACACTTTTATAACGTGAGATGTGAGCGCCACCGGCCGGTAGTTGACAGCTCTCGCCCGATCACCCTTTTTGTATAGAGGAGTGATGTAGGTATCTTTGTAGAACTTAGGTACTTCACCACGCTCAAAGGATTCGCTCCAGATGAGCCGTATCGGCTCGCACATCTCTTTTGCACAGCTCTTTAAGAGGATAGCAGGTATTCCATCAGGTCCGCTAGCAGAGTTAGGAGGAATATTCCCAATTGCAGATATGATATCGTCATCCATGATGCAAAAATCTTCAAGAGTTTGCGGATGTTCGATCATAGGTAACGGGAAATCTGGGTCCTTGATATCAGGAGAGCTTGGATCACTGAACACGGAGCTGAACTGCTCCTGAAGTAAGTCCGCCATCTGCTTTGTGTCAGTAGTGATCTCCTGGTTTGCATCAAATAGCATGTTAATACTGGATTTGATAGTTGAGAGGGATCGGGCATAACTATAGAAGAACTTCGGATTACTTTTAATCTTCTCGATGGCTCTGTTCTCCTTCTCATCCAATTTCTTGGTATGTGCAGTCATGATGTCGTACTGTAAGAGTGCAACTTTATTCCTGACTGCCTTGATCTGGTCTTCTGAAGCATTCTTGTCAATTAATGCTTGGAGTCGTGCTTTTTGCCGGTTGCATTTCCGTCTCAACGCGCTGCTGTGCTTAGGACGTCCAGAGGGCACCGATTTCTGAGGAACACACGAACAGCAAATCTGGAACAGGGTCTCCGTAAAAAGAGCAGGAAACTCCTCAAAGGAGCATGAGTCACGAAGCTGAGACCAGTTAACTTCCTGTAACTCCTCCTTTAGTGCATCAAAATCCGCCTTAAAAAAGTCAAGAGACCTGAAGCTACTTTCGTCAAACTTAGGGATGGTAGCCTCCTTTCGGGATAGCGGATTGGTAGCGAGCATAACATCCACCAGATGATGGTCAGACAGTGAGGTAGCTTGTGCCTGAACATTAGTAACAAGTCTGCTGTTATTCGTGATGAACAAGTCTAGAACATTGTTACCCCTGGTTGGACAAAGGACGTATTGACTCAGCAGATGCTTGGCCATGAAGTTGAGAAGGGAGTGAGCTGATAGCTGAGTCTCACTGGAACCTCCTGACGACACGGATACAGTCTGCCAGTCTATTGAGGGTAAGTTGTAGTCACCTGTGAGCATAATATCGTAGCTTTCATCATTAACACGGTGAATACACGTGGAGATAAACTCCAAAAGTGAGTTGAAACTGCTGAGGGGGGCATTTGGGGGTCGATAAGCCACTACAACACATGTATTAATCGTGCTGAATCTGCAAAATAAACCCTCGCAGGTACCATCATCAAACGTATCACACTCACTTACAGGTATGTTGATGTGGGAATAGAGCAAAACTCCGCCTCCGACCCGCCCACTTCGGTCACATCGGGAGACTGTATACCCTGGAACATGTAGTTGGGCATCAGCCATATAGGGTTTGAGCCAAGTCTCAGTGAGCGCTACAAAAGGTAAGGAATGATTTCTCGCTCGTTCATCGTTAATGTAAGCGGAAATATCGGGCACCTTCCAACGGCTTGTACTTGAAGCGCTCGGATTCATGGACTGCACGTTTAAGACAATGCATGAGGAATAGTGGGCACGTTCTGCATCATCTGGGCATGGGTAGGGAGCAGAGGTGTCGGGTAGGGGTACTGGTGCTGTGGGTACGCCAATCCTGACTGAAGGTGTGGTGGGGGAAACTGGTATTGAGGGTTGGGGCGGAGACTGGCACGGATTTCCGAGATTTCCCGAGTGAAGCAGGTTTGCATCCTGTCCATCAGTCTCGCTAACTCTAAAAAAGAAGCCCCATAATCAGCAACTGAGGTAGAATCCTGGGTAGTTGTAGGGGCGGGGGCAGCTTTATCACCTTTCTTGGGCCGAGGAGCATCACCATTCTCCTTTCTCCGGGTCCCTTTCAGGTGGATAAATGTGCACTCTGAGCTAGTACACAGCTTGTTCTTGACAGAGAACTTACAGAGCACGGGGTGAAAGAACTTGCAGCTGGAACCCTTATTGCACCCGAAGTTACGCTGAGTACCAAAGCGGCAGTACTTATCACAGTATCTAGGGTGTTCGAACTCACAGACACGTCCTTCATGTTCTTTCTTCCCCCTTAAACCATGCGGACATTTTCCTCGCTTATACTTCTCACACACCCGTTCTCTGACAACTTTATCCAGTTTTGAGTTGAGATCATTAAGATTTAACTTCTCCTGGTTCTGCTTGAAAGATTCCGATGTTTCGTTGTGAGGCGAGGAAACTTGCGAAGAAGATATAGTGTCAGCATTAAGTCTCGCAAGGATAGCGGGGTCCGTGATACTCACGCTATCATGGGGAGTTTTCCTCTTTCTAGACACAATAGGCAAACTAGACTCGTTGCAAGATTTGCACAGCCAAACGTAGCTGGAAGGTAGGTCTATCGAAGCCTGAGTTAAAACATCATGTAAACCAGATACAACAGCACAATCGTGAGATCCCCGAAAACACATATGGCAGTGAAAAAGCGGTTTCTGTTCCGGCTCGAGATCTATCACGTATTTCTGGTTACACTCCGGGCATTGTGAGGGGAGCAAAGCGTTTAACTGGAACAGTATTCTACTGGCAAGTGTGTCCTTTGTGTAAATCTTATTACGATCACTGTCAGCTAAGTTAATACACAAAAATTCAGCACAATGCTCCAACATTTCAAGATTAGACGACTTTAATGCTTTGAGATTTTCAGCTCGCTTTTTTGAATGATCAAACTTCGAGATGACTTGTTTTACTATTTCGTTCGTTCCCGCACGGAGAAGCAAGTTCCCGATCGATAATTCATTCGATAACTCCATTTCAGACAATGTACAACCACTTGTGTATAGCCACACTCACAGTACAATGTATGCACAATGATAGCACAGTGCGATTATCAACAACTGATAAGAGAGCGACTAAATCAACGCAAAAGCAATTATACAAATATATATATATATACGCCATGTAATATATACGCTACATATGCACAGAGAGAGAGAGCTAGCCCCGTAACTCTTGCCGCTCTTCTCAAGCCATTTTATGTAACATATTTTGTGGTACAAAACCATCAATTAAACCACTTACCACCGGCCGATTTTTATAAAATTTGCTTATTGGCTTCGTCAGAGTTTTGTCGGCACTATACCGAAAAAACCAGTCCCGTAACTATGACCGTTTTTTTTGTATAACCGTTCGGAAATTACACACAGACACACACACAGACACACACACAGACACACACACATTCTGGTGTTATTAAGTTGATGATTTGGCAGTTGGCTACAGTCCCATTTCCACAATGCTAACTGAAATGTAATGATAGACTCAAGACTGGCTGGTATGGAGAATCTCCACCGTTTCACTCGTCTATTTTCACAGTCTGCTCCATTCTTTAAAGAAGTTTAGAAGCTACAAAGTTCTAGTAATTCGCAAGTTGTAATTTAAAAACCTTTTTTTTGTCAGGATGAGGGTAGACCTGCTTCTGATAAAGAATTCCCTACAAATCCACCAGATTAGGCACCAGCTAGTACCCTTCACTTCTCCGAAGCAAGTGGAGACAGTCCCCCTACTGAACAGTGTTACTGCCGCTCTTTACATTAGATTCAAGTCTAACATCGAATATTGCTTGGTAAGTATAGTTTATTTGATATATTTTTTTGTTTTATTTTTTCCGTTCACACTCTTTTGTAAAACGACAGTAGTGAAAGGTTACGAATGGACGTTTTTGCAGAAAAACGTGGATTTTGGAGAACGAGGTAGGTGGGTATAAATATGTCGTCAGTCCTTCCTTCCTTCCGTTAGTTACCATGACAACTAGCGCGCAGTGCAGCGCGCGGAGATTTAATGTATATAGCTAGCATGTCAATGAATGCGCGGCGCGAGTGTATTTTAATGTATGCTATGTTATGTACAGTATTAGGTAATAAGCCCAATTTGTACGTGGCATGCGTAGTATAATGTACTCTGTGTATATTATTATTATGAAGTGAGCTGATTAGATACTGGTAATCTTTTTTTGCTCTTATGAGTGGGTCAATCATTTATTTTGAATTGTAGTTGACGAAGTGGAGACTCTCACTTCGTCAACTACAATTCAAAATAAATGAGCTGATTAGAGCTTATAATACCTTCCGGGAATTATATCCACTAAAAGTCTCCGACACTGAGAGCTGATAATTTGCCGATATATCCCGCAAGGAAAGCCAAGGTATTATCAGCATAGACCTCAGACTGGCTGGCGGCAAGTTGTAAAACAAATAACACTGGCGTTCCATATATTAGACACTATATTGTATCATGCGCACGTATCGGATTACACCCCTTCCAATTCGGAACCGGAAAATATTATAATACCTTCCGGGAATTATATCCACTAAAAGTCTCGGACACTGAGAGCTGATAATTTGCCGATATATCCCGCAAGGGAAGCCAAGGTATTATCAGCATAGACCTCAGACTGGCTGGCGGCAAGTTGTAAAACAAATAACACTGGCGTTCTATATATTAGACACTATATTGTATCAATATAGGATGGCGTGTAGTTCGTGATGAACTCGCATGGTTGCTGCAACCAGACTATCTACCCCTATGCGAAGGATCGCTGTAGAACTGGACACCGTAATCCTTGTTACCAATTGCTCTTCTCGGCTTTGCTACTTGGAATGTTCGAGGTTTGACGAAGACAGACAAGCAGTGCTTGCTTGCTAACGACTGTGACAGGTATGACTTGGACATTATAGGGATTCAAGAGACTAAAATTTGTCAGTTTGAGGATAAGAAACTACCAGGAAATCATCGCCTCCTTTTGTTTGATCAGAAGACAGGACGTCATGGTGGACTGGGTTTCTTAATCAACGCTCGTGTAAATCATTATTTCCGTTCATTTCATCAGATCAGCGATCGAGTTGCTTTCATGGACTTTTTTATTCCATCCAAGTTTGTTAACAAACCACCATGCAAAATGCGAATCGTGAACTGTTACAGTCCAACCAACCCAAAAACTTTATCAAATCCGGCTGCTACTGACCAGTTTTACTGTGAGCTTCAGGAAGCAATTAATGTGCCTGCAAGACATGAAATCTGGATCCTAGGAGATTTCAATGCCAAACTTGGCAAAAGGTCTGATCATGACTTTCAAAATGGCCTTCATAAGAACATTGGAAGGCATGGCGTTGGAAGACGAAATGAAAATGGTGGGAGATTATTGGATTTTCTTGTTTCTAATGGTTTGTTTGCTGCAAACACTGCATTTCGTCATTCCAGTCGTCATATAACCACAAGAACTGGTTGGGTGAAAGACAAGAAGACCAAAAGAAGTCGCCCTTATTTTTCTCAGATTGATTATGTTTTATGCCGGTCACGCAGCACTGTTTTTCTCAATGATGCAAGGGCCTATGCAGGAGCTAAACTACATTCTGATCATAAGATTGTAAAAGCTACCATAGACCTGAGGCAGCAAACTAAGTTATACCGAAACAGTACATCAGCTGCTAAAAGGTACAACACGACATCGCTGGTTTGTAACAAGGAACTACAAGATCAGTACCAGCAAACTGTCACTCAGCAAATTGACAGTCTTCCACCTTCCGCTGACACTAAGACAGGATTCGAACAGCTGTTTGAAACTATCAAGTCTTCAGCCTCTAACACTGTGGGTGTCAAGAAGAAAACCCAAAGACATCATCATTCATCAGATCAGCATGTATGTAATATGTCTGACGAGAGACACAAACTTTTACAAGAACTGAACGACAATTCAGTTAGAGACAGGACAGTATTGAGAAAACGTATCAATAAACTCAAGAACGATATCAATAAACGTCTTAAAGTGCTAGAGACAGCTCTAGCCAACCAACTAGCTGACACCATCAACGCTGCAGATGACACGAAGAGGATGTTCGAGGCTACCAGAGCTCTTGCTGCCAACAAAGAGTCAGAGCCAATATCTGTCTTCAACTCTGAAAATCAGCTAGTTGCAAGTGACGATATGAAAGCAAGTATCATTAGAGAGTGGTTTAAAAATCACTACACCAGCTCAGACCCTCCTTTGGTACCTTTCACTGGACTCCCACGTCCTCTGAATACTCCTATAACTTCCTTAGAAGTCCAATATGCTGCTTCAAAGTTGAAAAATGGAAAAGCAGTAGGTCCTGATGAGATTCCTAACGAGCTGCTGAAGTACGCACCACCTGTATTCTTCCAGCAATATGCATGTCTCATTAATCGATCATTCGAAGTACATGAGCATGTACCCTCTTTCACGGAAGGGTTTCTAACCCCTCTTCAGAAGCCAGGGAAACCAAAAGGACCTCTAAAGAGCCTCAGACCTCTTTGCCTTCTGAATGGAACTAGGAAACTGCTCTCCTTGATTACTCTACACAGAATTCAAAGACAAATTGCAGAGTACACAGGACCATGGCAAAATGCCTACAAGGCTGGTCATAGTTGTGCCAATATTGTCTGGACTCAACGAATTCTGATTTCTGTTGTGAAAGAGAAGAGATGGGAGTTCCACAAGATGGGAATCGACATGAGCTCGGCCTTCGATACCATCAAGAGATCAGTTATCCTGGATCTTTTGGCTGATGCTGGTTGTTGTGAGGATGACATTCGTTTGGCGAGATACTTGCTCTCCAACACCAAATTGAGGATAAAAATCAACAACACCATTTCTTTAGAGTTTGAAACATCCGAGGGTTCGTTTCAAGGTGATGCTGCATCTGGTGCATTCTTCACACTGTACTTTGCTGGAGCTTTGTACCACTTCCGTGCAGTAGTGATTACCATTCGGCCTAACCCACCGTTCAACCCCGAGACCCTCATGCCTATTGAATGGGAATACGCCGACGATGGCGATTTTGCAGATGAGGATGAGGAAACTCTTAAAGAAATGCTGCCCATATGTAAGGAGATCCTTGAAGAATGGAACCTGTTTGTGAACGAGGACAAAACAGAACATGTCCACTTCTACATTTCAGATAAGGACGAGGTAGACGCCAAGGGTGAACCCGTGAAGAACAGAGAGCCCTGGCGCAACACTATTTCTCTTGGATCCAAGCTCTGCAGTAAGGCTGATATCTCTCGCCGATGCATCCTTGCTTACGTTGCCTTTGAGAAATACAGCAAGGTATGGGCAGAGAAATCCCGCATTTCTCTTCCTGTAAAAATCAAGCTGTATGAAGCATTTGTTACCCCTGTTTTATTGTACAACTGTAACAGCTGGGCAGCTCCACAGAACATTATCAATAAAGTTGATGTGTGTCAACGCAAACATCTAAGACGTATCATCAACATGACCTATCCCCGCATCATCAGCAACAAGGACTTGTATGCTCGTTGCAATGTAACTCCACTTTCAGAGAGAGTTCATAAATCCCGCTGGAAAATGTTTGGGCACATTCTTCGTAGCGACTGCAACTCACCACCACAACTAGCTCTAAATTTTGCTGTTGATAGTATGTCAAATATGAGGGGAAGGATTGGTAGACATCAATGTAATATTTTTAAAACTATTTTAGACGATTTGAATAAAAGAAAGATTAATTTGAATAATAGTGACAACTTGACAGACTTAAGGTATTTAGCCTCGAACCGCCAATTGTGGAGAAATTTATTTTAAATTTGTTTGTTCGATAATTTCAGTTTTAAGTTCAATTTTTTGCATAATTTTTTATTTTGATAAGTTCAGTTTTAAGTTCCATTTTTTGTATTTATAGTAAGTTTTCAGTTCTACAAGTCTTTTAAGTAGACTTATCAGGTCTTTAGGATGTTCCTAGTAACTACTTTGGATTTGTGTAAAGTTTGATAATAATATTGTATCATGCGCACGTATCGGATTACACCCCTTCCAATTCGGAACCGGAAAATATTATAATATAATAATAGCTTGGCTATTGAGTGCTGAGCGCGATAATTCCCGACAGCTTGCTGGAGGGAACGCGCGGGCACGAATTTGCCAAGCTGTTATGTATTATAATATTTTCCGGTTCCGAATTGGAAGGGGTGTAATCCGATACGTGCGCATGATACAATATAGTGTCTAATATATAGAACGCCAGTGTTATTTGTTTTACAACTTGCCGCCAGCCAGTCTGAGGTCTATGCTGATAATACCTTGGCTTCCCTTGCGGGATATATCGGCAAATTATCAGCTCTCAGTGTCCGAGACTTTTAGTGGATATAATTCCCGGAAGGTATTATAATACATAACAGCTTGGCAAATTCGTGCCCGCGCGTTCCCTCCAGCAAGCTGTCGGGAATTATCGCGCTCAGCACTCAATAGCCAAGCTATTATTATATTATAATACCTCCGGTTCTTCGGGCCGCAAATTCCCTCCAGCAAGCTGTCGGGAATTATCAAGCGGAGCCCGAAGAGCCGAAGGCATTATTATATTATATTTATACTTTTATAGTTATAGTGAATGGAAATCTAGCGTCCGCCAAAACGAAACAACGGGCGCAATTCTTGTTTCAATGACACTATTTAAGTTTTTTGATGATTTTACATGTTATGTCGAATTTGTACACGTTCGCCTGCTTAATTGTGATCCCAACGTTAACTTCAGGCGATTGATCTACAACACAGTAAACTGAGATATCTGCTCTTAAAATTGGAACCTCAAGTCAACACCCCAGATCTCAAACACTGTGTTCTTAACAGGTTAAAATTTTTGAGATTCCTTCTGAATATGTAGAACTTATCTATTAGTTCGGTGTTTAACAACTTGGCAACTTAACCCCTTTTTTAACGCGGTTCAGAAAATCGCCTTCAAGTTGAAAATTCACAAAAGAACACCTCATTGCAGGGTGATAGCATGTACGGAGGTAAAAGATATCTCAGTGTTTTCTATAATCGATCTAGATTCTATGTCACCTCTTGATGTTATTTTAAAGGTAAAGTTCGAAATTTTAAGATGAATCCAACAAATCGGTCAAATAAAGTCGTTTAAATCCACTGATAGGGCGTCCCAATAAACAATAAACAATAAAATCCCTTTACATTTTCTTCAAATCTAAATCTTACATTCAGATGGAACGAGCGATCCTGTACATAAACCTAAAGAAAGAGTGGAAGAAGAAAGGACAAAAGTGTTTGGGAATTGTTCCGCAGGGTGGAAATTGGTGTTTGAAGTTGTTAACTCTTCCAACCAACCACCCCGTGTTGAAACAACTTCTTAGGGTTAGCCCATGTTGTTTAAAACAATTAGATCATACTATAAAAGGTATGTCTTCATGAACTGCTCTGAAAGTCGAGAGTTAATTTTATTTTTCTAAACTTATCATTCGCCAGGACTTGACAGTATACGTCCATTGTGTGAGCCCGGCTGTTATAAAATATTCCCTTGTGTTCGACACGAAACACAAGATTCTCCCCCCTAACACATGTGGCGTGGTTCAGACCTTCTACTCTAACGTAAGCGTTTCTTTATTTCTTTATTCCTCTATAATGTGGAAGTTTTCGTTCTCTTCTATTTCGTAATAGTCCTCACGGTGCTGAGGCATCATGCGCCGCTCAAAGTTAACTACCTTACTCGGGATTATTATGACCGGGATAAAGTGGTGGGTTTAGGGTAATTTCGCCATATTTTTCCCGAACCACATTTTCACCGGTCGTTAATAAACCCGCCTACTCAGCTTTTAGGGTTCCCAAGGGGTATGGGTGCTCATATTTTAATCGTTGTCTTATATTCACTAAAGAAGACTATTGGGACACTTGTTGTAGGTTTTTCGACTTCATTTGGCTAAAATTGCAATAAATTCACCTTTTTGCCCAATTCTTGTCATATATCCTTATTGTCAAATTTGATTTAAATAGGCCAATTTTTAATTTCTTAGGTATTGACTATCTCTACATAATGAAATAGGACTCAAAGTAAAAGTAACAGTTAAATTAAAACTTGAATTAATTAAAACTGATGAAAGGGATGATCCAGATGAAGATAACGAAGATGATTACAACTTATTGGAAGACTAAACAGCTCTCCCTTTATCTTAATATCGATCTGGTTGTTACGCTTCAAATGTTAAAAATTATTTTCCATCTAGTTTGATTAACCACGAGTCATTATTTCTGTCTACTTTCAACAATTATTGATAATTCGACTTGTTTCACAAGTTTTAGCAATGCGAAAATTTCTAAACTTGCTTATCTCTAATAAGGAAATTTACATCTGAGACAAAATTTTTGAATCTAAAATTGGGGTTGGACACCGGTAAAATGGCGACCGGGAAAATGTGGTGGGTTTTGAGCAATTTCGCCATATTTTTCCCGAACCATATTTTAACCGGTCGTTAATAAACCCGTCGTAATAATCCCGAGTAAGGTATCTCACAGTTTCACTAACTTCTCCTCCCCACAGAGCTTGAAACTAGTAGTGGAGAACTTCTCCTTAAAATGGAAGGAAATCCACTTCCTGTTTACCCTGCTGTACAACTTCCAATGCCTGAACAACACCTCTCTCGGCTACATTAAACAGTACAACTTCCACTATATGATCCTGGGCTACTCAGTGGAGGGGGTAGAGTATGAGTGTTACATTAACCTCAGACAAACCAAGTACCGACTCGTGTTCTATCAGTCCAGATCAGGCAGGCCTAATCCCCACGCGCTCATAAAGGTGGGTTTCCATTTCGTTGTGTAAATTGGTTTCTGTCATGTAGGAATCGTTAATCGGAGGATGCTCGGTTATTGCGATCTTTTAAGTACAAGTAGAAGCTCGCATCATATTATAGTATTATTATAGAAATATTAAAATATGTTAGAACAATGGCTCGTATTTTCAGGAGCACCTTGAACACGAACTAGGAACACATCAGAGTATCTTCAAGCTACTTCACACCTTACAACGCACTGCGCACCTCTGCTCTGTTGTGTACAGCCTCCCCAAGCTCAAGGTTTCCTACTGGGGCCTGGACAAGGCGAGCAGCAACTGCAGGAGTCCCTGGTCCTACTTCACACACTCCGCTAATACTTTTAGGTGCGTTGTACTGACCAGTAAACGACCGGGGGTAGGATTTGGCCGGGGCCGGGAATGTCCAAATTTTGCCGGGGCCGGGAATTGGCCGTTCTGGAATTTGGCCGGGGCCGTGAATATAATAAATTAATTCAATTTAAGGATTTAGGTGGAATATCGTAATTGTAAAAACTATCAGAGGTTACAAAAACAAAGGATTGCTCTTGAAAGTTGGCACTCTGGACATCATCCTTTCAAAATTGAAAATCCATTTTAAGATTTATATGAAAGTTTTAGGCCGATTTCGATCAAAAATTCCCGGCCAAATTCCCGGCAAAAATTGAAAATCGGCCGGGGCCGGGAAGAAATAGCTCCCCCGTGCCGGGATTTCACGGCGCTGGTAATCCCGGTCGATTACTGGTACTGACCAGTGATATCATGTGATATGATGTGTGCTGCTGTGCTAAAGTTTACAAACCTAACTCTGTATGTAGTGGTTTAATAGAATTGAATTGACAACAAGGGTTCGAATGAACTTAACCGCCCAAATTAAATTGAATAATATACAACTATACAAGAGATCATCCAAAAATCAATCTGTAAAAAATTGGTGAACTTGGTACACCTCTGAACCTTGTTTATAGCTTCAGTAGCAAATCTCTCAAACTATGCCATTCCGTGTCCCACACTAGCAAACTTTACACTAGTCTTCAGCCTCCTCCTCAGCACCTCTTCACTTGAATATCTCCCCAACTTGAGAACTTTAAAGCACGTGTGTGCACGTGGCAGGTACTCGTCACCCTCGTCCACCACCTCCACTACCAGGGGTTGTTTAAACGCGGCAAAGCCCCCGTACGGAACGCGCGGAAATGCTGTCCAGAAGAGGAGAAGTTTCTGGCGCTCATTCTGTGGCATCTTGCAAACTAACTCCCAGAACCATTCCACCACCTGAGAGAGTATCGAAGTTCTTCCTTTAACAGAAACGAATTGCACGAATTGTAATTCCTTTGAATTGTTTGTCATTATAAAATATAGATTTACCGCGGCTGTTTGCATTCCCCAAACTTCGCGGTAAATCGGGGTTCATGCACAGCACAAGTGGATGTCATTTTAGTCAACTATGTTATTATCATATCGTTATCAATACTATTAAACCCCCAAATTGTAGTCACTTAATTTTACCTGGCAGGACTCGTACTCGGTGTACAACTTCCAGTTGTCGTGACAAATGTCGGTAAGCCCACACAGGAGCAACTCTAGCTCATCCGCTTTAAAGAACCTGATACTTGCTTTGGGAATTATGCTGTAGAATCCCATCACGAAGCTGTCTATTTGGGCTTTGATTGATTCTGTCATGATGTAGGTCGAGTATAGTTCCACGTACCGAGCCTTGTTCTCCTGAAACATGTGTGCTGTCTGTAATCTCTATATAGCGCTTTCACCTCTGTTCTCAAATTTTGTAATTTGCTTTAAATAAAGTTTGATGTTGATATTGTACCGACCTCTGTGACTGGTATATTGGCACCGTCTTCTATCAAATTATAAGTCGTCAATTCTCCAGTTAGAAGATCAGCCTCGTCTTTAGCAAAAGTCAGATCCCAATTCGTCACATCTTCCTTCAGAATGGTCCCCATGTGCCTCACCTGATATAATGACCGGTAATGAGCGCTTCGCAAACACACAAGGATAATGGATATATCTTGTGTTCTTGGCTAGTATATATGAAACATTTGACACGGAGTTGTGGAGTGAGCTATGTGCCTCGCCGGGCTAAAGTAGTGGATGTCCTTGCTGTACGGCAAGTTAAACAAGGAACTGAAACTACTAGGTTCCGTACAGGCTCAACTCTACACCCATGTCAATATGTTCATATGCAAGCCTCTTGATTATATAATATGAAGCAGATTTATAATTATTGTTTAAGAGGATCAGTGTTGACTGTTGAAGGATAAAGTCTAACTGCTGGATTTTTCTATAGTCTTCTTATAAATGATAGCACTTCGTTAATTCTGATAGTGTTTCATAAAAATTGAAAACGAAAGGAATCTTCAAAATAACCTGTTCTTCAGGCAAGTCTTTGTAACTGAGAGGGAAATCAAGAATGTGTTTGTAGAAGGAGTTGGTAAAGTGCACATTTATTGTATTTCCATGTAATAAACTGAAGCCTATCACCTGAAATTAAATCTCATGGAAAGTTTTTCTTGTAAAATGTGCATACACTCATTGACTGATGACTCATTAGTGTGACTCATTTAATAACTTATCCCTAATGACTCATGATTATTAGAGATAATTAATGATAGCACGTAACAAATACAAAATATAAATTAACACCGGACAATTCTTTGGTAATAACCTTTCCCGCCACATGGAAGAACTCCGTAAACTTGTCCCCGTATATATCTTCGGCTATCATGCTGGGCTGGAAGTTGAGTCCTCCATTCTTCGTTGTAAACAAACCATTCCTGAAAGCTTTCTGTTATACTTGGCTTATAGTAAACTTTTAACTCTGACACAAATACAAAATATAAATTAACACCGGACAATTCTTTGGTAATAACCTTTCCCGCCACATGGAAGAACTCCGTAAACTCTGACACGCGATTGCTTTTGTGTATGTCCAATGTCGCTAACAGAATTGGCCAAATATGGTATTTTGGTTGTATTGCTCTTACAAAACGATATGTTTATTGTATACCTAAAATCTAGAATATATTCGATGAGTTCGTTGATCCATTCTCGTCTGATCCCTATGCCTTGTCCATCTTCTCCCATGAACGTTACTGACAAATTAAATAGGTCCTCCGGGTTGGTCATGTTCATAACCTACCAGTTTTCAATTGTTACAGATGGAAGATAGTTAACAGATCAAGAGGAACGAACGTTCGCGTTGTTGAGGCACATCAATTTGGATCTCAAAACAATATCATTTAATAATATGGCTAATACATACCTTGTCACAGCTACTCTTGAATATCTGAAACCGGTCTACTTCCAGCTTAACCATGTTGTGTGGTTCATTCTCTTCATCGTACCTGTACAAGGACATTAGACACAAGTACTAGAACTTACTTTGAGTTGTTGCTACCTTTTCAGTGTCTCACTGTTACTAGGTGTTACTAGGTGTTACTAGGTGTTACTAGGTGTTGTTCGTGAAGTCCATTTAATTTTTAATAACGCTCAGCACTTAGTTATCAGAGGTCTTATAAATGCCAAAAATTCCAACGTTTATTAATTTCCTCAGTTGATTCCCCTACCTGTGCGTCCCTCTGATAGTTTTGTAGAACAAATTCTTCCTTGCGTCCAGATCACAGTTGTATAAAGTCTCGTTTATAAAGTCATTCAACTCGGGTAACCTAGCCAGTGCTCCAAGGAAACAAAGCAAATCTTGCAGTGTTGCTGGGTCCTGTTAATGTTATGAAGATTGTAAGTTAACAAAATAAGATGTGATAATGACTAATGAGCACCTAGAAAATATGCGAAAAAGAGTCACATTTTTAGACAAAGGTTTTGTTAAACGTAGAGAATTTCTCCATACTTGTTTGAGAACGAGTCTGATTTCTTCTTTGTAGGAAGAGATAGTGATACAGAACCCCTGTTCCTCTGTAGTGTCCTTAGTCCACAAGTGATAACAATCCAATAGGAAACACTTGGCTTCGTCACTCAGACTCTTTATACTCGTTTCTTTTTTCTGAAGCTTCTCCCAGATGTCATCCATTGCATGCCAGGCTGCAAGATAACTGAAAGAAGACGTTATTATCCACAAAACTGATCTATCAAAATGATGCTTGATACTGCGTTATTGATTTCTGATATCGGTATTTTAAACGTGAGCTGGATTCTGGAGTTTGGCATATCTACTATTGTACATATTTACCTGGGAGATTTTTTAGCTGATGGCTTCTTTGTACTCAAAAAGAAGTGAGGATTTTTCCACAGCTGAGAAAAGTATCCTGGGAAGCTTGCTTTCTTCTGTTTGACGTATTCGGGAATCGTTGCGCGTCTTTTCTTAAAATCTATTGCGTGATAACAATACGTCAGCCATTCTATAAACCGCTTTATTTTACCCCTTATCTCTGACGACGTCACGCTGTTACAGTCACTTTCGTTTTTTAACGCTGCAGACCTCCCAGCCAGTATGAGTCTGAGTTCCTCTTTCATCCTTCCCTCCATTTCACGCCTTAACTCGATGGAAGTGTTGTAGTTGTCCTCGAGGAGCCTACCTAAAACACTTCTCACATAATCATCAGTTTCTTTGGTAAAGGGAAGATTGAATATTATATTGCTAAATGCTGTGATGTACCTGAAAGAAAATACCATTACAAGTGAAAGTGAGAGCGAAAGTGATTGGATATGTGAATCTTGAAGCTCTTTGTCATAAAAGGCTCTTATAAGAACCTGAATATTGATCTTGAAAATGTACCTGAGATCCTCTCCTAACAGGTAGCAGATACACTGGGTTGATTGTCGGGATATCAGCCCAACAACCATTGCTTTACAGTTCTCTGTATCGAACATAAACTGAGCTCCTTCTCTTCGTAATAACTCTATTGCCTGTGGGTTTAAATTGAGTTTCGTTTTTCGTTTTTTGTATGAAAATTGAGATGAATCATGTTTGATTCTGTTGAAAACAGTGGCACAAAAAATAGTCAATACTGAAAATAAAAGCCTCTGTATGACCTGAATGTTACTTGAGAGAATGGCTAAGAATAGCGGAGTTCTTCCTTTTCCATCAGCCACATCTACATCTGCTCCCAGTTCAACTAATAGTTCTAGTACATCAGTATTCCCTGGCAGAAGGAGAAATGAAAGTCATTTATTCATGCTACTAGCACTATTGGTTCTGGTTCACAACCAATGAAGCACTGCTGCGGCTGTTAGAGATAAAGATAAAATAAGAGATAAGATATAAGGTATAGAGATAAAGGTAATTACCATGTTGACTGGCCAGATGTATAGGCTCCACCTCCCCCACCGCCTGTACCCTACAATATTGCCTCAAATCAATCCTAGTTGCTATATACCGTAGGAACAAGATATCACCAGCAATCGAGCAGTAATGTACCACTGACTGTCCTTGTGCAGTCAAGATATCAGGTCGTGCTCCGTGGTCTATCAATGTCTCCGCTACTTTGCTGCCTGGTTAATGGCTGTATTAATGGTTACATGGTTACCTGGTTATCTGGTTACCTGGTTACCTGGTTACCTGGTTACCTGGTTACCTGGTTACCTGGTTACATGGTTACCTGGTTACCTGGTTACCTGGTTACCTGGTTACCTGGTTACCGTGGTCTATCAATGTCTCCGCTACTTTGCTGCCTGGTTAATGAGCTGTATTACTGGATAATTGCATAACTTTGTTTCGTCTCATAAATGCCTCGCTTTATTTTGTTGAGCCCTAAAAATTAAGACTACCTTTAATCCGGCAGGCTAGTGTAAGAGGAGTGTAGCCCTCTTCGTCTTGATCGTTTATCAGACCCTTCCAGCACTCCATCTTCAACATCGCTTTAACAGCAACTGTGCTCCTGGAAGAATAAAATCTGCCCTTAATCTCCTTTGATTATTTCTATAAAATATAAATGTGGTTACCCGATTTTAGCAGTTCCAACTATCTCACTCATAAACATCTTAAATTCAGAGGCTAGGGTGTCATGATCAACTGGCCAATCGTGATCGTTGCTAATATGCGGCTACTTGTCCTCAATGGTTAGTAACCATTAGTAACCATTAGTAACCGTAGGTAACCTGAACATGCTAGCATAATGCAGCAGAGTCCTCCCTTTATCCATCCTCCCTGTCATCACGTGCACCTGCTGTTGTTCTAGAATCTTCTGCAGCTTCTGTACCGTGGTCTTCGTTTCCGCTTCCGTCAGCATTTTCAGCAGCTCGTACAAAGTCAGATGCAGATGTTCGTCTTCCATTTTAAATTCTTCTGCTTCTTCTGCTTCTATTATTACTTTTATTGTTTGTTGTGACGATCATGTATCAGGGTGACAGACTTTGTTCTCAGTATATGTTGAACGTTAGTAAAGAGTATTAACTAGCCAACGCAAACAAAACAACATTGCAACTAATAGATGATAATTATCACCTGGCGGCTGGCATGTTAATTAATGATGTTTGTTTATAAAATTACTCACCAAACATCCTCTAGTATATAACAATTACTGTAGTATATAAGTTTATCAACTGTTGAACAAGTAACAAGACGTCATGAATGTATAATGTATAATGTATAATGTATAATGTATAATGTATATTACTAGATTTCTCTGTATTATATGCTGTTATTAAATAATTGATCCATCGTTCAATGTGGTCTACAAAAATGTCGATGTAGATTAGAATAATAATAATATTTCCACATCAATCAGATGAGATGGGTAGTTTAAAGTTCTTTTAAAGAACTAGATTTTAAAATTTGAGATACTTCAACGAAAGCAAAATCGGCAGAATCGATTCAAAATTGTCTCACGACCTTAAAGTTGAAATGGTCCAATCTACTTTTCTCAGCTTAATTGACTATTATAATTTTGTCTTTGGCAAACTAATTGAAAAGATTGTTCAGAAATTGCAAGAGATAAATAACAATGCTCTTTTATTGAGATTTATCCATGGATTATATGTGTAAGTGAGGAGAGATTCTGTGTAACCATACTTACCAGATAATTAACGGATCAAATTTAAGATATCTCTGTTAATATTTAAAAATACAAGATTTATGCCCTAAATTTAAACAACACTGTTTTATTCATGATCCCTCTTGAAGATGTTGTGTGTTTGAATTCCTACAATTCTCAGGATCCAGTACAGAAACAGTCCGAACAGCATGGCAGTAGACATCACATGTTACACAGCTGACTCATATTGCATCAGAGACGCCGCTGCAGCTGGGGCAACCAGGGTCGCTAAATATAGCCCCATACATCTGCTGGGGAAAATACTGGAATTAATCGCTAAACGGTTCGTGAAAGTTGGAGGAATTGGTTTTAGGAATTGGTGTCTGAAAATAAGCATTTGTTTTTAGCATACATCTCTCATAAAATCAGTTTCAAAACTGATTTTCACAGTCTGGATTCTAAAGTCTCACTTTTAAAAATGATAGGATTGATGGAGCTACAGTTGAAGTGCTGGCAGTGCCAGCTTACTCTACCGATACTAATTCGAGATACGTTGCTGCCTCCCCCCAGCCAGCAACACCTGGCTACAATAGTGGTAGTACTCAGCCGACCACCCCCGGTACCTTCACTTTCATCTCGTATCCTACAACTATTGCTTTATTTTGAATTCTCCGTTTTCTTTGTTGATGCTGCTTATGACTTGCCAAAATGAACCGTAATTGACTTTTCATTTGCCATTGTTGTTTAGCTCTGTTGTTAAGCTTAACATGACGTTCTCATTTTGTCAGGTTTTCCCGGTACTCCAGGTTACAGCCAGCAACCTAACACACCCAGCTACCACAACCCTTCCCCCGCTAACAAACCACAACCTTCACCTCAGAACCCCTTCGTCCAACCTCAGCCTTCACCTATGGGTAGATCCTTGCTTATTGAGACTTATTTTTTCCCGATCCATGACTCAAAGTGCACAAAAGAGTCAAGGACAAGGGTTAGCGATCGAGGTTTTTTTTCGATATTGCAGCTTTGCGACCGTGCGAGCGAGCGTACGTGCCTGCGCTCCAATATGTCGCCCACGTTAGCCACGTTAGCCTGCGCAAAGTTATTTTGCGAGATATTCTGAATTAAATAATTGTTGTCGCGCGGCACTGAACTGACCAAGTAAATTGTTAATTTCACCATGATATGTACGTATCCCACTAGGCACTTATTGATAGCATATTGTTATTATTGTTAGTGTTACTATTTTGCACAGATCCTTGTCAGGTTGCATAAACAATAGTCAAACAATAAACATACTAGTTACACGATTTTCAAATTCAATTTGGAATTAACTGGGCGGCGCTCGGCCTGTCACTCCGCGCGCTTTATCTGCATGCTATAAACAGCAAAGACTGGGGCCCCAGGTTATATTGAATATAATAAAATAAGTCATCACGGATCGGGAAATTTAGCGGCCATCCACAAAAGAAAAGCGGCCGCATTTCTTGTTACAATATGCATATTGTATCATCGCCTCCTATTCATATTGATTTTATGCTTACTGTGGTAATCACTATGGTAATCACTATGGTAATCACTATGGTAATCACTATTGTAATCACTATGGTAATCACTATGGTAATCACTATTGTAATCACTATGGTAATCACTATGGTAATCACTATGGTAATCACTATGGTAATCACTATGGTAATGGTTAATGTAACCTCCTCTTCCTCCAGGTGCACCCTCTCCCGCTATAATGTCACTGATGTCGCCCCAGACTCCACAATACATGCCACCCTCTCCAGCAGCAGTGCCCAGTCCCTCCATGCAGCCCTCACCAGGCTCCGCCCAGCACCTTCTGGGCAGTCCAAACTACCGTGCTGCCAATACTAGTGAGTACATATATTACACAAACTACCGTGCTGCCAATACTAGTGAGTACATATATTACACAAACTACCGTGCTGCCAATACTAGTGAGTACATATATTACACAAACTACCGTGCTGCCAATACTAGTGAGTACTTATATTACCCAAACTACCGTGCTGCCAATACTAGTGAGTACATATATTACACAAACTACCGTGCTGCCAATACTAGTGAGTACATATATTACACAAACTACCGTGCTGCCAATACCAGTGAGTACTTATATTACCCAAACTACCGTGCTGCCAATACTAGTGAGTACTTATATTACCCAAACTACCGTGCTGCCAATACTAGTGAGTACATATATTACACAAACTACCGTGCTGCCAATACTAGTGAATACTTATATTACCCAAACTACCGTGCTGCCAATACTAGTGAGTACTTATATTACCCAAACTACCGTGCTGCCAATACTAGTGAGTACATATATTACACAAACTACCGTGCTGCCAATACTAGTGAGTACTTATATTACCCAAACTACCGTGCTGCCAATACTAGTGAGTACATATATTACACAAACTACCGTGCTGCCAATACCAGTGAGTACTTATATTACCCAAACTACCGTGCTGCCAATACTAGTGAGTACTTATATTACCCAAACTACCGTGCTGCCAATACTAGTGAGTACATATATTACACAAACTACCGTGCTGCCAATACTAGTGAGTACATATATTACCCAAACTACCGTGCTGCCAATACTAGTGAGTACATATATTACACAAACTACCGTGCTGCCAATACTAGTGAGTACATATATTACACAAACTACCGTGCTGCCAATACTAGTGAGTACATATATTACACAAACTACCGTGCTGCCAATACCAGTGAGTACTTATATTACCCAAACTACCGTGCTGCCAATACTAGTGAGTACTTATATTACCCAAACTACCGTGCTGCCAATACTAGTGACTACATATATTACACAAACTACCGTGCTGCCAATACTAGTGAGTACTTATATTACCCAAACTACCGTGCTGCCAATACTAGTGAGTACTTATATTACACAAACTACCGTGCTGCCAATACTAGTGAGTACATATATTACACAAACTACCGTGCTGCCAATACTAGTGAGTACTTATATTACCCAAACTACCGTGCTGCCAATACTAGTGAGTACATATATTACACAAACTACCGTGCTGCCAATACCAGTGAGTACTTATATTACCCAAACTACCGTGCTGCCAATACTAGTGAGTACTTATATTACCCAAACTACCGTGCTGCCAATACTAGTGAGTACATATATTACACAAACTACCGTGCTGCCAATACTAGTGAGTACTTATATTACCCAAACTACCGTGCTGCCAATACTAGTGAGTACATATATTACACAAACTACCGTGCTGCCAATACTAGTGAGTACTTATATTACCCAAACTACCGTGCTGCCAATACTAGTGAGTACATATATTACACAAACTACCGTGCTGCCAATACTAGTGAGTACTTATATTACCCAAACTACCGTGCTGCCAATACTAGTGAGTATTTATATTACACAAACATGCGAATAAAATTAGAAATCGGTCCAGCTGCTATATATAACAAATTAATGAAAAGTTGGTAAGGTCCTAGGTATCCTTTTGTCCCTGGTACCGGTGCAATTTCATTTGAGTTACTCTCGTTTTAAGGCGTTTCTTTTGATTTTTAATCGGAATAGTCTAGAAGAAGAAAAAAGTGCACGGATTTCCGGTAATAATCGTCCTCTGCTGTGGTCCAGACCAGAAGATCATAATATTGTTTTTTCATTTTCTGTGGCTCACTCGCCCACAAAAGCACATTCAGAAAGGCGGAAAATTTGGATTTTGGAGGACATTTTTGTGCCGAAGAGAAAATTTTTAGAAGACCTGACTTTTTATCTTCTTAGAGATGTCTAGTTGCAATGAACAAATTATAAATTCGACAGAAAGTATCATATCGCCATATATTATCACAGCTCCTTGTCCTTAATTGTTATAGAATAGGCTTTGACGGTAAGATACGAATTACTCAATCCGTATATAAATACTTGCCTATCTCAAAAATGGCTAATTTTTAAGGGACTATTAAATCGCGAAAATTATAAATATTCTGTTCCACCATTGTTTCTGTTAGATTCAACTTTATACATATTAATTTTCGAACACGAATGACAGCTTGCTATTTTATAGTTATTTCCGCTGCTATACATCTATTAATAGATTTAAGTTATTAGATCCCTTAAGGTATAAAAACTTCTCACCCCTATTAGAAACCACTCCGGTAAAGTGAACTTCATATTTCACTCCTTTCAAAATCATATTTATATATCAGTCTGATTTGTGGCACTGTGAACTAAATTGATGATAACTTTCGTTTCATGCTGCAGCGACTGACATCTTTACATTTACGACGTGACTCGTGACGTCACAGTGACGTCACAGTTTCACACTACACAGCTCAGTACACTAAGTTATGTCTCAAAACTTCTTTGCAGTGACGTCACGTGTACCGACGTCACGTGTCTAGCGTGACGTCACGTGTACCGACGTCACGCTACCGACTCATCAGTTACCACGTTGGTCACCATGACACCACCTTGCCTAATATACATTAATAAGAAACGTGGGCCACACTGGACAGCTGATTATGACCCAGTGCGAGCTTGCAGGTAGGCAGGCAGGCGAGCTTGTCTCGACCTAGTTTGCTGACAGCTTAATTAATCACTTATTAAATTTGTTATTCACCTCTACTTTTATATAATGTTTTACTTTTATATAACATACTTTAATATATACTTTTTATATATTGCTTTTACAAGTCATGTAGCAGGCCAGGCACTGATACAGCGAGCTGTGCAATATGTATTCGTAGCTCTGCACTGTATTTTGTGTTAGTCATTTCCCTACATGTCATTTACTTGACATATGTTTTGATTTCACCACTTAAAGTCTTAGTTAGCCGCATGTTATTAAAATAACACCAGCTCACACTATTGTGTAGTTACAACTTTCAGCACACTTAATATATCCTAAAGAGAAGTGGTTACCAACCACTGTTTCAGCCTTTTAACTGCTCATGGTGGGCGGTGGGGGGACCAAAATCTTAAACTTTTTATAATGTAGTGCTCACTGTGCGCCACACTCACCGCACTTAACAGTCATACGTTAAGAAAAGTTGAATGCCCCCCCCCCCCCCCCCCCCGCTTCCTACACCCCCCCCCCCCCCCCCCCCCCCCCCCCCCCGCTTCCTACACCCCCCCCCCCCCCCCCGCTTCCTACACCCCTGGGTGGCAGGTCATCCTGTAAAAAAGCAAAAGTGTACTTCCTCAGTTTAAAATTAAAATGTCGTTTATATCATGATCATTCTTTCCTTGCTTTTAAGGTTTAATTATTCCTTAGTATATTGAAAGCAGCCAGCTACTCAATGGTATCAATTCTGGGAGGGGGAGCAACCATATTAAAGTATATCCCGGGGTCAAATCGCAAATAAACCTACATTTTAATATACTTAAATGTACCTAAAATTAGCCTTGCCGTATTCTTCGTTTAGATTGGCAAGATAAGCCTGTTTTTTGGTCTCCTGAATTCGTATATGAATTGGTCTCCTGAATTCGTATATGAATTTCAATATTTTTGAATGAGACTAACTTTATATGAAAGTTAAGCCTAAACTAAACATTGCTTGTGATATAGCTCAATATCTGTTGAAAAGTGGCAAAAATACCACCAAAAATTAACAAAATTGCCTATATTATCTCGGTGCGTAATATTCCCCATATTCGCGAAAGCGATTTCATTAACATTTTCGGAATCGATATAAATAATAGGTATATTGAAGTATATTAAAGTATATCCCCGGGGGTCAAATCAGCAAAAAACCTACCCTAGTCGGTCTTATTTGGTCCTTTTCGGGCCAAAGAACCATATTTATAACTTTATAACATTCCATATTTATAACAGCCCATATTTATAACAGTCCATATTTGTACCCCCCAAAATTTAACCCCCCCGAGTCAAATTTTGGTGTTCCTTTTGGTATATACCCTACCTTAGTCAGTTGAAAGTCTGATAGCATATGTTCTGTTTGATTTGACCAAACTAATGCCTTTCATTGCTTTATAATATGCTTAACGTTTCTTTCATTCACGTCCAGAAGTATGCTTACGTTATTGTTTGCTGAATTGAAGCTAGTTCTAGTTCAAAAAGTCCGATTTGTCGACTATTCCCCCATCCTTTCAATTTGAGGGGTTAACTAGGAACAATTTCAATTTAAATTTCAGATCAGCAACTTCAGATGAATAATACAAGTTCAGTAGCAGCTGTTTCTATCGCATTTTGTGATAAACATTGATTTAATTGAGAACTTTAACACCTGATAGGGATCGGAAATCTAATGAAAAAATATTAAATTTGGTGTGAAAGCGGCAATGTGGTTATACGAAAAAAATTTGATCAATATTTTCGATTTTCGATTTTTCACGAAAGGAAAGTCGCAGTTAAAATTGTGGGGGGTCAAATTTGGTTCTTTTCGGGCCAAAGAACCATATTTATAACAGTGCATATTTTTAACACCCATAATTTTCTCCCACATAATATTACCGACTAAGGTACATTTTAATATACTTAAATATGGTTAAACTACCTTGCTGGAACTGCCTATAGACGATGTTTTGACCTATTGTTAGAAAGCAAGCACTTTACTACCTTAGACAATATAATATGTTGCAATATAATTCGTTTATAGTTTGTAAGTGCCCTGTTCGTGGGAGCCGGAAGTCTGGTCGACCTTTAGAAGCTGATATATGAGTTTTTCTGTAGAACGCACTATATTAATATAGGTGTGGTCAAATAAGCATCCGTGATTTTCGGGCCATTTTCTCGAACCGCTCGCGCTCGTACAGCTTACCAGCTAATTAGGCTACAACTACAAGGCTTGTGCAGGTGGAACCAGAGCAATGACAAGATTAAACATTGAAATCTTTGCTATGTCTTTACTCAACAAATATCAGCTGGATTGTTTACAAGTTCTATAGTCGGGAATTTGATCTCGCACTTTCTCGAACAGCTAGAACATGTCAACGACTTTCCTTTAACTTCTGTCTACTTTCCGTAATTTTAATATCGTTTGAAACTCCAACATACTATCCCAGCAACGTCACGTGTTTCCTCCCGGTCCCGTTTCACAATTAACAAAAAGTTGAAGCAGCTTGTTGTGTCATCACTTTAACACTCGTAGTACCACTATATAATGTTGTACTCCAAAGTGTACTATGTACCCAAAGTATTTCAACAGTTTTGTGCTTCAACTAGTACACACTGTTATAACATAGAGCGTAACCCGGCGCTTCTAATTTGTACATCCCTCATTTGGCTCAACCGAAGCTTTGCAGTTTCTTAACTGAAAGAATGTTTTCAAGTTTTATTATTTTATCGTTTGTTTGCCTTCCATTTGAAAGCACCATCTGATAAATCAGATACGCAAACTGCATTCTAGTACGCCCTATTGTTCGAGATAGATCCCGCGAGAGCATATATACAATACCCATTTCGCGGTATGTTTTAAATACTACATAAATATTAGCATGATATTATTCCGTCATCTTACTTGCTATTTAGCTTTGATAAATTGAACACCACCGACTGTTTAGTGTTTTTTTCTGCTGTTTGCTTTTAATAAATAGATCTTCCGCGGAACGTTTAGTGTTTTGCTTACTTACGTCTGTTACCATAGTTACACTTCTAGTTACCATGGTTACACTACTAGTTACACTACTAGTTACACTACTAGTTACCTTACTTACGCTTCGTGTTTAATAAGTGTATCTTCGCCTAATATCTAGTGTTTTGTTTATTTACTTTTTATAACTTGATGCTCACCAACCGTTTTTGCTAAGGGAAAGTGCAATCGTGACTCACCCCCATTCCCATGACTTGTTGTCATGATCTGGTTACCGACGGAGATACTGGAGGAGATCCTATGTAACCTTGACTACTACACTCTCAAACAATGTTGTTTAGTAAACAGGGACTGGTACCACGTGATCATTTCTCTGAGCAGTGTTTGGTTGGAGATGTGTCATCAGAACAGCATAACACTCAGCGGAAGTGAAAATCTCAGACATGGTTGCCAGGTAACGTCGCCAGGACGCGTGACGTCACCACAGCACGTGACGTCACCACAGCACGTGCTCAACTCAGCTGAATTCTACCACAAAAAGATCAGACTCATGACAACGCGATGCAAGGAATTCAACATGAAAGGTTACTCATTTGACGAAGAGGTAGAACCCCTGGACGTTAGATTTATGTCTTGTAACAGCCAAGACATTGTAATGGTGTTGGGAGGAAACGAGATTATTTGTATAGATAACATCTCGTGGAACACTGTACTGAGAGGGTATCTCAGACATTCTGACGAAGTGGTATTCCTGGAATGCAGTGATTCTTTTATAGTTGTTGGACATATCAGCGGTTGTGTAACTGTTTACGTGATGACGTCACGTGATAATCCCATGACGTCACGTGACTGTAAATCTTTAGAGATCACGTGTGGCTTCCGAGCTAGACTCAGTGGAGTGAAGTGTGTTAAGATAGATGACAGCAGCAGGACTATCGCCATGATATGTGACAGTGTTCTGACTGTTTACCGTGATGGGGTTATCCTGCACGATATCAGTCCCACTATAAGTGACGTCGCTTGTTTCAGCTGGTCCAAGCTCCTCTGGGATGGTAAAACACCTAAAGATGGCATTTATCAAAACCTCCTCCAGTTTATGTCTAGGGATCAGATTGTTGCTGTGTCCCCCAAGAAGCTTTACGTCTTCACTATCGCTGATCTGTTAACAGTAAAGACAGTTGATATTCACCATGACCACGCTGAATGCCAGAAGTGTTATTTCTGGCCAAGTGTGGTGGTATCAGACAAATATATCTGCTGTAGGACATCCTGCTCTGTCAGACTTTATCACAAACAAACGAACAAAGTATCAGCTCCTGTTCTATATAAGGTGTTTGACAAACTGTACTCCCCCAACGAGAGACTCATCTTCCCTCGTGATAGGGTGAATTTAGTTGGGATAGGTTCCAAGTTCTTAGTCACAGTTGATACTCACGTCTTTCCTAGAATCCTTATATTTGATGTGGAAACAGGATCTCTCATCACAACCGTTGGTAACGATAGGAACGAATGTGAGTTCCAAATCCCGATCTACCATGGTATTTATCACATGTCCTACTTTGTCGCCGTACCCTTCCGGTCGTGGTTAAATGGGGATTTCGGAGATGTGTCAAGACCCTGCCTCATAACGTACAAACACAAAGACTATCTGAGTGACACTGCTGTGTGGCTGTTCCAACTAGAGAAGTTCAGGGTTAGAGCAAGAGGTGACAGACACCACGAGTATTTCAGGCAGTGCTCTAAGATAACCACCTCCTTGGAGGTGAGGCAGACACCACGAGTATTTCAGGCAGTGCTCTAAGATAACCACCTCATTGGAGGTGAGGCAGACACCACGAGTATTTCAGGCAGTGCTCTAAGATAACCACCTCCTTGGAGGTGAGACAGACACCACGAGTATTTCAGGCAGTGCTCTAAGATAACCACCTCATTGGAGGTGAGGCAGACACCACGAGTATTTCAGGCAGTGCTCTAAGATAACCACCTCATTGGAGGTGAGGCAGACACCACGAGTATTTCAGGCAGTGCTCTAAGATAACCACCTCCTTGGAGGTGAGACAGACACCACGAGTATTTCAGGCAGTGCTCTAAGATAACCACCTCCTTGGAGGTGAGACAGAAGTTGGGAAGTGCTGAGAATATAGTTCCGGTTCAGGTCGGGTGATTACTGACTTGTACTACTTGTAACACTATTATTTACTTGTAAATCTCAGTTACTGAAAGCAAGCATATATGCTTGTTAAAACACCTTGCTTATTACAATTGAACGTATATATTTTGATTATGTGTATGTAATTTTCCCAAGCTGATTTGTTGAATAATCAAAATTAAACGTTAACTTTAGTTGTGTTATTAAGTGGTTTTCATCAAATTGTAAGATAAATGATTTCAGAGGCAACATTTATGTATTAAGTGCGGTGGGTGCAGATTCGCTCTAGTTACCTCACAGGCACGTAGACAGGGGGGGGCTAGGGGGGCGGCAGCCCTCCCGGAAAAAATCGAACCACAGAAAAAAGATAAGCCCCGTAGTCCCCATGGTCGCCTGGTAACTGGGCTGTGTTTATGACTGCAGTCAGTCAAAGATTTGAACTGTGGATTAGTAAATATCTGTCATAAAATCCAAGCAAACATTCTAGAAGACTTCTATAAATAGTCAATAGTGTCCCCTAGACCGTCTTAATCTTAAGACGATGAGGCCTGAGTAAGTCGTAAATTCTGATTGGAGAATGCAGATTGCTGTGTTGTGAAGTTACCAAATTTACGTGAGTACTTGATTCTTTTCAATCCCAGTTTATTGCTGTCCTACAAATTTCTTTAATGCCAAATGTCGTCTAAAACACCCTGTTTCGCAAAAAATTTTTTTTGCCACAGCTTGCTCGCTTTGCTCCCTGCGCAGGTGGATTGGACGCGTCGGCTCGCTTCGCTCGCCGACAGCCCCCCTCAAAGAAAAATCCTGGCTACGTCCCTGTTACCTCATACCGCACTTTTCTGCACCGTCGGCCGTTGTTTATATTCGTTCTATCAGATTTGTGTACTTCAACTTAGTATGAAGTATCGTTGTAACAGAGGAATTTAATTCTTCCTTTGAATCAATCAAGCTAGATGATTTGTTGTAAATTCTGAGATCAATATCAATTTACAGGCTATCGTCAAACATGTTGCAAGGCGTCATCTTCAGTGACATAAGCCTACAAATTGTAAAAAGTTAGTAAAACCCAAAATTCCTTTAAAAATCTGAACACTCTTAAAACGGTTATATAATTAAAATTAAGATGTTAGGAGTAAGGGAAGGCCAAAAGGATTTATAGTGTTTATTCCCAAAGGTTTTAAAGTCTTGAGTTGTTGAATATATTTATGTTCACGAACTTCTAAAGTTTTAGGACCAGAATTATCAATAATTGACACATTAAAAATATTGTTAAAATCTTCCCTTTGTCTAAAACCATGATCCAACAAATGTAAGCCCAAACTATATTCATCACTTGTTTCATCTACCTTATCATCATTTAAAAGTTTATAATATTTGACCCTATGTTCTCCAGTCCTAACCCGTAGAGAGCGAGTAGTGCGACCGACGTAAGCCTTTCCACAGAAACTACATTGGAACAGATAAATGATGTTGTAACTCAGGCAGTTTCCAGGGGAAGCTTTAACCTTCTTGCCGTTCACTTTGAATTCATGGCTGCCTTTGACAAGTTCGCAGCATTTGCATCTTGGCATATGGCATTTGCTGGTTGGACCATCGTTGTATACACGTCATAGTGTGTTGGAATGTTATATAATTGTAGAGTTGTTAATATTAAGTTATAATATTGAATACTCTACCAGCTCAACTAGCCATCCTACCCATCTAATTGTAAAACCTTCTATGAGGATAATTTTAGGTTTATATATCTTGTCAGAAACTCAGTGTAAGGCATTACACCTAATAATATATATATAAGACACCTTGTAAATTAATTAGCGTGTTATTCAACAACTATACTGTTGAATAATCCAACCTGAGAGTACTTTAAGCTTTATAGGCTGCAAATGACGACAGCAAGGAGATTAACAAACTCATGCTGGATAGACAGATTTGGAAAAAAACTATCTCTGTTCGGACGTTGAAGCCGCCCTAACTCGAAGTCGAAGGCTGCAAATTCAGCGAATTTTTCAGCTTAATTGCAGTGTTTTTGCCTCCAAATTTGTCGCACAGGTTTGGGCAAATCGCACTATTCACATGTTACCTCCGAACAATTTATCTTAAATTTGTGAATTAAATTCATTGATTGCTTTAGTTAATGTATGTATAAAAATAATTGTATCGACCGTTGATATCGACATCTTGCCTTTTAAATGTTTAACTGCAGAAATTTCTTGCATATTAAATTAAACAAAGAATATTTAATCAAACGAAAAGCTTCCAAATGCAACTTGATTTGCAAACCCCCTTCCTCTTTGTCACTATAACCAGATATTGAAGCCAGAACTGAATTCAGCCAAATATTTGATCGGTTCCTAAAAACTAGTGAAATTGAGTAAAATTTGAATAACAAAACTGTTGAATTGGTATTATTCTCGAGGGCCAATGAGCCACCCCCACCATCCCCCGACCCCCCCCCCCCCCCCCCCCCCCCCCCCCCCCCCCTCCGTAAAATATTTATTCTATTTTGAGAATCCGGATGCAAATACATCATCTTCCGGATGCAAATACATCATCTTTCGCCGCGAATTCGCCGCGAATTTTCCTAGTTTTCCTAGTTGTCCTAGTTTTCCTAGTTGTCGCGGCGCCGCGATTTTTGGTCTAAATAATCGCGATTTTCTTTGGTCCTTGAAATGCACCAACCATTACATTCTACACGGCTTCATTGTCCAGGATTGCCACAGATAATCAATCCACCATCTAGGCCTTATATCTGGCTCGCCTGTCTTTAAATGGAGCGCCCTGTCAAGCTTCTTAGCAGAACCACGTACAGGACGGCGTGACAAGAAAGCTTAATTCACTCATCACTGCACACACAGTTGTTGCTATCGCCTCACACTGATACATGTACTGTATAGCTTCTCCTTGACAATAAGCACCCAACAAATTCACCCAATCACCCTGTGCTTCACTCACGAAGACCTATAAGTCTATAAGATATGACAACTGGTATAGTAGCAGCTGTTATTTAGGTAAAGGATTGATTTCCAAATCTTAACGGTTTACTTTTATTCACACCTGAAGCGGGTCGTCCACGTCACGTGACATTAACAGTCCTGGTACAGGGGTCGTCCACGTCACGTGACATTAACAGTCCTGGTACAGGCGGAAACTCTTTGACACACCTGAAGCGGGTCGTCCACGTCACGTGACATTAACAGTCCTGGTACAGGCGGAAACTCTTTGTCCACGTCACGTGACATTAACAGTCCTGGTACAGGCGGAAACTCTTTGTCCACGTCACGTGACATTAACAGTCCTGGTACAGGCGGAAACTCTTTGACACACCTGAAGCGGGTCGTCCACGTCACGTGACATTAACAGTCCTGGTACAGGCGGAAACTCTTTGTCCACGTCACGTGACATTAACAGTCCTGGTACAGGCGGAAACTCTTTGACACACCTGAAGCGGGTCGTCCACGTCACGTGACATTAACAGTCCTGGTACAGGCGGAAACTCTTTGTCCACGTCACGTGACATTAACAGTCCTGGTACAGGCGGAAACTCTTTGTCCACGTCACGTGACATTAACAGTCCTGGTACAGGCGGAAACTCTTTGACACACCTGAAGCGGGTCGTCCACGTCACGTGACATTAACAGTCCTGGTACAGGCGGAAACTCTTTGTCCACGTCACGTGACATTAACAGTCCTGGTACAGGCGGAAACTCTTTGACACACCTGAAGCGGGTCGTCCACGTCACGTGACATTAACAGTCCTGGTACAGGCGGAAACTCTTTGACACACCTGAAGCGGGTCGTCCACGTCACGTGACATTAACAGTCCTGGCCGAATGGAGGACAAGCTTGTTACACCTCATGTACCTTGTTACATTATCACATAATCATTAATCAGTGTCACGTGATAACTGAAGCGACTATTTAAAGCAACTGAAGTTCCAGAAAATAGCAGAGTTTAGCCGCGTAATCTCGAGTGAGAACGGCAAGCTCTCACTCCATTGACGGTCATGACCATAATTAGGATTGCTATATATTATACATAATCTCTTGTAGTAAATATTAATCATGAAATAGGCTCCTCTCTAGCATATTGATGAGGTTAGCTCGAAACCCGAGACCAGAGTCATGTATAGTAACCGTGGTTATAGTTGTTTAAATATTAACCGTGGTCTTTAACAGTGTAGAGTTTGAGTAAAAGGACACCAAATTTCTCTGGTGAGTAGATATTTTAAACATTCTGATAATTGCAGTTACACTCTTACAATACACGGCTTTAGGAGAATCACATCATGATACCTATAGTGCTGATCAAAGTCAGAATAATAATATCTTTTATAATCAGTTGCTCTTACGTTGTTGGGGAGCGTTCACATATTACGTCTACAAGTTTTTGGCCATGTTTGCAGGTAACTTTGCTGACGTCAGCAAGGCCTGTAAACATTAGCTCTTTTCGATATCATAATTGCATTTTGTTGTCCCGCACCCAAGTTTCTGTTTGTGTTTGTGTATCCTAATTAGTAGTACTAAATTGTTTGTTTGGGGACCGGTTTTTGGTTTACAAAATCATATGATACAAAACAATATAATTTTATTTAATTAAGTGAAAAATCGTTTATTCTTTTTTTTATAAAACCAAAAACTTTAAAATTAAAACTTGAATATCGTGATTTATTTATTAAAAACATAGTGAAAAATAATTTGATTACATAGTGAAAAATAATTTGATTGATTAAAACTCGAGTGGCTGTGTGCTAATTATTTGCCCATGGAACAGGTTACCCGTATAATTTTATTTCGCAAATAAAATGTGTGTACATTTTTTATGCAAACTAAGATCATAAATGCTGCAATCTGCATATTAAAAAAGGAAATAAAACTTTATTTTTTTCCCAAAGAGACGAAGGCGAATGAAATTATAAAATATAATGTTTAAATCTTGATAATAAGTTTATCACTTACTGATTCCTTTCCTGTTTCCAAATATAGAATCATTACCCCTTCTGTACCTTACTGCAGGTTATCGGAGTGCTTTAATTCATTTTTGTTTTGTATTTGCATAAATTGAACCTTAATACTTTATTATAATATTTGTTAACAGTATGTTGGGATTTGCTATCCTCGCCACATTACTGACCCTAACTGAGTCATGTCAAGAGATCCGAGTCAAAGCGGAGGATGGGGGCGTAGTACTCGGACGCAGCTTGGAGTTTAGTATTCCCCTGGACTTCCACATAGCAACGGAGCCTGCTGGTACTAAACATGAAGCCCACCCACTTCCCAACTGTCCTGGTGCTCCTTTTTCTTTTACTAACCGCTACAAACAGATCGTTATCCTGGGGAGATTTAATGGCGACTGGTGCAATACTACATGCGACGGGATAAATGAAGCAGGACTCTCAGCCAATGTTCTCCTTTTCAAAGATAATGCTGAGTACATAGACCCTTCTGATATCTCTGGTGCCGCATGTGATAATGCCATTCCACAGACCTTGATCCCTGCATACATCCTGGCTACCTACGAAACGGTCAAACAAATCAAGGATGATCTGGAGAGTGGCAAGTTTCCAGCTGTGTGGGCTGGAGACGAGTTTGGGGCAGTGTTGCCAATACACTTCAATATAAACGACAAAACCGGGGCAGGATTAGTGCTGGAACATGTTAAAGGAGAGGGAGTGAAGTGGTATGACAATACAGTCGGGGTACTGACAAACTCCCCAACCTACTCCTGGCACATGAACAATCTTAGGAACTATCCTCACTTCCAGAGGAATGACAAAGGAAGAGAAGGGTTCAAATACTCTTCCGAGGGAGAGGTCTACTCGTATGGCCCACAATGGACCGGATCTGGAATGTTGGGACTACCTGGGGATTACACTTCACCTTCCCGCTTTGTTAAGGCTGCTACTCTTCTCGCCCTGGCTCCAAAACCTGCCACTACTAACGAGGCTATAGTCCAGGTTTTCCATCATATGGCCGCGGCTGATATTCCCTATGGAGTTGTGGAGACTGGCCTACTGGGTCGACCATCCTTCAACTGGTGGACTCTTGTTAAAGATTTGGAGCGGAGATGTGTCTACTACAGGGCTTACACTGACTTGTCAGTGAAGAAACTGTGTTTGGATGATATTTCTGGTGTGAAATCTGCTGTGAAGATGGAGGGGAGGTTTGAGGATGGGTTCAGGGACATTTCAGGAGAGTTGAAGGATTTTAACACTGTTTTACTTGATAGACATTCCGAGCTGTAAACAATAAACAGTCGTTTGAGAGAGTCAAGAAATTACTATAGAGTATAATTAAACTTAAAGTTTGATTTCTCATTTTCTCGAAAATGATGTTAAATATTCTTTAATACTTTATCACACTCTTGATTAAGTAGTGCCAAATTAAATGTAATCTTGATCTTGTACTATTTTATTTTCTAAAACCCTTTTCATCGAGGAAGCATGTCAACATTCTTTTACTTTTTAGAGTACTGACTGCTGATTTCAGCCGAATCAATTTGTCGTTTTAAATCCAATGATTCTAAATGGAATTTATGATTGAATTTTACTGAACAACTTTATCTTGATCTTACTTGCAGTTATATTTTTAACGGTTCATGTGATATATGACGGATAGTAATTAGAGATAGCAATGGTAATTACCCAACGAACCTTTTAATCTATATAATAAGTTTATCACTCCAAATCTAATAATATAAAATCATATTTCTAGCAGATGGCTAGATATCCGTTTCTCACCTGTTGGACGCGGAGTCCTTGCCAAAAATAGAATAATTACTCCTTCTGTACTTCATTGTTTCGACTACGTCTCACTGCAGGTTATCGGAGCGCTTTCGTTAATTTTTGTCTTGTAAGAACTGAAACTTAATACTTTATTCTAATCGATTCGTGCATTATGTTAGGATTTGCTATTCTCGCCACATTACTAACCCTAACTGAGTCATGTCAAGAGATCCGAGTCAAAGCAGGGGATGGGGGCATAGTACTCGGACGCAGCTTGGAGTTTAGTATTCCCCTGGACTTCCACATGGTAACGGAGCCTGCTGGTACTAAACATGAAGCGCCCGCTCTTCCCAACTGTCCTGGTGCTCCTTTTTCTTTTACTACCCGCTACAAAGAGATTATTTTCCTGGGGAGATTTCGTGGCAACTGGTGCAATACAACAGCTGATGGGATAAATGAGGCAGGAGTCTCAGCTAGCGTTCTCTATTTCAAAGATAATGCTGAGTACATAGATCCTTCTGATATCTCTGGTGCCGCATGTGATAATGCCATTCCACAGACCATGATCCCTGCATACATCCTGGCTACTTACGAAACGGTAAAACAAGTCAAAGAAGATCTGGAGAGTGGCAATTTTCCAGCTGTGTGGGCGGGATATGATCTGGGAATCGTGTTGCCAATACACTTCAACATAAACGACAAAACCGGGGCAGGATTAGTGCTGGAACATGTTAAAGGAGAGGGAGTGAAGTGGTATGACAATACAGTCGGGGTACTGACAAACTCCCCAACCTACTCCTGGCACATGAACAATCTCAGGAACTATCCTCACTTCCAGAGGAATGACAAAGGAAGAGAAGGGTTCAAATACTCTTCCGAGGGAGAGGACTACTCGTATGGCCCACAATGGACCGGATCTGGAATGTTGGGGCTACCTGGGGATTACACTTCACCTTCCCGCTTTGTTAAGGCTGCTACTCTTCTCGCCCTGGCTCCAAAACCTGCCACTACTAACGAGGCTATAGTCCAGGTTTTCCATCATATGGCCGCGGCTGATATTCCCTATGGAGTTGTGGAGACTGGCCTACTGGGTCGACCATCCTTCAACTGGTGGACTCTTGTTAAAGATTTGGAGCGGAGATGTGTCTACTACAGGGCTTACACTGACTTGTCAGTGAAGAAACTGTGTTTGGATGATATTTCTGGTGTGAAATCTGCTGTGAAGATGGAGGGGAGGTTTGAGGATGGGTTCAGGGACATTTCAGGAGAGTTGAAGGATTTTAACACTGTTTTACTTGATAGACATTCCGAGCTGTAAACAATAAACAGTCGTTTAAAACATTTGGGATAGTTTAGATGAAGACATTTCGGTTGCACTACAACTAGTTCCTGTACATTATTAAAGTTTGATATCTCATTTTCTCAAAAATAATGTGAAATATTTTAATACTTTATCACACTCTTGATTAAGTTGTGCCAAATTTGATGTTATCTTGATTTTGTACTATTTATTTTTCTATTAAAATATTTAATTAGTTTTTCGACTACTGATTTCAGCCGAATAAATTTGTTCATTGTTGTTTAAATCCAATTATCAAACTGTAATTCGATCTAACGATTTTACTTACAGTTATATTCTTAACGGTTCATGTAATGTATGATGAAAAGTAATTAGAGCTTTAGTGATTTTTAAATTTTCCCGTTTTTTGACCAGCTTTATTTAGTAAATTTATGAAAAGATATTATAACAAAAGTAGAAAACGAAAAGTGATTGGCTTCAGATTAAATCGAAAAATTAGAAATGCAGTTCTTAAACGGAAACCACCCAAGTTTTAGGAAAATCTCTCTCGATCTCAAATGACGCCACATCACGTGCACTGATATTACATCACGTGCACTGATATTACATCACGTGCACTAATATTACATCACGTGCACTGATATTACATCACGTGCACTGATATTACATCACGTGCACTGATATTACATCACGTGCACTGATATTACATCACGTGCACTGATATTACACTGACTCTCTCCAGGCCAGCCAGCCGGACAGTTCTCCCAGAGTCCAAACAACTCCAACAAGTCCAGAACACCTCGCCACTCCACTACCCTCTTTATCAACAAGCCTATGTTGAACACCCTACTTAACAACTATAACAACCCCTTTACCTGCGATAACATCAACACAAGTCAGTAACCAACACCTTATTTTGCCATATTTTACTGATTCCATTTGCTTATCTGTGGAATTGTCTATAAACTAGACTTCCTATTTCAGCATAAATGTGTTACTATATTAAGCTAGTAAAGTTGTAAAATTGTCTAGATGTAAGTTTATTGTTTTAAGCCGCAGACAAAAGAAGGTGCTGCGTTCTAGAGAATCTGATATCAGCATGCCTTCTGAAACGACACATCGCCAGTGCTATCCCTGATAAGATACGAAATGTTAGTGCTTTGATTAAAAAATATATATAAATAAATAAATTACAATTTTTTTTATTAATTTGATTGTTCTCTTGTTGTATATCACTTTATATTTGTTTATCAGTCCCCTCAATTCACAGTCCTGCATGTGAATTTGCTCAGAAATTTCTTAACAGCCCCTAAATATCAGTACCATACATTTCAGTTATTATCAATACGCAGTAACGAGCTAATGTCAACATCTCTTCTTCATTCCGACCTTTGCTTCTACAGGTAGAGTTGCTTCTACAGGTAGAGTTATGGATTTCAGTTAAGACGAAATCATTTTCCGGAAATTATTGTCGTTGTTTTGTCCGTTTCTGAGAAATCGTAAATGCATCAGTTTTATTTTACAGTCCATCATAATAACCTTGATGCCGACTTCAGGTTCAGTATCGAGCCCAATAATTTCCAGTCCTTACAACTTAGCGTTACTCCAACTAAAGATGGATTCTGGAACAAAAAAATGATCGATACGCTCGTCGCTTACTTCGCCGAAAAGGTAGGAATAGGACAGAACTTTGATGTTATTGGTTTTCTCGGCTGAGAATTAGCTTTTAGAAACGGAGTCAGAAAATTATTTCTGTCGAACGTAAATGGCGATGAGTTTGTTGATGCCAATCAAGTTTCAAACGTATGTCTCATTTACTGCGTTACTCTGGACTACCATGATTACAATTAACGATGTCTCATTTACCGCGTTACTCTGGGCTACCATGATTACCTTTAACGATGTCTCATTTACCGCGTTACTCTGGACTACCATGATTACCATTAACGATGTTTTATTTACCGCGTTACTCTGGACTACCATGATTACCATTAACGATGTCTCATTTACCGCGTTACTCTGGGCTACCATGATTACAATTAACGATGTCTCATTTACCGCGTTAGTCGTTACTCTGGGCTACCATGATTACCATTAACGATGTCTCATTTACCGCGTTACTCTGGGCTACCATGATTACAATTAACGATGTCTCATTTACCGCGTTACTCTGGACTACCATGATTACCATTAACGATGTTTTATTTACCGCGTTACTCTGGACTACCATGATTACCTTTAACGATGTCTCATTTACCGCGTTACTCTGGACTACCATGATTACAATTAACGATGTCTCATTTACCGCGTTACTCTGGACTACCATGATTACCATTAACGATGTTTTATTTACCGCGTTACTCTGGACTACCATGATTACAATTAACGATGTCTCATTTACCGCGTTACTCTAGACTACCATGATTACCATTAACGATGTCTCATTTACCGCGTTACTCTGGGCTACCATGATTACCATTAACGATGTCTCATTTACCGCGTTACTCTGGACTACCATGATTACCATTAACGATGTCTTATTTACCGCGTTACTCTGGACTACCATGATTACCATTAACGATGTCTCATTTCAGATCGCCGTTAATCCTTTCAAGTACAATGCCCTGATTAGTTTTCTGCGTATTTTGGGCGCACCTAAAGACATCTTACAGCAATTCATCAACATCATGACACTTGAACTGGTGGGTTTACATATTAAAATGAATCTACATCAGTTTAGTTGAACAATTTAAGTTATTAAATAAACCACAATCCACAGTAATTGTAAATAAATAAAATCACTCTACAAAATGAATTTAACTCTGACTTTTTCCCTCCCAGGAGCCCAACCCACGCTTCCAATGGAACTTGAAGTGGTTCCCACTCGTTCCTCCAGTTGTCCAGTCTACCAACAATGTTTTACAGCCCGGCATGTGCGGTGCTCTCTTCTCCAATCACAAGATACTATTTTTTGTGAGTCAACAATTCTTGTTACGTTTTTACGAGAAGAGAGAAATTTTGGACTTTAAACATCACAACATTGTGGCTCATAAATATTGTTCCTATCCAGATATTACATCAACGATCCACATTGGTATATGAATAATTAAAGTCAAAATTTCGCTTTCAAAAATCGGTTTCAAACATAATCTTCTATTTCATTTTCAGATACAACTAGAACACCCTCAACGACCCAATAATCCGGTAACAATTCCCATGGTATTTGAGTCCCAGACCGGCACAACGAAGAGGGCCGGAGCAGAGCTAATGCCAAACGATTACATGGCCCAGAGATTCAGAATCACTTCAGACATGTTACTGCTCAGATATCTGAACAAGGTAAAAATTCTCAATGTTATCACTGGTGTCGTTATATTATACATTTGAGTATTTTCTGTAGTCGTCAGATGCCATTTCCTTAATGATCATATTCGCACAATCTTCAACAGTCAATACCATTACTTTTCTCAGGAGGACAGCCTGGTCCGGGTTCTATCTGTAACTACATCGTGGAACTGCTCCAGCAGTTAGACCCTACCACCCCTGTCGGCGCTTAACCCGGAGAATAACTATTTATTAACATCATGCTTAGACTGGAGAGTATTTTGACAATCTAACATCACTCATTGGTTCACGGTCACTTGGGTGCATTCGGGGTGTTACAGAACGAACACATATGACGAATTTAATGGCTCTCTGAAAGTGGAAGTACAACTTTTCCCTTTCTACCCAGAGACTTCAAGTTACGGCTGAGAATTGAGATATTGCGTTCGTCCTAATAATTTTAATTGCCGCTGACAGCTTGTTGTTCTTGAAATTCGAATATTTGTATTTCAAATGTTTCCCAAATCTGATATTATTGATGAAATGCTGATAAAGGGACAATATTGGCGAATGATATTATACTTGGATGATATATTTGGGGATGAAAACCCATGACAATGCAAACTGATCAGCCTTGGGTGAATCACGAGGCAAATTCATTTATTTTGGTATATATACGTCGACATTTCCGTTGTGCGTGGTTACTAAAATATCTCAAATCGTATTACTATTTATGTTTTGCCTTTAATTTTATTCAGTTTAATCCATTTTATGAAAAACTTGTTTTGATTATTTTTCTCCCCACTCCCGCCTCTGATAAATAGCGATCACGAGTTTTAAATGCCTCACCTGACCATCTGCGCGGCGCTCTTTCCACTTCTTGCATATTCGTGAGATAACCGAGCAATATAATAATAATAGCAGACTAGGTAACCTTACCACTTACAAAATTAGCAAAAGGTCGAGTTGTATGTGGGTCTCCTGTAGCTATGCATTGCAAGCGTGCAGAAAGGACGAAAAATGGATAATTTCTCGCTTAAAATGCTTCATGCCTATAAGTACACTGTACAACATCTATAATAATCTTGATCAGATTTAGACACAACTTTTGGTATCCAAATTATAATATTTGAAGGACCAATTTTTTCAAAATGTTCAGGTTCAAAATTAAATAACTGAACTATGGACGTTGTTGGTTGTGGCCTGTGGACCAAAAACTATAAAAACTGAAAAGAGAGAGCGCGGCGACTAAGCGCCGTTAACAGTGAAATAAAATTGCTGCACGGTGGAATTATTTTATTCTTGACATACGTTGCATGTATCAATTTTATTCACATTTTAAGACAACTTTTGGTATAATTAAAAATAAATTTATCGAATAGAAATCGCAGAGTATATAGCAAGCTAGGTAATAACTTGCTTGATTCTACACTTAATACTTAGAATTAACTTGATTGACGATATGTCAATCCTTCACAGCCCAGCTACGTTGTAGGTTTATAACCTACCAGGACGCGCGCCGAGTTGGACTCGTCAACTAATGTTGTTTGGAATAAATATTCAACGAGTATCACATATCACTTGACGGATGTTATTAGTCTAAATTTCGCCAAAGTACCGCGCGCCGTTTTTCTCGAAATATTGTCCGAGATAAGTACTACAAACAACAAAGTAGCGCACGCAGCGCCGGGTCAGTCCATTGACAATGGACAACATATCACCACACACCAATCGCCCGTTAAGCCAATTTTATTTGACATCCGTAATCCGGGACGCCAGTACCTGCACTGTGCGCAGCACTCTTTTCTAGCCTCCTGGACAGGGAATAGAGTAGTACATAATAGTCTAGCAATTAAATTAAATAACCTAGCAAGCAAATAGACTAGCAAGCTAAGTACAAAGTGAACAATGGATTAGCAAGCTAGGTAAAAAGAAAGCAATACTAATTTTGAAATGATTTTTGCATATTGCTCTAACAAGAGCCGTCGGCCTCGAGCTTACATAGCAGTAGCGCGCGCCCACGAAGACTCATGGCGATGTGAAATTTTTGCAGATACAAGATAAGATGCTAATCTGTATAAATATTTGTTTATAGCCCTTGACCATTGTTAATGATCAGGCCCGGCGCGCGCTACTTCGTAGCACTTGCCATCGGGCCAACATTGCATTTCGAGAAGAAAGCGGCGCGCGCTACTTCGAAGAAATTTAGACGAGTAACATCCGTCAATTTCCAGAGCAGCTCACGATAGCCAAGATACAACTCGCATATTTTTCATTCCTCCTACTGTCTTAAAACTTGATGGATATTACTCGTCTAAATTTCTTCGAAGTAGCGCGCGCCGCTTTCTTCTCGATGGCAAGTGCTACGAAGTAGCGCACGCCAGGCCAGACCATTAACAATGGTCAATCTTAAAACGTATTCGATTGGATAGCTACTTAAGTACTTAAGGCCACAAGAGGGGGGTGGGTCCGAGGTCGAAAAAACGTTTTTTGCCAGTTGGCAGACCACATACTATTTGATTGTATCACGTGGTGACCCCCACTGTCGCTTCACTGTAGAGTTTCTACGATACAGGGGGAGCCGCGCACTCGTGCGCGGCGGGTCATACAACGTATGACAACTATTTGACGGATGTTACTCGTCTAAATTTCTTCGAAGTAGCGCGCGCCGCTTTCTTCTCGAAATGTTAGCAAGTGCTACGAAGTAGCACGCGCCGGGCCAGATCATTAATAATGATCAACATACTATCTGACGCTTGCACACCACCCTTAGCCCCCCAGAGCGCCTAGTTTGTCGTAAAATTGAGGTTAACTATTGCCTTTTTAATCAGTTAACCTCACAACATTTGGTTGCTCTCATCACAAGTTAAACTTATCAATGGGTATCAATTGGCCATCCAATGTGAACAGAACTATTATATGTCCTTTATTTGTTGGAAAATTGAGGTTAACATATTTTCTCAGAATCAGTCTTTTGACTCTCCTGAACAATTTATTTACCACCTCAAAAACCTATTTTCAATCTTCTCCTAGAGCTTTTATCCATTTCACCTCAAATTTGGAACTTATGTTCCTGACATAAATTTAAAAGTTTGTTATGTAACGATTGTTGTAATTTTGCTCCTAACTCTTTTTATGAGGTTTACCATTTTAAATTTTGTAAATTTTGTAACCCGCACTCATGGTTAACCTCATATCTCAGCTTTGGAGCAAGATATTATAAATCGTTACATAACAAAAACTCAAAATACCTTGAAGAACATTGTTGCCAAGTTACAAGGTTCTAAGTCATAAACTGAAAAAGAAGATAGATTTTGAACACAATTTCATTTAAAGTTTTCATTTACAATGACAGGTAAACCTCAAAATTCAACGCGCGATATCTTCAAATAGTAAACTTTGTTTTCGGTTTTTCGGACACACCCGGACAGGGGGAGGGTTGACGGATGTTACTCGTCTAAATTTCTTCGAAGTAGCGCATGCCGCTTTCTTCTCGAAATGGCAAATTCTTCTTGATGGCAAATGCTACGAAGTAGCGCGCGCCGGGCCAGACCATTAACAATGGTCAAGGGGAGGGGGGTGGTCTGAAAACCTGCAATTTTGGCGGACGTCCTAAGTAGATTAGATGGCCCCTAATACATTTTAATTAAAAATCGAGCGCTACAGCATCAATTATTTTAACTTTAAACTGGTAAAACGCTGTTTTGCGAAAGCTTTGGGTGAGAGGGCCAAATGTTTCGTGGCTCAAATTTTTGGCAACTAAGGTATAGGGATTTTGGATTTTAAAACTATCCCTCCTGCATATTTCAGGAGGGATGACAAGTCATTAACATAAATTTCAGAGGCGGCTATTGAGGGCGTCCAGGCGTCCGTGGACGCCCTAAAATTATTATCTGGTGGCTGGTGCTTAAAATAGAAATAGTAATTAGTAATAGTGTTAGGAAATAACAAATCGCAATATAAAGCTCTTTATTCGCTATCATACGTTTTAATGTAAGTGCACGCATGATCTTCGTGAAATTTTGTGTTGTAGGGAGTCCAACCCTTCCATTGGACTACTCAGCCGCGCAGTTTTAACACATAGTTAATTGTAAACGTTACAAAGCACATCGTGCGCATCCCACTACAGGTAATCTATTATGATTTGCCTCGATTTGAGGGTCCAGGACCCTTTGCAGTTTGAACTATTGACTGCTATGATACTGTGCGGCTAAGATCGTACACGTGTGGTGTCCTGTTTCAACCATGTTATAAGTTTTTGTTTTTGTTTGCTGTCGCCTGTGAAGTGTTACACATTACATATAACAAGGCCCTGTGTGTCATGTAATCGGTAGTTTGGAGGGATCAGCTTGAGCCGGCTCCCAAGCCCCCCTCCCAAACAAAACTGCCAGCCAGCTCCCACGAGCCGCCTCTGATAAATTTTAAAAAGGTCTGGTGATAGGGGGTGTCCTTACTTTTACTACTTTAATATCAATTTTAGGGGACAAGAGTTTGGAAATTGTATATTATGGTCAATTGAGTTTTTGTACATATCACTTAAGCAATTGAAGAAGTTATTCCAAAGCATGTCATTTTGTGCAGAAGGAGGTCCCTACGTACAGTGTCAAAGGCCTTCTTTAGATCAACAAAGCATGCATAGAGAAGAGCTTTTTAATATTTTGTGTATTTGACAATGACTGTCTTAAGTATATAATAGCTTCACTTTGCATTTTAAGAAAAGATCATTTCTTACTGTTAACAAGATTGCTGTGCTTATTGCGTTGCTTGAATTATTCACGTCTGAGAATATTGTTGCAGTGCTTACTACCTAGCCAGTTTGCTAGCCTATTAAGGTTGCGCCTCGAGGAGTTGACTTGTGAATTTTTAGGAGGTTTTTCTCAATTTTAACAGTATATCAGCAGCACTGTGGAGACAGTTAGTAATTGCATCGTTCAGTTCATAATTCAATGTTCTCCAGGTTATTGGCAATTTCGGGAGAGTTAAGGGCTGTTTTTAATAGTGAGTGGGAGGTGTTGCTGTCCCACTTATAGCCACATGGCAAATTAGAAAAGTCTGGGAGCTGGAATTTGGCAACAAATGGCTCAAATGTAGTGAGTTTCAAGACTAATGGACATAACAGTGGTCAGAGTATGATGTAAACTTTTTTACTTGGAGAGAGTTTACATGATCTCTTGCCCACAAGATTATTACAAAATGGTCAACCACACTGCTTCCTTTGTATTTGTGACAGGTAATTTTTCCAGTGGTGTCCCAGTTTGGTAACGAAGGGCCCCGCTGACCCTGCTGTGCGTGGGGGGGGGGGGGGGCCATCTTAGGGGCGCAAAATCGTTGTTTGAATGTAGGACAATTTTGAAAAACTTAACTGAGGTACTAGCAAAACTGAACGTTTTGCTCTAGAAACACACTTTTTTAGAGATTTTACCTGCGCGTGCGTATCCTCTAAAATCACCTAATTTGTTCAGTTTTAGAGAAGGGCGCCAACATGGGGACGTATTTTCGGCGGGGGCGCCAACAGGCAAAGTTACGCCACTGTGGCAGACGTGGCTCGTGGGAGGTGGCAGGCAGTTTTGTTGGGTGTCCAATCAACGGACTGGGGAGGGGAGGGGTGGAGGGACTTGGGGCTGGCCCAAGCTCCCTCCAAACTACCGATTGCATTACACACAGGGCCTCATGTTTCCAGTTCTTACACTTTTGACATAGTCTGATACAGATGGTGTCAAGAGCAGAGAAGATCTTAGCAGTATAATCTGGATTTTTCTTGACATAGGACGAGTATGCAGGGCTAATATAGTAACATACTAAAAATAGATCAAAATCAAGTTTTTAAAAGTTGTTGTCAAGTTTAACAACAATAATATCGTCAGATTCACTACAAGGCACGTGACAGGAAACACCTTTTCTTAAATCATTTTCAGCAAGAATGTAGACCCCTCCTGAGCGAGAATTTGTAAGGTTGCTCATCTTACTATATATAAAGCGAGACGATATATATATAATATGGATATATGGATCCGTGCCATTTTACTGACACCAGGGCATCAACTTTAACGCAACTTTCCGCAAAAACCGTAAAAGATATACAGCTGAAACTTTTTTGACTGGGTCAAATGCTTTAATGGCCTTCAAATCAGCATGAAAAAATTAAAAATTGGCCAAGGCATAAGACTTTTAGTGCCCAAAATTTGGACTCCCAAGTGATGTCAAAAACGCGAATTAAATAGGTAATAATTATTTTATTCTCTCGAGTCTTGACACCACTTTAGGGTAGACGGGTTCCTGCTAGTGCTATTAAAGGGAAGGTATCCTTCGATTTTAACTTGCCTCTTAGTTTCTTGGAGACACAGAATGTTAGCTTGTTTAAGGATTGTCAGGAATTCTTTATTTTCAAATTTTTTAGATCCGTCTCGTTGGCTGTCCTGATTGTTCCAGGACATCACAGCGACTACTATATAACTGAGTATGTATACAGTATTTTCATATCTGTAATTCATCATTTGTCTGTACACTTAGTTTGAATAAAGAAAACTCCATATTCACAAACCTATAAACTAACTGTATTAAAAAGCTGATATGTTGGTATTAAAAGCGAAATGATAAGCATTTGATATAACTAAAAGCAACAGTATTTGGTAATATATCATCATTTAAGAATTGAATAAATATTTTGAATTTTGCAGTAACAATGCCAGCTGAGAATTATAAGGACCATAGAAATCACTCAGTATCTGCTTAGTTTTAGGTAATATATCCCCAACCTCATTTTTCAGTCCAGTGTTAGTATTTCCAGTTTTTGAATCTTCAATAAATTTCTGCAAATCCTCTGGGACCGACACCTCAATGTGATTAAATACTGTAGTAAGAATATCGACTGGGTGTAAATGATATTCTTCTAGAGTTAATATCAATAGATTGGTTCCAAATGCTTCCAGAAAGTCCTGGACGAAGCACACATAAATCCCTAGCTCAAGTCGTATTTTAACAGTGTTCATAGCACGTGAGGGATAACAGCATGACCTAAGTTTATTTGATGTCAGACATGAATTAAAAAATAAAACTTCTTTAACCACTTCAGTGTGAAATGTTTCAGGAGTACGAACCTCCGATTTTTTAAGCCAGAAATAGAGATACTCAGAGTACAATCGGTCAATTGGATCTCTTAATATTCCAATTATTTTTGCATCTGGCGTGACAGAGTGAATTAGGTCTCCATTCGAATATGGTGGTTCATCTGCCTTCGGGTATCTTCTATCCCATCCCGCTAAGTCCCACAACAAAGATGGTGTTCCATCCACGATTTGAATTTTTAAATTTGTCTTCACTCTCTCAGCTCCAGTTCCCTTCAAAAACTTAGAAAATAATTCCTTATGTGATCGACGCTTAGGGTCAGCAAACAACCACTTATTTCTTGCTACTCGACTCCGTGCCCAGTAATGATACTCCTTGGGAGGATCTCCATCAGCATGAGTTTGATAAGTTAGCTGAGGATGTCTCATCATCTTCACGAACAGATCAGTTGTACCACACTTAGGCATACCAGCGATGTAAACCGATGCCAAACATTTAAACTCATCCTTATTATACCAACAGAAACTTTTGTAATCAGGAAGATATTTTTCCGGAAGAAGATCAAATATGTCCTTTGATTCTTTGATAAGAACAGACAAGCCTTTTTGAGATGCATCTTTCTGGTGAATGTTATTTTCATTGGATGCACTATTTTCATTTAAAACTAAGTTAGGATCTGTAACGTCTTTTTGAATTGTTTGCTCTTTATCAATCCTATTAACCCTAATATCTCGAATGTTTGATTTTTCATCACTTGATTTATCATGTGGCAATAACTCTTTATCAATTTTGTTGGTCCCATGTTTGGGCAATGAGTTATCATCTCCAACCACAAGATCTTCTTTCACTGCCAACTCTTTCTGAGGCATTCGTTCTATAAGAACATTAGTTTCACTTAGATCCACTTGATTGTTTCTGTAGATTAAGCCTCCAGTTCTTGATTGTTCATGTTGGGAAGTGTTTATTAATAAGCCTCTCCCGTCGATGATGATTGTGACGACTTCAAGAGATAGCAACGCAGCTGCAATCAAAAATAAACATTTAACCTGAAATTTTGATATCATGATATTATTATTGCAATGGAAAGCTGAATTACAAAATGAGAAAACCCAAGAGGGCGACATGAGATAATATGTTTTCGTAACAGTAATCAGCAATGATTTAATTGTCTTTAATAAAGCAAGAGCTTACCATTTTCTTTAGCTTCCTCATCCTTACGAGATGTTGTCGGAATTTCTAATCAACGATTTTTGAATATTTCATCCTCCAACCTAATGAAACTGTTTATTTAAATTATATGTGATATATTTTCCCACACATTGAATTTACTCATATCATTGATAAACGTCTTCTTTCCGTAGTAATCCGTCAAAATAACGAAAATCGACAGATTTATTAATTGTATTACTCAAATTATTTATATGGTAAAACTAAAGTCGTGCAGTTATTTTTGTTTTATAATTATGGTAAAATCAACTTTCTTTACAGGACAGTATGTATTGATCTAATCACGTCCAATGCTCAATACTATCATTCATTTGGTAACTTTAACAAAACTAATAATTACACTAAAATTCACAACGAAATGTTCAAAATCTAAATTTGTTGCACTGCATCTCGTATCAAACAAATAATGACAACAATTTGATTTGCAGACTCTCACTTCGTCGCCAACTATGAAATATAAATAAAGATTTGACATATTATGACAGAAATTACCTAATAAAAAAGGACACAAAAAAGCAGGCTACAAGAAATAATAAAAGTTTCAATGAAAAAGGGTTAATGTTAAACATTATAATAAACACTGCACAAATGGACATTACGTCAGCTGTAAGACCGGACAAAAGGGGCTTTCAACCATGTGCAGTGATACGTAAATAGTTATACTTATTTATACGTGTAACTGCTTGCACTACAACTGAGCTCGGCTTATCTTTTATACATTGCAAGGTGAGATAAGATTTACACTTATCTGCCTGTTATACAAGAAATGTACTCTACAAAGTACAAATAACAAGCAGGTAGCAGGTAGCAGGTAGCAGGTAGCAGGTAGCAGGTAGCAGGTAGCAGGTAGCAGGTAGCAGGTAGCAGGTAGCAGGTAACAGGTAGCAGGTGGCAGGTAGCAGGTAACAGGTAGCAGGTAGCAGGTAGCAGGTAGCAGGTAGCAGGTACCAGGTAACAGGTAACAGGTAACAGGTAGCAGGTAGCAGGTAGCAGGTAGCAGGTAGCAGGTAGCAGGTAGCAGGTAACAGGTAGCAGGTAGCAGGTAACAGGTAGCAGGTAGCAGGTAACAGGTAGCAGGTAACAGGTAGCAGGTAGCAGGTAACAGGTAGCAGGTAGCAGGTAGCAGGTAGCAGGTAACAGGTAGCAGGTAGCAGGTAGCAGGTAGCAGGTAGCAGGTAGCAGGTAACAGGTAGCAGGTAGCAGGTAGCAGGTAGCAGGTAGCAGGTAACAGGTAGCAGGTAGCAGGTAACAGGTAGCAGGTAGCAGGTAACAGGTAACAGGTAGCAGGTAACAGGTAACAGGTGCCCTTCTTATCTTTTTTTTAACTTGTTCCCGGGCGAAAATCAGAAATCTACCCTTCTATATCATACATCATTTGAACGAAGCACGTGCAATCGTTTAGTGCCCCCCCCCCCCCCCCCCCCCCCCCGGCCCCGGCCCCTCCCCACAAATCTTTTCCATATTAGAATAAAAGTGAACCCTAATCAATTAGCATTGTAAAACACATACAAACGTTGAACTACTCAAGTTTACATTTAAATAAATTTACAGGGCACAGTGTAGACTAGAAACAAAATACCCGCCTAAGAGGGTATGACTCTATGAAATGTGGATCTGGGAGCATATCTCTAAAGTCTAGGAATTCCACGAACAGTTATACAATTATTACAACTAAACATATTTGATTTATCGGTAGAATGCCTTAAGTCTAATTAGGTTAGATGTAATTAAGGTTTGCATATATCCCCCCTCGGCCTCTAGCTCTATGTAATAATAATATATAATAATACATACAGAATAATGGGCATCGAGTCAGCTCTCTTGTTTTTCTTCATTGAGTTTTCATTTGAGCTATATAAATTTTAGGCATGACCAAAGCTGCAATTAGTTTAAACTTGGTATCTTCAATGGTATTTTATGATGTAGTACTAGTATGACTTAAGCTTTAAAATTAATTAGAGATATTCTCGCTAGATGTATTCGGTATAATTATAAAACAAATTTTACGATGGACTGTAGTCAGCAAATGTTAACTTTTGAAAGCGGAAGATAAAGTATAATTACTGTAATAATAAATGTAATAAAAACGATTATTTTACTTAGCAGATGGGAAGGTATTGCAAAACACGCTCTTACAAAAACAAGCAACGTCAGGAGCAGGTGCGGAACCGGGAATAAAGCAACGTTGCTACATTGTGAAGGTGTAGCAAGCCACTGTGTAGGAACTAGAATTACTGTCTCGCAGCGACCTTAATTAACGTTTTCAGCTGCCAGTTCGCAGACAGGATATTAGTATAATATTATGGAGGTGATTTTATTAAAGTATATCAATATCATGTTATACAGTGCTAGAAAGCCCGTGGTCGCAGGGAGGAAGCTAATAGTAGTGACCTAGTGAGTTTTTATCGCATCAAAAAATATCCGTCACAACCGAAGATACAGCTGATTAAAATGTAGCTCGCACTGAAAACAACGTAATTACTACAAAGTTGATTAAAATATCGCTCACAAATCTTTACACGTACGCGTTCAACACCGTTACCATGGTAACAATGCAACTTATTATTTTTCATCTAATTTACACGTGGGCGGTCGTACAGACATTATAGGACAAACAAACATAATATTTCGAATTATAATTAAGATAAAGTAAAGGATAGTGTAAAGGATGTCATAACAACCAATATGGTCACTCTCCAAAAAGTGGAGTTCGGGGCATTTATCATTCTTAAAACTCGGATAAAAACGAAGAATTTCGACATTTGAGTAATAAAAAATGCGGGTCTCATCAATTCAAAGAAGCAGCTTCTAAAACAAATACAGTCAGCATTATCACTTGATCCAAAATTGAACGAGAGGTTATTGCAACATGACTTGCGTCATAACTCATATAACCGAGCTATTATGACTGAAAGATAATTGGGCCACATGACTCCAATTAGCTACTAAACGTGAAATTAATAGTATTTGACATATCTTCCGATTGGTTGCAACAACTCAATAATGATGATATCGTCATAGCAACTGCACAGTAAGCTATAAGCTTGACAATTGTAACGTAACTATTTATAGTTTAATTACCTGACAGTGCAGTTCACCTGAGCGGGCTGAGCCTGAGGGAAACTTTCTAAGCATTGGACCCCCAATTCAGATTCAGGTCAGCTAACCATTCACTGGCTTCATCAGACTTTATTTGGTTACTCCTTGTGACATGTCTAAAGTTCTGAACTATTCTGAATTCTAATTAACTCCTCCTAACTCTCTCCTTTAACTTGCCCCACAAGTACCATAATTAGACTTCTCTAGAATTACTGAGTTAGCGCTACATGACACGTGACCACTGAGTTAGCGCTACATGACACGTGACCACTGAGTTAGCGCTACATGACACGTGACCACTGAGTTAGCGCTACATGACACGTGACCACTGAGTAAGCGCTACATGACACGTGACCACTGAGTTAGCGCTACATGACACGTGACCACTGAGTTAGCGCTACATGACACGTGACCACTGAGTTAGCGCTACATGACACGTGACCACTGAGTTAGCGCTACATGACACGTGAACACTGAGTTAGCGCTACATGACACGTGACCACTGAGTTAGCGCTACATGACACGTGACCACTGAGTTAGCGCTACATGACACGTGACCACTGAGTTAGCGCTACATGACACGTGACCACTGAGTTAGCGCTACATGACACGTGACCACTGAGTTAGCGCTACATGACACGTGACCACTTACCACTGTAAAGTCTGTTTAAAGTCCCTTCATTATAACATGCAGGTACAGCTGGTCCGATTTTGTATCTGTTTTAGTGTGGATAAAAACGAAATCTACAGATTATGGATGAACTTACTATACCAAGTTAACTACCAAGTGAACACTAGTATTCGATCATGAATTGCTTTAAAAACGATTTTGGACGTGACGTTCCGTTAAGAATAAGCAAGCTCTGTCACTACATTATTGACCACGGCCACGGCGGTGAAATTTCGGGATTAATGGAAGATAACAAACACTGTCTGTATCCTATACCCTCTGGAGGATTATAAGTTAAACTGAGGCTAGCTTTCAAAGGCTCCGGAGAAGTTGTTTACAAGATGGAACAGCTGATCAAAGAAGATTTTTGATTTTGTATCAAATATTATTTCATTGAAAGTTGAATTACAAAAGGAAATGACAAAAAATTGTTTTCGTACATAATCCCATATTTTTCTTTTACCAAATTCTTTTTTAGCTCCCCCCGAATTTGTGTCGAAACGATAAATATGTCTCCCGTACAAGTGAACTGTTATTTAATTCATATTAAATCTCAACCACAGATTTACAGATCTTGAAAACCGTTTCCGTAGTATCCGTAAAAAAAAACCAGTATATTAAGTTATGTACTAAACTTAACATTACTAAAGCTATTATTATTTTTAATAATTTGGAAAATTCAACCGTTCTCTACAGTCCAGTAGGTTAGACTAACACTCCATATGGCCTCATACCCACATTCACTTCACACTTACAAACTTACTCCACTGAACTCTCCAGATAAGTTCAAAACTAAATTTGTTACATCCCACATCCTCATTCCACACTTGCCATTTGATTTGCCGCCCTACACTTCTCAGCCCTAAAATTAGTGTCAGCATACATAATATAGACCGATAATCCCCCTAATAAGGCTTGATCAAATAAGCAGGCACAGAATATATAAAAGCTGAAAACTAAGTTAAACATTTGTACAAAAACTGCAAAATCGGCATGATAGTGTAAGACCGAAACAAAAGGGCATGCAACCATGTGCAGTGATACGAAAATAGTTATATTATTGTGGTGTAGCGTGCTTGCAATAAACAGTCGCTTTAATTTTTATACACAGGTGAAAATTTCTTTCTGTATATACAAAATGTACCTCTCTTAGAAAAATGACAATGGACAAGTAAGAGGACAGGTAGCCAGGTCAGGAGCGGACAAAGAGCAATTGCAGACGGTAGCATTATGCAGTAAGCGGTAGCAGTACAGGGGAATGGTTAGTCGCTTCTATC